CTCAATTCTCAAAAAAAAAATCCACTTTCGTTTCCATATCAAACTTATACTCTTTTTTTTATTCGTATATCCAAAAACGACACTTGCACATGAATGCTTCTATACGAATTTTGTAGATAGATTTTGAATCTGAATGTGTACATAAAATTGAATTGCTTCTTCATATCAAGAGAAACTTTACATTCTTTACCGCAGAACATCCTTCCATGTCTTCATGAGCATGAACCTTAACCGAGATTATTCCTTTAGTCCATCTCCTAATATTCATTCAAAGATAATTATTTGAATGCGATTTTCATTGGGGTTGGTTGAATATTTTGTAACGATTTTAAATATGGAAGGGGTCTTAAGGCTTTGATATACTGGTGAATAGCACAAATTGGTTAATCGAATAGAAATCCGGCATCCATTCAGCATGATTCAGGCATGGTGCTAGCTTCGACTTAAATCCAGCTTCATGCAAGAATCACCTCGGCTTGATGCCGGATTTCTGATCGATTAACCGACTTGTGCCATTCGATATTCTACATACAAACTATTTAGTACTGTCTTACCAAAAACTGAAGCTCTGTTTCAGAAGAAGAAAGATTTCAGACATGTCCAACACAAAAAAAACTAGATCCGGTGACCTTGGTTTTGGTCAAAAGAGCCTCGACAGGATGAACAAAAACTCATGTAAACAATTGCATTGTCAATAATTCTTGCAAAGTACATGCAGATCAACTGGTCCTTCTTGTTGCATTACGTAATATTCAAACAACCCCCAAATAACCCCTTAAACCTCAAATTTTTATCAGAGTGTTGAAAACCATTTCGACCTCGAAAGCTACGACATATCGACAGACATATCACCTGCAGCATATTTATTCTATATGTGTATTGTGTGCATGGATGCATGTATCAATGTGTCAATTGCAGTAGGAATTGAAATACTTGAATTTTAATCAGCCCAAAAAAAAACTGAGAGAAAAGGAAGATACACAGAAATAAAAAAAATTAGCATAAATTTCTTGCACTCCAAATTGTAGGAAAAACCAGAAACATGACAAAAAGAAGAATTCACTTGAATAGATTTCTACAAAATTTTCGCACATATACGAAAATTACCAATAACACTGATTACGTGTACGGATAAAATAAATATACATATAGGACAGAAGCCGTAGTCTCAAAACCGTATGTGCAGATTGTTAGGCCAAATGTGATTGTACATAATCACAATGAAGCTGTCTTTCTATCAGATTCATTCACCTCCCACTAGCTAGCTCATACTGTTAATTTTCCACAAATGAGTGAGTATGGTGTGCCAATGGGATGAGGTTGGGGAACTCCATGATTTTTGAATTTTTTCAGAATGAAGTCCTTGAATTTTCAATATTCAATGCAGGATTGCTGGGCAATTTAAATGAATTTTCAAGTTCATGAACTTTTCAAGAACGTAGTTCGCCCCTAGTAACAGCGCTAGTAAGGTCACAATCTAGTTTTTGATAGAAACAAGTAAGTTTAGAATCGTGCTCTAGAACTTAGCAGATAGTAATTAAAACATTCAAATATTGTCCAAAGTAATTAAAAGTAAGCTGGTAGTTCCAACCCTTAGTCGCCGTAAGCTAGCTCTATCGCTGGCTACCGTTTGCCAATTTCTAATTCCAAATGCAATGCTATCTCTATCAACAGCCTCTTTCCATGAGATGTCTACTCTGCTGTTTTTAAATATCCTCAGAAAAAATAATAATCTGCACCAATATCAGGCCCATTGGCCAACCATATCTCAACATCTATCGTATCCATTCAAAAATAAACGAAATGCTTTAAATGAAAATTGCAAATTTCTGGTTTAATAATATTTGTGAAAATTTTTGCCAGAGAACGCAAACTGTGTCTATATTCTGGATTTTATGTAGTTAAATGAGTTTTCGATGTTTGACGATCAAATAGAAAATATACATTTCACAAATATGTATAAATACATTTCTGAAGCTTCTCCTGCAGGGTGAATTCGATTGCAACATAAAAGGAATTCAAAATCAATTAAATTAAACTAATTGAAGCAACAGAGAGTTTTTTGTGTGAGATAAAAATTACATTTTAAAGCACAAATTGGATGTAAAATTAAATTCCATAATTGCTTTGATGATCACACCATCCAAAAAGTGATAATTGAATCATGCATCATTTGAACTAATCTAAACCTTTGTTAATTATTGACAATTCAATTTTTGCACATTTGTATTTTTGTGGTTATTTTGAAATTAAATTTTATAAAGTGGTAACTAGAGTTGCTAATTTTATGCACTTAATTGAATCAAATAATTGTTTTTGAAGGATTTTATGAGAATTTTTGAGTTTTCATTTATTTTGCATACAAAAAAAATACTTTATTGCAAATAATAAACTATCCGACTAAATTGAATCTCCAGACTCTCCACAAATGCATAAATCAAACCTTTCAACTCCAGTCATCACAATTCCAATTTTGTTCGAAATTTTGCATGATTTTATTCAATTCTTAATAATTTATTTTGAAAATAAGTTGTTTAAAATTTCTTCTTCACTATTTTAGAAAATTTTTGTTCTCTCCTTTCAATTTGTTAATTTTGTTCTATCTGCAATTTTCGTTCAATGCAAAAAAATATGAAATGTCACAGTTTAACTCACAAACTACATTAAATGCAAATGTCACATAACTTATATTGACCGAGAAGAGATTTGAATGGAAAAGTTGCTGTTGAAAAGAGATTTCTTTTTGTTGAGTTGAATGAAGATATAAGTTGAAAATTGAATGGTTTGATGTAGTATTTAAAGCGGAAACGTTGGAAATGGTTTGAAATTGGTTTATAAAAAGATTGCTAATCTATGAAGATTGGATGATCTTTGATGATTTTTGAGATTTGAAGTTTGAAGGTTGAATCTTTGAACATTGATGATTGATTCTTTAACTTTAAAGATTGAAACTTTGACCTTTTAAGATTGAATCTTTGAACTTAAAATGTTGAATCTTTGAAGGTTGAATCTTTGAACATTGAAGGCTGAATCTTTGATCTTTGAAGATTGAATCTTTGAACTTAAAATATTGAATCTTTGAAAGTTGAATCTTTGATCTTTAAAGATTGAATCTTTGAACTTAAAATATTGAAGGTTGAGTCTTCAATCTTTGAAGTTTAAATCTTTGATCTTTGAAAATTGAATCTTTGAACTTTGAAGATTGAATCTTTGAAATAAAATCATTATAATTGGAGGAATGAAGCAATAATCTCATTATCATAACTGCTCAAATGTAAAACCTCCGTCAAATCACAGTCCAATTTCAACATGAAAACCGCTCATAAAAATCAAAAAGAAACTTTTTCAACAGCAATAACGAAAATGAAAATCGTTTTCCATTCCAAAACTTTTCATTCACCAAAAAAAAAAGCAATAACATTTTAAACTAGCAGCAGCAATAAAAGAATCATCACAAAAACTAAAAATCACATCATTATACCATACATACATGCATTAATATTCTATTGCTACTTACTGAAAAAATATATCATTCTATAAAATAAACAGAAATAAAAGGCCATTAAAAAAATTTTAATACGCATAATAAAAATTATATATACCTTCCAATTAATACACCAATTAATACAGATAAAAATATCAATACATTTATTTTCGTGCATATATTTATAAATGGAAAAAAATTGCAAACCAATCAACATGTATCAACAATCAGTATAATTTTATATTTTCATTATTATTCTTTTATCATTTCAACCTTTTTTTGCCAATCATAAACGTGTGTGTCAGGTCAATTATGATTATTTTGAATATTGAGAAAAACCAGCATTATCAAAAATTACGTTAATGATTGCTCGACATTTTTTAATTTCCTTGCTCTGTCTCGCTCACTTTTGCATTTTTACTCACTTTCTCTACCTGCCATTATGTGCATTCATTGAGACCAGAACCATTTGTTAACATGAAAAAGTTCAAAGTTTGATGAAGGTGGATTTGAGTTGGACGCATTTTTTTGGTGCATGTAGTTTGTAAATTTGGATTTTTTAAATTTGTAAATTATTAAAATTATTTCATAAGTTTGAAAAATGAGTTTTAAAATTTTTAAAACCCAAATTTGATTTTTGAAGATAAAGTTTGATTTTGAAATTGATCTTAAAATTTAAACTCATTTAAAACAATTTAAATTGTTTTCAAAATTTTAAATTTTATTAAATTAGTTTGAAATTAATTAAACTTTTTTTAAAATTGATTGAAAATATTTAAAATTGATTTCAAATTCTTAAAATTGAATTCAAAATTCTTAAAATTGATTTCAAATTCTTAAAATTAAATTCAAAATTCTTAAAATTGAATTCAAAATTCTTAAAATTGATTTTAAAATTCTTAAAATTAGTTTCAAAATCCTAAAAATGGTTTCAAATTTTTAAAATTGGTTTTAAAATTTTAAAATTGGTTTCAAAATTTTAAAAATTGGTTTTAAAATTCCATTCCAATTAAATCAATATTTAAAAAAAATTAACTCAGCAAAGCAAAAATGCATTCCAACATCCTCTCAAACTTCCCAAAAAATGCGTCCACAATAAACCTCAGCAACATATTGAGTGAATTAATTTAGTTTTATTGTTTCATAATTTTAAAATAATGCAGCATATTCGATTGTTATGTGATTGATTGATTTCCTGGTCTTGTAATTAATTGCGAGAGAAAATGAAAAAAAAAATTAATTTCCAAAGAATTGTTTTTTATCACATTTAGTAATTGATTTTTGATTGACATATTCCCATTGACATGCTCATTGATTCATCCATATTGGTAGTTTATTTATGATTTGACATGAAAGATCGCAACATCAAAATGATATTTTATAATTTATGTTAATTTTGACATGAGAATTTAGTATTTATGAATTAGCATATTATTAACAAAAAAACTATTCAACAAGAAAGAAATAATCCAAATATCCCATATATACATATTCGATATATTACGAACAATTGTAGCATACTCGGCATGTATCTGTTCGGTGGTAAGTTTTGTAAGTTTATGGATGAAGAATTGGGAGAAAGAGAATGTACCTGTCCTGAAATAATAAGCAAACATCCCCTCTGCGAATGTGATCGCAAGCATTTCAACAACTTTTTATGGGCTACTGTCACAGTCTTTCAAGTAAGTTTAGATCCTCGCCTCCCCGTTCATTCCACAAAAAAAAAACTAGTGAATTTTTTTTTTCGTTTTGGTTTTTGTTTCCTCAAAATTAATTTCCTCATCCTACCCATAATATCCACATCACTAATCCTTTATATCATCCACATCCCATGAATAAATAAATAAATAAAAAATAAAAACAATTTGTAATTCAAGGTAGATGAATCATTCTTAGGAATTCGGTAGTCATAGATATGTGAAAAAAAAAATATTAGGAATAGTCAAAATCCACATCTCTCCTTCTCTCTCTCTCTCTGTCTTATCCCCTCACACCCACTTGAATTTATTTATATTATACTTTCACACCCCCCAAAACCCAATTCACAACAAAAATGATAATATATTTTGTATTCACTCATTTATTTGAAACGATGATTCTTGTTATATTGATAGAAAATAAAATTTTATATATATGCATATACTCATACACATTGGTTGAAATTTGCATCCTTTTGAGACCTTTTTTTACCGTGCTCGATGCCAAATAGTCTTCTGTTGAAATGATTTGAATGCTTTCAATAAAGAAAGGCTCATGAATTGAGGGCGAGAAGGAACGCGATTTAGGGAGGGAATGAATTTGGCTTGTGTGATATGGAAGGAAGATGCTGTCCTTAGAATGAATTTATGGGGCAACTTTTAAAAAAGAAGCTTTTTAGGAGAAGTTTAGGTTGGTTTGGCCCTTAATTAATTCATTCTTATAAAACTTAATTTGACACCTTCAAAAACTATGAAATTTAAGTTTTGTTAATAAGGATATATATATAGCAGTGGGCTAGAGACAAAGCGCTTTACGTCAATTGTGACGAAAAGTATTAAAATCGTCTAAAATTAGAAGCTCGAATCATTTTAGAGCGCTAAATTCAACACAAAAGTTCTTAATAAAGTGACAAGCTCACCACAATCAGTAGTGTAGCAAGCAACAAAGTTAATTAAGCTCAGGATGTCAAGTTAGAATTCGTAAATACGCTTCTAGACATGAGAGTCACAATGTAGCACCGAATAGAATCCTTAACCTCATTCTAAGGACACGTCTCATATAACTTTCCTGTTATGCTACATTCAAGTTCATTTAAGGTCATGTGTATGTCAAAGAGCTTATGTAAATGTGAAAGGCCTCATGTTTACGGTTTATACTTTCGGCTCTTTCAAATAATATACTTTTTGTTGTTTACAAAAAAGGAAAATAAAATGAAATATTCAACTTTTTACATGAATTATGAAGACTGAGGGAGATTTTATCGTAGAAGACAGACGACTTTGAATAATATACATGACCTATCATAAGATCTTTTATAATAAATTATTTAATTCATCAGAAAACTTTCCCAAAAATGTGGAATTTAAGAGAAATCCTAAAGCTAAAATTTTAAATTCACAAAAAAGCCATTAACGCTCAGCGGAAGATTATTAGGCAGTAAAAAAGGTACAAAAAGGAGCAGCAACGTCAGCAAAACATACAAAAAAAAGTTTCCCCTTTTTATGTGTTATCGAATAAAAGAGAAAATTGAAAACAAAATCCGGATTTGCTTAGCTGATGAAAATTTTTATATTTTTGAAGAGGGCAGCTATAAGACAAATTATCCTTTAGATCTTTTATTTATGCGTTGCTTTAATTGAAAATAAAATTTATCTTCTCCCTTAAATTTCCCAGCTATTCGCTTTCCTTCATTTAAATTCCCTTGTTAATATTTTTTTTTGCTACTTAATTGTTGAAAGGTGAGAACATTTGAATGGTGTGAGATAATTGGTGCTTGAATTTTGAGAACATAATTGAGCATTTTTTCTTCTTACACATTCGGTAATTATGTTTCCACCTTTCGATGGTTGTTAAAGCTGAATTTTTTTTAACTTTTATTGTGTTGAAAATTTTGATTTCGAAGACTTTTAAAAAAAGTTTGAATTTGAATTGTTTTAAATGGAACTTTTGATTAATTTGCTTTTTGATAAATGGAATTTGAATTAGATCTGTACGATTTGAGAACATTTCAAACAAGATTTTAAGAATGAGAATATAATTAAGAATAATCAACTTCAATTTCTGGTTTAGAGACTATAAATTAAGAACTTGAAGGTTTTAAAAAGCTACATTTAGAAAATTTAAATTTCTTGATTTAGAATCTGTAAATTCTTACTAAACTCATCTGAAGTCTCGTTTGAAAATCTCCAATCTTTAAAGAACTCAAACCTTTATTGATCTTCAACCTTTAAAGATCTCCAACTTAAAAATTCCATTCAAAAAAAATTCATTCAAATTTTAAAAACCTAGTCTAATTTATCATTTTCAGTTTACATCATTACAAAGCTTAATCTCATCTTTTATTCTCTTTCTGAATATTTCCTTTAGTTTTCTGTTGTTATGTTTGAGCATATTGCAGTTGCATTGTATTCCTATCTGCTTTTTTTTCAATCTTTTAATTTATATTCAACCACGAGGAAAATTTTCCCCCAAAAAGGAAATTATACAAAAGAGCTTTTATATTTTCATTTATATTCTCTCTTTTTATATCATTTTTTGTATCTTAAACTGCCCAGAATTATAAAAAGATAAGAACTTAAACTTTAAAGACACTAACAAATTAAATACTTTAATAAAAATTCTAAAATTCAACATTATAAATATACAGAAAAAAATTGCATGGCTTTAAAACAATCAAAAAAAAAGAAAATTTAATTTTCTATAAAATGAATTTACGCTTAACATTCCAAAAACTTACTAAAAAACCAAAAAAAAATCTCTTATTTGAAAATGAAAAGCACTAAAATTTGCGTTTCTTTAAATAAAATTTATGCTTTTAGCTTTGTGAGAGAAATAAAAGCTTCATTTCCTTGTTTGAATTCAGACGATTTAATGCATTAAAATATACAATTTATGTTTGCATTCCATTTATAATTTTGTTGTTATTTCACGAGTCTCATCAGTTTAAGTGAAAGCAAAAGATTTTTTTTCTGTTTCGTTCATCATAACTGAAGATTTTAATGCATTAGAGTTTTAATTATTAATGGGAATTCGCTAAACTCAAGTGGTTAAATGAACAACGTTTTTTTTTTTGTAGAAATGAGGACTTTTTGGGTAAGCATCTAGCCCCCTTAAACCGTAAAAAATATTTTTAATTATACTAAAAGTGTTCTACATTCTCCTTAAGCTCATTTAATAATATTCAGCATGGATAACGATTACAAAATGCTATCGAAGCATAAAATCTACTTCTGTTGATATTCAAAATTACATGAATATTTTTTTGTAATCCTCAATTGAAAAGGATTTTAGTGCTCACTCTACAGAGAACTTCATCATTTTAAAAGCTTCATTTAAAATTAATTTCACATTTTGGTATTAAAGAAATCTTTTAAAGCTTCATTAAGCTTTAATTTTAAATAGCTTACTTGCAAAAAAAATCATCAAAAATAAATTTATTGATGTAAATCTCATCAATTGGTTGATTGGAAAATGAGTTGATTGAGTTACTGAAAAAATCAGCAAAAATTACATTGATTAAGTTACGAATCGTCGAAAATGCTGAGTTGAAGAAAATTAATTAGCAAGTCATCTCAATCAACTCGTTCAACCGATGGACTAATTAATGAAGAAATGAAGTTAGATGAAAAGGGATAATAAAGAGCTGCTGGATAGAATTAGGATAAAGTTTTTAAAATTCTTAATTAGTGAAGAATTTCGGTTATGAGTTTTGGAATTAGGTTGGTTTTGGGATAGAATTTAACTTGCTTTTATGGATTTTGATTCCGGTTTGTCAAGAAAAGCTAGTTGAAATTATCTAAAAGATCTCTCAAGATACGAATTTCAATCTAAAAGAGTTGTTCGAGCCCTTTCAGATGTATTAAACAATATCTCAGGGTTAGTAAATCAGGCACGGATTGGAATCAATACCAAATATACTCAAAAAAGTAGTTTACAGCTCCGATATTTCGTCAAACCATTTGGCCACACTTGAATCAACAGATTTGTATACATATGACTCAATCCTTAAGCTATTACTCTGCTAAAATAACAAATTCCCATCCCCAACATTACACAGTAAATCAGGATAATAATTAAGACTCTAATGCCATTAAAAGTCTATGCGACCAAAAGCAAAGTTTATTTTTCTTTAGAAAATTGAAATTTAATTAAACATAGCTTTTACATTACACAGTACTGACTTGATTACAAATAAAGTAGTAGAATTAACACAGAGAAGAAAAATCTGTTTCCATTAATTCTTGTGAATCCATAAAAACCAGATAGAAGATAAACTTTTTGAAAATTTATTTTCCATTTCCTATGAAAGTTAATTTTAGTTTTTTACTCGTTTTAAGTGTGAAGTTCTCAATTACTATTGTGTTGTCCCAATTTTAAAAAGTTAATTAAATTAAATTGAAAACAAACATTTTTTTATAATGCTCCTCAATCCTTATTGCACTCGATGATAATTAAATTTTCATTCAAAAAAAATAATAATAACTTTTTTCCATGCTGTTCAAATGCTTTAATTTTTGTTTGAATGAGATTTTTTTATTCCTAATGCGAGAATGATGATAAAAAATATAAATATAATAATAATTTTAATTATGAAAATCGCACCACATGATGAGCTTTTAGTTTGAGTTTTTTTTTTCTTGTTTCTTGTCTCTTTTAATATCTCTCAATCTTTGTTATAACTATTTTAATGAATCTGAGATGAAAGTTTTGTCAGATTTTTATGTCAAAAATTGTAAGTTAGATTCTCGAAGTAAATAGTTTTAGAATTGAGTTAATTAAGAGATTTATGTCAAGTTAGATCTTGATTTAACTCATCTGATATATTTGATTGAATTAAAACTTTGAGAATTGAATAAAGTTGTCAGGATTTTGAAAGTAATTTAAATGAAATTTCTATATTTGAACAAAAATTTGAATATTTCTTGATTTTTTGGAAAGTTTTGTATAGATTTGTTTTGATTTTGAGCAAAGTTGATTCAAATTTAAACCAAATTAGTGAAAAACTTAAGTTCAATTTAATTTCAAATCTAAATCAATTTTAAAATCTCAGTCACAAACAAAAATCTGCCAAAACTCATCTCATGGATTTTGAAACATTTATTCCGTTATGTTTCAAATGACTAACAACTTTTATTTTAAATAACATTATATTTTGTATTGCTAGTAGAGTCCAAATGGAAAATTTTTCTGCCTGAGTGAATGAGAAAGTTTTTTTTCTGCACATTTTCTTCTAATGGCATAAAGAAAAATTTTTCCATCATAATTTTTCTCCTCTCTACAAGAATTTGTAAAAAAAAGAGCAGAAAAATAAAGATTTTTTTTTTCATCAACACGATGAAGAAGGAATTTTTTTCATAATAAGTTTTTCTTCTCTTTTTATTATATCCCTTACCATCTTCATCATCATCATCCCGAACACATTCAAAAAAAAAATTTGTAATAAAAAATAAAACAAAATTTTGAATTGTAATAAATGTGTTGCGATGTTCATCATCATCATAATCAACAAATGAACAGATTTTAACGCAAGAGGACTGGAATGTCGTATTGTTTAATGGAATGGAGAAGACAAGTCATTGGGCGGCACTGTATTTTGTTACACTAATGACATTTGGTAACTATGTCTTATTCAATTTACTCGTTGCCATTCTTGTCGAGGGTTTCAGCTCCGAACGTCATGAACGACGCGAACGTGAACAACGTGAAATTATTAAAGCAAAACTTAATGCGGAACAGCAACAATTGCAAATGCAATTACAAATGCAGGAACAGTTTAATGAAATGTTTCCGCCTGATGATCTTAAAAGCTTTTCTGAATCGACAACATCTGATAGCTATAACGATTCAAAAAATAGATGGTTTAGTGCTGAGGAATTACGTAAATTAAATAATATTGAGAATATTAAGTGCAATATTCAAAAGCAGAAATTACTACAAGGCGAGGCAGGTGCTACGGAAGCTGTTGATGGACAATTGCCAAATTATTTAACAAAATCGAATCAGGAAAAGGAAATGAATCAACGTCCAGGCAGTTATAAACGTAAACATCACAGTATACGTGAGAAGAATCGATTGAGTGACGGCAGGAAAGTGGATCCTCCGATAATAACCACAACAGCTGCAACGCCACAGGACTCGCCAAGCAATACGATGGAAATGGGTACGACAATGAGAGATTGGGAACATGTGGATTTGGACTCATTAGAGAGAAATGTAAGGAACTTACCTCTTTTTTGTAGCTTTGTAGTTCTGTTCATAGTCTGTAAATCTGTATTTTCTGTAGTAAAATGCGTTTAAGTTGTAAAGACCAGTCGAAATATTTTACTGAATTTTTATGTTCTCAACAGGAGCCACCAAGAATTCACTTAACACCACCATCAGTATTTGGCTCATTAAAAGCACTTGACGAAAGAATATTTCTTGAACGTCCAACATACATTACTAAAAGCGAACGCAATAGTTCATCATCATTAACATCTCATAGCGAGAAACATTCACCGACAGGTTCTGCCGTCCTTCCAACATGTGTTGAACAGTCTGGCGATGAAGAGCAACAAGATAATTTAAAAATAGATATAACAATAACTGCTGCCTCTCCAGCACCATCGAGGAAATCGAGCTTGAAGGTTCGTCGTGGTAGTTCGAAGCGAAAAAAGGTCGTTGGTGCTCAAAAGACCGAGACATCGCAAGGCACAGAAATATTGAATAATTGTAAACCACTTCCGCAATCACAGATTCAGCAGCAGAATGAGAGAGAAGAAAATTTATCAAAAAGCAGTAGCGGTATGGTCAATGGTAGCGGAACGAATGAAATGTGTGACATTAGAAAAGGCTCAATACAGTCCGATAAAGATGTACTACTAGCGAGAGTAAACTGTATAAAAAATGATACACATCCGAGTGGACAATATTCACGAATGAATGTGAGACGATCGTCGTCAATCAAAAGTGACAGTCATCAATTACCATTACAACGAAATCAGCAATTCTTATCGAATAAATACATCAACAATCATCAGTATTACAATTTTAATAGGAAGAACTCAATAAATGTTGCATCAATTCAACATCCACACTTCTTTCATCAACAATATTATCAACGTCGTATGTCATCATTTGAGCATTCATTCGAGAAGCATTCAAACATCAATTTACATAATTTCGAAGACTTTCTACAACGTAGCATGAAGGTAGATCTTGAAAAGTCAATATCATCCCTTAACAATTCCACATCAATGATGCAAGAGCCATCACAACCAGAAACACCTCTTAAAAAGAGCTCAAAGATAACACAATGGTTTAAGGAAGTATCAAATTTTGATAAGTGGACAGAAGAACGAGATCCTTACTCACTCTACCTGTTTAGTGATGACAACATTTTCCGAAAACTTTGTAACTGGTTTGTTGACCAAAAGTGGTTCGATAATGTCATTCTCTTTTTTATTGCACTCAATTGTATAACACTAGCTATGGAACGACCAAATATACCACCATGGAGTAAGGAGAGAGTATTTCTTGCAACTGCAAATTATGTCTTCACAGTTGTTTTCGCAATTGAGATGCTTATTAAAGTCGTTGCAGCAGGTATGTTTTATGGACGTGATGCATATTTTACATCTGGATGGAATATAATGGACGGTTCATTGGTCATGATATCCATCATTGATCTCCTGATGGGATTATTGAGCGAATCAAGTCCACGTATATTTGGTATACTTAGAGTCTTTCGTCTCTTGAGGTCATTGAGACCATTGAGAGTAATCAATCGTGCACCCGGTTTGAAGCTTGTCGTTCAAACACTCTTATCATCTTTACGACCCATCGGTAATATTGTATTGATTTGCTGTACATTCTTCATTATATTCGGTATATTGGGTGTGCAGCTGTTTAAAGGAACATTCTTTTATTGCGAGGGTGAGAATATTAAAGGTGTAAGAAATAAGACAGAGTGCCTACAGCGTACTGGGAATGCATGGATAAATCGTAAATATAACTTCGATGATTTAGGAAAGGCTTTAATGTCACTTTTTGTGCTTTCATCGCGTGACGGATGGGTGAATATTATGTATACAGGTTTAGATGCTGTTGGTGTTGATCAACAAGTAAGTATATTGCGAGTATTTCTAGATTTTTCGTGTGCCTAATTCTTTCATTTATATGCGCACGTCTGTCTACATTATTCATGTATTCAATGCTATTTTCTTCTTTTCTTTTCCTTTTATTTCAACATCGTCGTCAACTTCGTCAACAAACACAAAAAAATATATAAATTTCCCTTACATTCACTTTCATACACAGCCTATAGTCAATTATAACGAATGGCGTCTTCTTTACTTTATCGCATTCATTCTACTTGTTGGATTCTTTGTGCTTAACATGTTTGTCGGTGTCGTAGTCGAGAATTTTCATCGTTGTCGTGAGGAGCAAGAGAAGGAAGAGAAAATTCGAAGAGCCGCGAAGCGTGCAATTCAATTAGAGAAAAAGCGACGTCGAATGCATATGCCACCGTATTATACAAATTATTCACCACTTAGAATGTTTGTTCACAATGTTGTGACATCAAAGTACTTTGATCTAGCCATTGCTGCCGTCATTGGACTCAATGTTGTGACAATGGCAATGGAATATTATATGATGCCAATTGCACTTGAATATGCATTAAAAATCTTCAATTATTTCTTTACGGCTGTGTTCATATTGGAAGCAGCAATGAAGCTCGTCGCTCTTGGCTTTAAACTATATTTAAAAGATAAATGGAATCAGCTTGATGTGTTCATTGTTATCCTATCAATTGTCGGCATTGTACTCGAAGAGATGGAATCAAAAATTATACCGATAAATCCAACGATTATTCGTGTTATGAGAGTTTTAAGGATAGCACGAGTGCTGAAACTTTTGAAAATGGCAAAGGGAATTAGAGCCTTACTGGATACAGTTATGCAAGCATTGCCGCAGGTAAGATTATGAATTGTTGAAGAGAAAATGAAAAGTTTTCATTATTATAGAACATGTATAGAACTAGAGAGCTTTGGATGGATGATAAAGATGAAGGAAAGGACAATGATTTTCATTTCCTTTATGTTATCTCCCACTCCTACATTCATTCACTAGCTCAACTTGAATAAACTTTAATTAAAGTTTCAACATCTATTTCTCTCTGTTTCTCATTTTTCAAAATTATATAGGTCGGCAACCTAGGGCTTTTATTCTTCTTGCTATTCTTCATTTTTGCGGCACTCGGTGTTGAACTCTTCGGTCGATTGGAATGTTCGGATGAAATCCCATGTCAAGGTTTGGGTGAGCATGCACATTTTGCAAATTTTGGTATGGCATTCCTGACACTCTTTCGTGTTGCAACCGGAGACAATTGGAATGGTATTATGAAGGATACACTTCGTGACGAATGTGATGATGCAGCAGATTGTGTGAAAAATTGCTGTGTCAGTGCGATAATTGCACCAATTTTCTTCGTTATATTCGTATTAATGGCACAATTTGTACTTGTGAATGTCGTTGTTGCTGTTCTTATGAAACACCTAGAAGAAAGTCACAAACAAATGGAGGATGATATGGATATTGAAACGGAGCTTGAGCGAGAAATAGAACGTGAACAGTTGTTTGAAGAGGAACAAGCGTTATGTAAAGAATTAGAGAAACAAAAATCAATTGCACAAAAACGTCCACTAACAAAGGTAGCATCACTTCCATCAAACTTTACATATAGCACACCAATTATAGAAAAGAAATTTAATACGGGCCGAAGGCAAACAGTACAATACTTTAATCCCTTACTCGGTCCTAATATGGGTTGTCCCTTATCATTACGTGAATGGAATCAAACGCCAATCAGTAGCACATGTGAATCAAACGAAAATGATTTGAATGAGCCGGTGCCATCAGGTGCACGTCGATCATCAAAAGCACCAATAAATCGAAGAAATCTTTTACAGAAATTTCGTACACAAAGCTTTGACGTTAAGCTTTTATCGGATACGGGAGATGCAGTTGAAATGGATAGTCAAAATATCAAATTTGGACAATCAAATGGTGGTGGTGAGACTTCTAGCAGCGCCATTAACAATAATTTAATGATAAGTAAGAAGCCAACAGGCATTGCAGCCAAAAAAATTAATTATCGCCAATCTAGCTTGGATTTTGATAATCGTTCAAGTGCATGTAAATTTTTAGATCATAGTAATAATAATGCGAGTAGTTTTATAGGTAATAAATCATTTTTAGCCGTGCCAAAATTGCAAGCAACAAATCGTAGTCGTTCGGGTAGTGCAAAGCAATTATTTAAGCAAGCCGCAATTGTTGATGAGGACGAGCAAATAAATGAAAATAGTTTATTGTTACCGGAAGGCAATACGCCACCCTCACCGCAATCTAATGTTCCATCGTCTAATTCCATTCCCCAAATTCAACTTCCACCATCCAATTCGGGTAGTTTAAAGAATGTTAACGAAACGACAATGCAACCTCCCATATCAGTCATTTCATCGTCATCGTCATCAAGCACATCGTTAGGTCAACAGCAACAATTTAAAATAAGTGAACCTACAATAGCAATGCATACATTGACTGTTGACGATGGAGACGATGGAAATGTTAAAAAGTCTGAGTCTTGCGAATTGCTTCGAGTTATTTCCGAACGACGGAAGCTGTGAGAATCACCTACGCGTAACTTGAAATGATTAATTGTTGCTTGCAATATTGATGGCATTTCTTGACCATTTCTTTTTTTTCTTTTTATTTCACTTTAATTATTATTTTTTTCTCCATTCTTTAACTTTTTCTCTCTTTTCTATCTCCCTACCTTCGAACTCTTTAACTTACTTTATTCTATTAGATGAGTTGTTATCTGGGTTTTAAGGGAAGCTTTTGAATCTTTTCATAATTCAAGATTTTTGACATTTTTTTCTGAATTTCAATTTTTTAAAAATCAAGCACATATCTGATGCACTTTTGTCATACAAATTTCAAGTATCTAATATTAATTTAAACTTAATACGATCAGATCTGTTTAATACACTAAACGAACCTCAATACACTGAATGATAACAAAAAATTGTAAATATTGTGTTGCAATCTTTCTTAAACAAGCCGAACAATATCTGTTAGTAACGAATCGTTAAGTAGATTTGACATAGCCAGAATGCACCACAGGATAGCATTGTTGGTCACTGGGTGGAAGAGCCCTTATACATTGAGGGTCATCAATAGGGCAGTATAAAGTTTATCAGAACAAATAGCGATATTTTAACGGTTGTATGTATTGCCTGATAAGCATAGCATACTAGATAGTGAAACTTCATTACTAAATTAACGGTGATCAATTTAATTTGCAGAAGATCAAAGATGACCGAAAGTTTAACAATCTTAAAACCAGATAACAACCCTCTTCGTCTCTCTCTATCTCTCCTCAACTCTCCTTTTTCAAGAATATATCCCTTGATCGTATAGATTGAAAGAATTATTGTCAATTACTCTAGAAAAAAATACACAATCATACACTTCTCATTGAAAAGTATATAATAATCTATTATTCAAATACTAAAGGTCATTGTTAATTCAGGATAAATAAAGAAGATAAAAATTAATAAAATAGAAGAGAAATTAAATATTTTTAAAGCAATTAGATTAACAAAAGGAGAAGAATAAATACTAAAGAAAAACATATATAAGAAAAACAATAGAGCGAGAGCTTTTATAAAGCGCCAATAGTTATAGTTAATTGTTTACATTTTTCGGCTTGAATGTTATGATAAAAAAAAAACGAGAAAAGAGAGAAAAAAATATAAAAATAATTAAAAATAATAATTGTAATTAAAGCAGCTCTAGAAAGTTCAAATGAGGGAAATCAGATGGAATTTTTTTTCTGCTTCAAAAGCTCTCAAAAAAAAGTTCAAAGAATCTTATTTCTTTTTCATCACTCTTATGTTGCATACATTTCAGCATACAAAACTCGCTTTAATTCAATGTTCAGCAGATTTAAAAACCTTTTTTTTTGTTTTTTTTTGTGCCAATATATTTTTTTCTTTGTCATATAGAAAAATGAGATTATTATATTTAATGTTGAATAATTTTGTCAATTAAGCTTCATAAAAAATATTTTTTTGGTATATTTTTTTTTTCTTAAATTTCTTTTGTTATGCTGCTTATATGATTCAATTATAAATGATATGTATATTTTGTTTTACTTAATGTATACGAAATTTAGTACTTTTCATGTTAATTGTGATATTAAATTATTATTAATGGTGGTGATGTTGATCGTGAAAGATATTTTTATTCCAGTGAATAATGACTTTAATGTCCTTGAAAGCGCTAGCGGAAAAATTCAATTTCATACATGTGCTGCATAGTGACTATTCAGCAAATGAGGTTCTCGCTAAGTTTCAATTTATCAGATAATGGATCGCATTTTTGAGTGAAATTCTATGTAAGCATTTATTTCATGAAGCTGTCTTTTCGATTGCAATCTGAAGAGCTTTAGCGCTGAAGTTTTATGATGACAAAGTCCTATTGTACAGTTAGAAATCGACATTCTCAACAGACAGTTGAGTCTTACAAATAATTTTAAGTGTCGGATTCTATTCCTATTCCAAAAAGCATAAATTTTGTAAATTAAGCTCGAATTAAAAACTTCTGATTCTAGTATACACGTCGTTACGGATCAAATTTCACATAACAAGAACTCAAATTTAAGGATTTGACTTCGATCTTTACTTAGCAAATGACCAGATAAACCACATTCTATCAAGCTTACTTCTGTAGTGAGTGATTTGTTACATTATAATGTAGAAATTGGCATATCTTATTTATCTAATGATCTGTCTTAATTGGTGCTATTTTATTCTATTATTTTCTAAAATTTCTGGTCATTTCGCTAAAATAACTTTTCAGCCTAACCTCAAAATATCGTGTGTAAGTCTTCATACTCATCAAATTTATAATAAGCTTTATAAGAGGCTTTATTGAAGCTCCTCAAAGCATAGAAGATATTTTTAAATAAAGACGACTTTATCATTATGAATAGAGAAGCTCTACATCGTGACTTTGAGGATTTGTAAATTAATTATTGATGTCCTTTAAAAAATATCTTTCAAATCAATGTCATCAGCATCTTACTCAACATCTTTTCTTTCTCAAGTATTGAATTTTATTCAAAAGATTTATCGAGCTTTTCATACATGACGATATATTATTGATATATGGAACATTTCAATGGATTTAGATACGCTTTATGCAGAATGCTTAAAATTATATTCAAATATGAACAAAAATTAATAAATAATTGCATAAAATTTTCTACTTTCAGAAGAATCTCCTTACTACTGTATCTCATGAAATTTATAGTATTTTACATTTATCTTCGTTCATATGAAAATATAACGAAACAAAAAAGTATGGAATTTATGAATCCTCTCCCTTCTGACCCCCTAAAATATAAATATATAAATTGTAAATCTTGTAGCAGCCAATTTTTAAAAATCAATGGACCGAAAAAAGAGATTTTTTTTATTTAAGAATGATGGAAAACTTTTCAATGAAAACTAATAAAATTTTATGAATTTCTGATGAAGCAATAAATGAAATTTAAGAGAAAACAAAATATCGAATTAAGATAGTGAAAAAAAAATGTAATCGGAAATGAAACCTTAGTGAACCTTAATCTAGTGGATCAAATGAATATTTAATTGTACCATTTTAGGAGAAATTCAATGAAAAAAAAAAACAATTTGAGATGAAAGAAAAAATTTATACGACAATCTTATAGATGCGCCTTCTCTGTCTTCTTTTCTTTCTTCCTTCATGATTATTATTTTACTTTATTCAATTTTTAATAACAAAAGATCTGTGTTTATCTTGAAAATTGTATGAATTTAATCAAGGGAAGAAAAAGTTGTAAAAGAAATGTTTTATTGGAGGTTTTTCATTTGATTTTAAGTCTATTGTCTTCAAACGAGAGCAACTGAAGTTTTTCAAGAGTTTTCAGTCACATCTAGCAAGCTTCTTCAAAAAATTGAACTCATCCAAAATTATGCAAATGATTTTTAAAATTATCGATCTTCAATTAAAACAAATCCGTAAAATAAGAAATAGACTATTAAAATTGCAATATAATAAGTCGATTTCAAATTCAAACTTTACAAAGATGAAATGCACTAAAATTTAATGAAAATCCTCTAATCAAAGTCTAATCTGTGGGAATTTGCAAATAAAAAAATAAATAAGGCACAAAAACAGTGAATGATTATGAAAATCAAATTAATGTTAAATGTATAATCAAAGTTTAGGCGATCAAGATAGAAAACTGATGAAAATAATATATATATATATATATATATAAAAAGTTAGGAAGTAATCATAAAGCTACTTATTAAAATTAGCTATTTGAAAAAATTTATATAAGAGAAAAAAGAAATTATTATTGACATGGACGCCATCTCGCAAAGTGACTAAATTAGCATGATGGTGAAACAATAAAGTTAACAATAAATCGAGATTTATTTGCCCAAATATAAAAAAATGAGAGTAAAAACAATTTATGTCAATTTCGAATGAAATCTTCATTAATTAGTAATAATTAAGCATTCTTCTAAAAATGATGGCGTCCTTAAGAGAAAAGAATTCAGTGTGGCTTCTAATCTAATGATAAAATACTACCGTAGTGTAGCCAGAGGAGAGTAGGAGGTCTGAGAGAACTCTTTTTCGGCTACGCTACTTGATTACTTTTGTGCTAGCTAATTAGATTATTTTAAATTGCAATTTTGGAGTATTTTCTAGTGGTTCTATAATCGTCATCATAGAGAGTAACTAGCAAATTGCTAGTCTTTCTATTCTACAACTTGCAATTTACTAGTTATTATTAAAACAACTTACTGTTATTAAATTACACTTGCTATTTACAAGCAAATTACCATGTAAAATGTTTGATCAAATCTGCTTAAGTTCGAATCTTACGAAAAATCATCAAAAAAATAATTTTTTGCGTCATAAAAAATTTTGTTCTAAATTTGGCATTTGCCATATACTTCACAAGAGCGCGCAAAAGTCACCTTTATAAACTCGATCCAAATTTGTATGTGACCTTCAATTAATTATTTATGTTCCTCGGGTTTACGTGCGAGTCATGGGCGTTCATCACTATTCGACTTAATTAAATTAAGTCTTTTATTTTTTTTCATAGTGTTAGTGTACTTTAAAGAACTTTAAATAAGTACACACTAATACTTTTATAATAATTTACACAAATAAGAAAAATCAAAAGAACACGTGGAAATCAATGGTTATATTCATTTAAATTTTTTAAAAATTTGCTAGTAAATTACTAGTTAAATTGTAAGCGAATTGACTAGTCAATTAGCAAGCGAAAATGCAGATCTTTGGCGATGATTTGAACTTGGATTTTGACTAGTAAATAGCAAGTAGCAAATGGAAAGTTATCCAGTAAATTACTAGGAAATTACTAGTAAATTTCTGGGGTTTAGTCTATTAAAAATGTTTCCAAATTTTCAAATATGGCTATATCATCACTAAAACACAACCCCATCGAACCACTAGCATTTATACACATTAGTTAAAAGGGTTAGAAAGTAAAATATTTAATCTATCGTTAAGTTTTTATAATTACAGTTCTATAAATATGTTGTAAATTCATATATCTGATATTTTTAAAGCAATTTAATTATTATAAATTTATGAAATATTGCACAAGAAATGAGTTTCTATTAATTATATTACGCAGAAAAAAAGAGGAAAATATTTTTAAAAAACGATAAAAGTATAAATGTCGAACTTTAATCTGTGATATTTTTCGCTAATTTCTCTTTAATTATTTCCATTGAACAAAAGATTTAAAGCAAAGAAAAAAGAAAATACCCAAAGGGGCCATTCACTTATTACGTAACGCTTTTAGGGGGAGGGGGGGGTCTAAGATTTTGTTACGATTCAAGCAAGGAAATTTTTTTTTCATACAAATTTTGTTACGAGGGGGGGGGGGGGGGTCTAAGAAGTCATTTTTTCGCGTTACGTAATAAGTGAACAGCCCCAAACGAAATCCTTACGATTGTGAAAATTGATATGCTCAAAATTATTTCTTATTAAACATTTTTTTATTAATTTTAAATTAAATCGCGATTTAATTGTTTGTTGTTAAGTGTAGAGAAGATTGAATTTACCATAGAGGTTGTCTGATCCACAAAAGTGCGTCAAGTGATCCTCAGAGAAAATATTAACAATAGTTATTAGAAAGATTTTTTCCTTGTGTAGCAGGATTTAGAAATAATTTTTTATTAGAAGAAAAGATTGTTATCTAAGAAATATAATAATAAAAATATCGATTGATAATTATAGATAATAACCCCAGTTCTTAAGATCAACTTTATCCAAATGAATTCTTTTAGTTTGCTATAATCAAATTTTTTATGGCTTTTGGTTTGATCAGAGTTCAAAATAAACTCAACTAAACATTTTCATACAAAATTCCAGTCGATTCGAGCTCTGACTTTGGTTGCTGATTCGTAAAACTAAAATTATTAGAATGAAGCCAACATTCAGGAGAATATTAATTCAATTCTTGCTTAAGATCTCACAGTTTTTAGTGAATATCAATGTTATTATATATCTAAAGTTTTATATAATTTTATATTTAAACTAGAAATATTCATGGCATAAATTTGATCTAAAGAACTAAACAGAGAAATAAAAGAGAAAATAGTATATCAGGCGTGAAAAGAATTCTTTTGCAGAATGAAATAGTCAATTTTTAATTGCCAAACAACATTTCTTACTCAGAAATTTCTGCCAAAAAAACTATAAAACGATTCACATTTGAATAAACTTTCAGTATTTTCATAAAATGCTCAAGGAACTACAAAAAGAAACTTTTCCCTTTCATTTTCACTCACACATCAATTTTGATTTTTGAACTTATTGAAATATTTAAGAAACTGTGCCTTCTCCAAGATATTTAAAAGAAAAAAAAACTAAGCGAAATTTAATAATTATAATCACGAATAAAAATGATAATAATTCTGTCTACTTAATAAAATGACACGAAAACTTTTTCACATCTCTTGAAAGAATCTTTCAATCATTGAGCATTTACTATTGTAGTGATAAGATAAAAATTGTGCTAATTCTATCAGTACCGACTCAATCAAATTAATTTAATTATTTTCCATCTATCTTTTTCTATCAAATCATTTAACTCTATCCTTCATAGTGAACCTTAATAAAAAATTTCCACTAAAAAAAGGCAAGAAAATAATTATTGATCTGTTCAATAGCTGCAGAAGGGAAATGAGCACAAGAAAAATGTTATTTTAAATTAAAAGAAATCTTTTGCAAAGCAAGATTAAAGATTGTAACAATAGATTATATAAGAGTTTAATCAAAACAGTAAAAAAAATGAACGATGAAGAAAAAGAAACTGAAGAATGTAGTATTAATTAATAATTTATGAGAAACGATCACAAACAATCGAGATAATTTAAAAATTAGATGATGAAAAATAATAAAAATTGAAGTAATAAAAATTTAGAAGATATAAAAACCTGGCTGATTTGCTTGTAGTTTTAATTTTTTCAGATCTTTTTAATCACGAGACAACATTCTAAATCATTCCTTATTTTAACATTGTCATAAGGGCCAGTTTTCAATAGGATCTCGTTAAGCAGCAGCTTTTTTCATCTTAAGAAAGACTGAAAATAAGGACGATTGAGTAATTGCAACGCTGTACAGTTACATCACACTGGGTATATTAACACAGTGTACCTGGTAACAGATTGTGTGCCGCATACAAAAGTTGATTGAACCAAAACGGTGAAAATTCAATTAAATTGAACTCCTCATTTCTTAACAAACCTAGTAATTGCAACAAAGGTGGACATTAATGCTAAAGCACTTCTTTTGAAACTTCTGGAAAATTTGAAATAAGTCTTGAAAGAACTACTTGATCCACCTGCTCCGATGTCGTCTGAATCCAAATTTCTTTAACACTTCAACTTCACGAGTCTTGCAAGCTTATTTAAATTTATTACTTTGAAACTTGTCAATTCCGTTCTACTATCACTATCACACTGGGTATATTAATACAGTGTACCTGTAACAGATTGTGTGCCATACAATAGTTGATTGAATCAAAACGGTGAAAATTCAATTAAATTGAACTCCTCATTTCTTAACAAACCTAGTAATTGCAACAAAGGTGGACATTAATGCTAAAGCACTTCTTTTGAAACTTCTGGAAAATTTGAAATAAGTCTTGAAAGAACTACTTGATCCACCTGCTCCAATGTCATCTGATTCCAAATTTCTTTAACACTTCAACTTCAAGCTCTTGCCACATTATTTAAATTTATTACTTTGAAACTTGTTAATTCCGTTCTACTATCACTATCACACTGGGTATATTAATACAGTGTACCTGTAACAGATTGTGTGCCGCATACAAAAGTTGATTGAATCAAAACGGTGAAAATTCAATTAAATTGAACTCCTCATTTCTTAACAAACCTAGTAATTGCAACAAAGGTGGACATTAATGCTAAAGCACTTCTTTTGAAACTTCTGGAAAATTTGAAATAAGACTTGAAAGAACTACTTGATCCACCTGCTCCAATGTCATCTGATTCCAAATTTCTTTAACGCTTCAACTTCAAGCTCTTGCCAGCTTATTTAAATTTATTACTTTGAAACTTGTTAATTTCGTTCTACTATCACTATCACACTGGGTATATTAATACAGTGTACCTGTAACAGATTGTGTGCCGCATACAATAGTTGATTAAATCAAAACGGTGAAAATTCAATTAAATTGAACTCCTCATTTCTTAACAAACCTAGTAATTGCAACAAAGGTGGACATTAATGCTAAAGCACTTCTTTTGAAACTTCTGGAAAATTTGAAATAAGACTTGAAAGAACTACTTGATCCACCTGCTCCAATGTCGTCTAATTCCAAATTTCTTTAACACTTCAACTTCAAGCTCTTGCCAGCTTATTTAAATTTATTACTTTGAAACTTGTTATTTCCGTTCTACTATCACTATCACACTGGGTATATTAATACAGTGTACCTGGTAACAGATTGTGTGCCGCATACAAAAGTTGATTGAATCAAAACGGTGAAAATTCAATTAAATTGAACTCCTCATTTCTTAACAAACCTAGTAATTGCAACAAAGGTGGACATTAATGGTAAAGCACTTCTTTTGAAGCTTCTGGAAAATTTGAAATAAGACTTGAAAGAACTACTTGATCCACCTGCTCCAATGTCGTCTGATTCCAAATTTCTTTAACACTTCAACTTCAAGCTCTTGCCAGCTTATTTAAATTTATTACTTTGAAACTTGTCAATTCCGTTCTACTATCACTATCACACTGGGTATATTAATACAGTGTACCTGGTAACAGATTGTGTGCCGCATACAAAAGTTGATTGAACCAAAACGGTGAAAATTCAATTAAATTGAACTCCTCATTTCTTAACAAACCTAGTAATTGCAACAAAGGTGGACATTAATGCTAAAGCACTTCTTTTGAAACTTCTGGAAAATTTGAAATAAGACTTGAAAGAACTACTTGATCCACCTGCTCTAATGTCGTCTGATTCCAAATTTCTTTAACACTTCAACTTCAAGCTCTTGCCAGCTTATTTAAATTTATTACTTTGAAACTTGTTAATTCCGTTCTACAGTATTTAATAAACTAAATGCTAAAAAAAAATTACAGCTTAACCACCAGACATTTTCCTCTTCATCTCCTCATCAGCTGAAGACATTGCTGTCAATTTCTTACCGATCCTCTCATGCACATCAAGATATTTAGCTACACATCGATCAATGCACACCATCTCTCCTTTACCCAGTTCAGAATCGGAATATTTTGGTGGAATACACTTTTTGTGACAGGCATTTGTCATGCGATTATATAGATCACTCATCATCTCGATTTCGAGGTCTTGCATCATCTGCAGCTTTACTTGTTCGCCTGGGCTTAATTGAGATGTATCCATTTTGATATTATTTACTGTCTTCTTTTTATATACTTTAATTAATTATTGTTATTATTATTTTGAATTTCTTAGCACTTTTTATTGACTTTTGTTTGCTTCTCCTCCTACAAATCGTTCTGTTGCTTCCTGGAAGTTGATAATTGTAAATGTTACAAGTTACAGCACTGGATCTTCAGCATTTAAAGACTTACATATAATCCTTCGTTTGATTTCTTCATACGTTCACGTACTTTCATATTATCATAACGCCTTTTATCAACTGAAGTTTTGGAGTAGGTGAATCCAGTTATGCCGACAACAACTAATACAGTCCTAGAATGAAAAGACATGATTAATTAGAGTAAAATTGAATTTTTAAGAGGTTAAAGTGACATTTGTGTAATTTAGTGATTTCTTGGAATTAATTTAACGTACCAACCAACTCCAATCTTTCCAAGTTTACCTAACTGCATATCAATGAAACATAAACTGTACCTTTCTTGGGTTTTCTCGAGTTTTTCAGGAAAATTAATTTTTTTTGCTTTTAAGAAATCTAAAATGACACAAGAGTTTGAATTTAAAATGACTGTTATGTTTTGAAGAAGGGATACTACTATGATTTATATTAACAGTCGAAATAAATTTAAAATTCCGAGGGGAAACAATTGAGTCAATTCAGAATTTGTTTTTATCTCACTCTTTATTAAATTTTTGTAATTTTAACCAATTTCTAAGTAATAAAATGCCATCAAAAAAGCGAAAATACAACGCTAGGTTTCCAGCAGTAAGTATAGAACTCTAATTTGCTATTAAAACTATCAAAATCGTGAAATAATCGATAAAAAATAAAAGTGAAAACAAAACAAATTTGTTGTCACAAAAAAAAATTGTAATAAAATTAATTTTAAATTACTTTAGGGTCGCATAAAACGAATTATGCAAGCAGATGAAGAGGTCGGAAAGATCGCTCATGCAGTTCCTGTTATTATTTCACGCACGTTGGAATTGTTTGTAGAAAGTCTATTGACAAAAAGTTCCCAAATAACACTTGCGCGAAACTCCAAAACGCTTAGTCCAAGTCATCTAAAACAGTGTATAATGTCTGAATCACGTTTTGATTTCCTCAAGGATCTCGTCAAAAATGTCCCCGATATATCGAGCGAAGAGGGTAGTGGATTTGTGAACGAGGAACATCCACAACCAAATCAAGAACAAATATCAGTGCCAGCTACATGTAAGCCTCATACTTTTACTTAATATAATGTAATACAGTTAATAACATTGTTTTTTGAATCATTCAGATAATGGCAACGAGTCAAATGGATCATCGAGTTCCGTACAGCCAAGAATTTATCAACGGAGTCAGTCGTTTCAGCCATCGACAAGTACGCAACAACAACAGCAGCAGCAGCAGCAGATACCACAATATCATAATACAACAACAATACAGCAGAAACAATTTTATCTTAATAATTATACATCTATTAGTAAACAGAATACCAAACAACCAAATCCAAATATTCCTCAGCTTAATGAATATCGTCCCTCGCCAGCTAAAATTTCACGATTTAATTCAATACCCTCCTCAACAATTACCTCAGAGCAGCAGCATCAACCATCATCACTACTACCACCACCACAAACTAAGCAATCCAGCCTAGCACCATTAGAATTTCCAATTCAAATTACATATAATATTGATGGTAAAGCTACAGCAACTGATTCACCAACTGTGAAAATTGACTATAGCAAGTTATCGTTGCCTGCAACAAGCCCGTCTATTAAAATAGATTTGAGTAACTTCAGTTCACCAATGACAACTACATCAACTATTCAGCAGCCATCGAATGCATCTGCTTCCGCGACTTCTTTAGATGAGGATTATGATGCTTAAGTTTAAGTAAGAGAGGACCATAATTTAATAAAATTGATTGAGGATTGATTTTAGTCTAGAGCTTTTTTTGAGTTCAATTTTTTCTAAAACCGTACAAAAGTTTATTTTAAACACATTTATATTGTTTTTGTGTTTGAGAACTATACAATTGTTTGAATTATTCAGAACCATACAAATGTTTTGGTTGATGTAGGAATTGTATGGTTTTGCTGATTTCTTGCAATTGTATGGTTTTGATCTATACTTTGTGAAACCCTACAAATGTTTAGAATTTGTAGAGTTCTTCACATAAAATCAATTAGCTTTGCGTGATTCGATCAAAATCAAATAAATTTTCTTTAATTTACTATAAAATCAATCCAAAATTATCAACTGTCAAATTCATGAAATATATAAAAAAAAATTGATGCTTTACACGCGAATTAATTTACAATAAGACAAATGGAATAATAATATGAAAAATTTGGTTATTTGAACTTTTCTTGAACTTTTTGTTATTTTGATAAGAAAAAAAAATATCTTTTGAGATTAAATGAGAATACAAACAATTTTTTTAATTTTGCGGAATTATAGAGAAGTAAAAAAAGTATTTTTAAAAAATTTGTTATTTATTTTTTAAAAATAATCTTTAAATTACAGTCTAACATATTTTAAACTTAAAAAAATCATTTTTTTGATCGTCATTATTTCCTTAAAACTAGTAATTTTATGGCAACATAAAAAAGAGTTATTAAAAAAAGTTATTATTTTGAATCACATTCTGTTTTAGTGTACAAATCTTCGGTTTCGTTATTATCAGTTGTGTGGACTTGACTTAATAGTCGATTCTCGACGAAAATTTCACTCGGCTTTCTTCCCATTTCGTCGTGCTCATCACTTTTTATCATCGACTCACTCACAACTCGCTTGAAACTCACAAGATGAATATCACGAGAATCAGAATTTGCTGGTAAATCGTGATTATTTCTGTCACTTACTGACACAGTTTTTTGTATTTTTCTATAACGCTGTGGAATTGAAAGTGATGACGATAATCTCTTTGAAGACTCGGCAAAGTCTGTGGAATCTTCTGATATTCCACTTAGTGTCTTAATTGACGTAAATTCCTGATTAACAATATTAAGTTCCTCTCCACTAACATTTCGAATTGAAATGACTTGTTCAAGAACTTGCGAATTTCCTTTTGACTTATTACTCAATGATTCTGACGAGCATGTCGATGACCGTCTTTGACAACAAAGCTTTTCCTCGCACGTGATTTGACGACACGCTACCAAACACAAAGCTGATTCTTCTTCAGTGGATAATTTTGACTCGCTAAAGCCTTGCTCAATGCAATCGAGTGTCTTAAACTCTGGCTGAATTGTGACAATATTTATGTCATGTTCGTGAAAGAAATTTATGATGTCGTTAATGCACTCGTTAAAGACTGATGGATCGTGGAAAATCATGTGAACTGTAGCGACGAATTTCGCATGTGTTAATTGCCAGATATGAAAGTCGTGAAGTGAATCAATTTGTGGGAATTTCGCTAGAATTTTATTATGTAGTTCCTTAATGTCTATCGTATTGGGTATCGTCTGCAGAAGAATCATTCCAGCTTCCTTCACTGTAAGATTGAACAGAAATTTAATTAAATTAATAATCGTGAGAAATAATAAAAAGCAGTTTAATGTGGAATGATCAGGTCAAGTGATGGATATTAGTCACTTTAAATTTTCATCTGCGTGTTAATCAAAATTGTTAATAGTTTCATTGAAATTATCGTAGAGAAGAGACAAAAATAGCTTTTTAGCGCCTAACGTATATGATTTAATTGGTGTCATGCGTATTTTATTAAGTTTTTTTATGATGAAAACAAAAAAAAAATATTTTTTAAAAGCCCAAGAAAACACAATTTAGAAATATCAATTTTTGGGGATTTGAACCCTCGTAAGAAATTGATCGATCAAGATTGGACCAATGAGATCATTAACACTTATTAATTAATACTTACTGTAAGGGTAACTTAAAGTCAATAAAAGCACGATTGACAATATCGCAAAAAACGGATCAATGAATTGTGTCTCAAATGATTCCTTATCATTGCAAACAACAATCACAATAGAACAGATAATAACCATTACTGAGCCTAGAAAACACAATGATTTATGTTAATGTAAATATTATTTTAAATTAAGTACAATAAATAATTTAAACGTACTGCAAACATCTCTTGACAATTCATGAATGCGTTGAGATTTCCTTTTTAATTTTTCCTCCGTCGAGACTTGTCGCTTCTCGCTGATATTTCGCTCGAGAACGAAAACTGTGCCGTCTTCTGTGAGGTGTAAGAAGCTGCCTTGATGAAATGTATAGCCACCAATTAATAAATAACTGATTCCATTCAAAACTAATCCTAATGCCCCGAGGATAATGCAAATCTCATAAGTATAGGAGTGATACTCGTCTTTATGGTCAAGATGGTCATGATGACCCACATGAAATAATGTCTGAATGACTTCAACAACAACAGAGAAGCATAATGATGTTAAAAATACACAAACAATAATCATAGTCAGCACATCGACTCTCGCCCATCCAAATGTATTTTTGAGCGAACTCTCGCGATTCTGCTTCTTTTTCTCGCTCATGTGCTTATTCACAATTTCTTTTTGCTTCACATCTTCTTTGAGCTCCTCAATTGACTCGTTTGATGACACCGACGACCGCTTGTTACGGCTACTGTCGCCCTGAAATGATTTAAAATTAAGGATTTTTTCAGTTTAAAATTCTTTGTCTTAAAATATTCAAAATTTATGGCTGTAAATTACATGCAGTTACAGATTAATTTAATTCTGAACAAAGAATGTCGAGCAATGACTTTTGCATGTATAGCGCAATTTATTGAGTATATAGCAGCTGACATGTGCTCACGCATTCTATAAAAATAAATTTTTGTCAATGTTGCATCTTATAAAATGCTAACAATAGAACTGGTTTCGAACCCATGTCGTTTCTACCTGCATTGAAGCCAAATAATCCCAAAATATTTTCAAAATTCTCAAGTTTCAGTCGAATGTGTGTAAATGTGAACATTCCTACAATGCGTGAGCACTTCTTCGTTATTTATTTTTAAACATGAGATAAAAATTATCGGGTTTCGAACACATGCTCGTACAATGTGTTGAATGGAAAATTTTCATTATTTATTTTCATTACGTGTGTTATTTTTGGTGCCATAAATATTTCGAGTATGTGTTGCTATGTCAAAACTCCCTCACTTCAACATAATTTATATCACATGTAATAATCATATGCATCTAAAATTGTTTACGGAGTTTTCTGATTCCTTCCTTGCTTGATTTACATACAAAAAATGCGTAAACAAATTTGGAACTATTTTTAAAGCAGAAAAAGGAAGGAAATGTGCAAAGAAAGAGATAGAAAATGTTTTTGACGTCATTTTTAGTCGTGAAATTTTTCGGATACACTTTTCATTTGGCTTTAAGAAGTTGAGGAATAAAGAACTTAGTATAAAATAATAATCAATAAAGCATACAAAAATTGAATACCGTTAGGATAAATGTACAGTGCCTAAAATCACGATAATAAGAAGATAATTAGTGAAGTCAGAAGAAGGTATCATGGAGAGTCAATTATTGTTGTTGAATCGTATGGTTCACTGAATATTGTTGTCTAATATTTATGAAGAAGAAAGATTCTGATGTTGTGTGACACACTTCAGAACTTCTTTAAGAAATTGGAGAGAATTTTCATATAATTGGTGATTCACAGTATTCAGACCCATCCAGAGCTCGAAGTCGACTCGAGTTGACTCGATAAAAATGAAGTAGACTCGGATAAGTTGAGTCAACTCGAACCCTATAGACTTCGAGCTCTGGACCCATCTATGCGCTGTTTAGAGGTTATACTTGGTCTGAAGAATTTATGGCAAGGGAGATTGAGGTCAATAGTGGATTTCAACCTTGATTAATGAATGATTTTGATAAGGAATTGGCCATAAAATAATTAAAATAAATAATGAAAGTACAACAATTCATATCAAATCCGTTCCTTTAATAGTTGCATTCGTTTGTAACCAAATCATTCAATTGCTTAGGGGCCGTTCACTTATTACGTTCGCATTTTAGGGGGGAGGAGGGGTTTGAAAAATTGTAACAAAATGGGGGGGGGGGGGTTGTGAGTTGTAACATATTGTAACAAGGGGGGAGGGTGAAAAAAGTCATTTTTTTGCATAATGTAATAAGTGAACGGCCCCTTACGCTAATCATATGAATTAAGAATCTAATAAAAAATGTTATTAAATACTCATAGTAACAGCCTTTTATAAGCGTTCCAAAGTTTAATTACATAATAATCAGTATTCCTGATAATATACTTTCTCTTTAACTACCTGTTAACTGCCTATTAAATGAAGCAATCGAGAGAACCTCTCATCATCAAACGCATAATGCGAAATCATTCATAATATAAATTATGTAGGGTTCGCCCACATGCGCATGTACTGCATGTAAATTTTTATATTCACACCGTTTTCACGTGTGAATCTATTGGTTTTGTTCAGATTGAAAAATCAGTTTTTCGCATTTTGTGAGAAAACAAAGCAAAATTGGTTATAAAAGGGCTAGAAGAAAAGTTTGTGCCTGAAATTTTACATCATTTTCAAAAAACAGATTTCAAATTGGTTGTGGCATTGCTGAGAAAATCGCAAAATACGCTTTCTGTAAGCAAACAAGCAAGCAAGCAAGCAAGCAAGTTAATCAGCAAGAAATCTCAATAACGAGACATCGTCTGCTCTATAGAAGAGCTGTATTGTTTTTGGGCAAGGTAGGAACAGCCGTTGCTTCAGAAATGGCAAAAAACTTTCCTTTCTTACGAATTTTTTAAAACAAAAGTTGACTGTGATTTTTATAAAATTCAACTTTGGATGAAAATTTTTTTTAAAAAACTTTTAAAGAATATTTGGCATATTCGTCAAGCTTTATACCTTCAAACTTATGCTGAGCGTAGCTCAGCTGACTCGATAGCTTTATATCTTCAAACTTATGCTGAGCGAAGCTCCACTGCCTCTCTAGCTTCATATCTTCAAACTTATGCTGAGCGTAGCTCAGCTGACACTCTAGCTTTATATCTTCAAACTTATGCTGAGCGTAGCTCAGCTTACGCGATAGCTTTATAACTTCAAACTTATGCTGAGCGAAGCTCAGCTGCCTCTCTAGCTTTATATCTTCAAACTTATGCTGAGCGTAGCTCAGCTTACGCGATAGCTTTATAACTTCAACTTATGCTGAGCGAAGCTCCACTGCCTCTCTAGCTTCATATCTTCAAACTTATGCTGAGCGTAGCTCAGCTTACGCGATAGCTTTATAACTTCAAACTTATGCTGAGCGAAGCTCAGCTGCCTCTCTAGCTTTATATCTTCAAACTTATGCTGAGCGTAGCTCAGCTTACGCGATAGCTTTATAACTTCAAACTTATGCTGAGCGAAGCTCAGCTGCCTCTCTAGCTTCATATCTTCAAACTTATGCTGAGCGTAGCTCAGCTTACGCGATAGCTTTATAACTTCAAACTTATGCTGAGCGAAGCTTAGTTGACTTATCAAGCTTCATACCTCCATACTACTGATGGGCAAATCTTGGTCTATCCATAAGACTTATGATAGTACGGTGTGAATATAATCCGCATTGGGTTTCTACCCGATACACTAGTTTAAAACAAATTTTACAAAAATAATGTTTTTAATTAATTATATTCCTTTTATCATATTTATCAAAAATTTCATAAAAATATGATAAAAACGTTAAAATTCGCTTCAAAACTGCTTAAAAAGACAGGTTCTTACATCAGAACACTTCTAATTTGACCTTCTACTCACAAGATTTGGTGTCAAATTGATCAAAAGTGTCCAAATAATCATTATTGAGACATATTGAAACGAATCCAGCAAAAACTAGAAGTTTCAATTTTTTTTCTCAGATATACATGCGCATGTTACGTGCGCATACATGCGCATGACAATTTGGCGAACCCTAAAATTATGTTAAAAACTAATCAAAAAACAATTGCATCACATCGCACATTATGTGGTACAACATCTAAATTACGTTAGCTTTCTCTTGACAACTATTTGAATTGCGCAAAAAGCTCGAGGAATATTTTGAATTTTTTTGTGTTTTTTTTTCATTTTTATTCGCTTTTCCATTTAATCGAATTAAGCAATTTTTACGAGTTTGTTGACAAATCTCAATTTGAAAAAAAGTATCGTGTGATTCGCAATGCTAATCGATACAATTTAAATTAAGTAATTTATAAGTTATTCAAAACAAACTGATAGATCAGGAGTTGTGTACTAGTGATGGCTAGGATTGCGACTCTATTGTTATGCTGAATAGTAGAATGTTTGGCAAATAAGACTAGATATAAAGTTTGATTTTAATAAAAATTAGATTTAGACAAACTTTTAAGAATTAAAATCTCTGTACCATATCCATTCCTATCCACCAACATTCAAATCATAAACATCACTAGTGCACGACCCTACCCGATCTAAATAGCTGTAAATGAATCTCTCGACTTAACACAATAGATCTTTGACAAGCAAATTTATTATTTGCAATTACAATTAAATCAAAATAAATCAAGGTCAGTTAGACTGAATGAATTCAACTGTGTTGAATTGTCCAGAATCGACAGATGACACAAGAGGAAACGATTATTTAATAAAAATCGAGTAGTGGAAAATAAAAATTTGAGGAAAAAAAGTTTGTTTTTGTCATTTGCGGTTAGATTTTGTTGATCAAAGCATTGTGGATAGTTTTTGTGTGTCAATTTTTTCGACATTGACCTTCTCATGAGCAATTGTAAGAACAAATTAGAAGAATTCAAAGGGTTATGGGAATTATTTTGAATTATTTTGACAAAATAAGAATTATTGCACAAAACTCCAATGTTAAGCACCTCCTGACTTAAAACACTTTAAATTTGTAAATCAACTTGGCACGAATTAGTAAATCTTGATAATTCCATCACATACTGCTTTAATTACATATTTATAGCCTCTTAAATGAGATATAACTCTTATCTCAAACGCTTTATTATCTGTGAAAATTTGATACAGCACCTAGCCAGTAACAATATTGTTCATAGAGTATTAGCTTTTTGACACGCACACCAAACAAAATACTTTGTAGATAGAAGAAGATCTATTTTGAGTAAGCTTGATGAGTCATATGAGGTACAAAGTATATAATTAAACTACAGAAGTGGACTCTTATCATTAGAGCCATTAGTTAATTATTCAAAAGGCAGCAAGATGTATGACAAATCATTCTGATGCTAACAATCTTGAAGGCTGTTGCTTGAAATATAAAAAATTGTGGTTTTTCGATTTTAATCGCAACTGACCTACGAAATCGGAATTGCTTGGGGTTTCATTTCAGTCCATATAAACAAAATTATATAAATTTTTTTACGACAAAATAAATGCGGAATTTCTCCTTGCATTTTAGGAGCTTTAATTGAATGATTGAGGTGTATAGCTAAATTTTTATTATTTTTGTAAGTGTTTCTTATATCGTGATTTATTCATTGCTGCAATTATGGTAATTTACTTGATTTATGTGTAATGAAATGCTTTGATGGTTCTTAAAATGTCATGGATATGGTGTTTTCTAGATTTGCTAATATTTGGGGTTTTGGGAAGTGTGGATGGATATATTTAAATCTTGTTCTTTTGGTTTAAAAGGAAGTTGGTTCTTCAAATAGAATTAAGTCGTTTAAAACAGTATAGATTAAATTTTTGCTTTATAGCACACAAGTCGCTATTTTGAAGATTAAATGGCATACTGGAAGCCATTTGAAGACTTAATGGCACACTAGTGACTATTTTGAAGATTTAATTGCACAGCACTAGGGTTTGGGGAACCTGTTAACAGAAAACAGAAAAACAGCTGTTTTTCGACAAAAATCTGTTAACGGAAAACAGGTCTCAAAAACAGATCTGTTTGCTGTTTTTCATTTTTACATATAATTTCCCAAAAAAAATTTCTTAATTTTTGGAAGAACTTAAAATTATTTTTTTAAAATTCCAAATTGAAATGTATCAACTTTTTTAATATTTTTTGAATGTTTAATAGGTTTTTAAAAAAATCATCAAAACTATGATTAATCATTATTAAGTTTGCAATCGAAATTTTAAATTTGTTGAATTGAATCTTTTGTAACATTTACCAAAGTTCAAAAATCTAATCAACATTTTTAAAAGATTTTGTTTTTTAAAATTTCAAAAAAATATTAAAGTTTATGAAGCTTTTACAATGCAACAATGCAATTTTACTTAAAAGTACAAATATTTTTTTTGGGTTTTTTGGTTTTTTATATTCATTTATATTTTTTAGAGCTAATTAATGAAAAAGTGAGAAAAAATAACGCTTATTTCTATATTGAATGGTTATAACTGCTTATAACCACCAAAAAATTTCTTTATCTTAGAGAAACTCATAGGCTTACTCAGTTTATTTTAAATTGTGGAAAAACAGGAAAACAGCTGTTTTTAAAAATTAAAATCCGAAAACAGACTGTTTTCAGAAACAGCTGTTTTCCACAAACCCTACACAGCAGATACCATTTTTAAACTCTTTTTCGCACACTTGTAGCCATTTTGAAGACTATGGCACACTAGACACCATTTTTAAAACTTTTTCTAAGACAAGAAGCCATTTTGAAGACTTTATGGCACACCAGAAGCCACTTAAAGAATTCATGGCATATTAGTAGCCATTTATATGATTTTCTGGCACATCAGATTCCAAAAAAATTATATTTGATGTAGATCTGATTAAAAATGTTCAAAATAAAATTAATTAAATCCACAACCTTCCCAAAGATGAGGAACCACTTAGAAAATGGATATCAGCATCGAAATACCTCAACCTTAATTAGAAACTGAATGACTTCTAATATTGAAAACATTTTTATAAAAAATCTGCCTGTAAATGAGGCTTTTAATCAAGGAAAGATGCGCTTTAGTCGGTCAAGAATGACTGCATTCATATTGAACTCAATAAATTATATTTTTCAATAAATTCAATTCTGAGAATTATCAAGTCTCAAATTAACAAAGTCTTAAAATCTTCTCAAGTATCAATGGGTACCAAATCGCTACTACATCTTCTGAAAAGCTAATAGTAGATAAAAGATAAATTATCACATAACTCACCTTAATGCTAATGATACATCCACTTAGTGCTATTATGTTACATAGCATATGATAAGTCTGCACTAATAATGTAATTGACTGTGACGTTTGGCTGATATAGAATTGTACTAAGAAATAACAGACACTTAAAGCTAGCACAATATAGACCTGTATTGGCTGAAGACGGTGAAGTAATTCTTTCATTGGCATAGTATTATTGTCGTATACGTTGTTGACAGTCTCCTATTCTAGCTCTAACCGGCTTGCAGAATTTTCTGTGAATTAAAAAGAAATTTTGTAAAATTAATTGACAGAAGTGAACAACACTATTGATTTGCTAAGCTTAACGTCTTAAACTGATAAGAATTATCTGCTCCGATAAGATTATGAACAGTCTGTAATTTTATGACTGCTGCAAAAACAAGCATGAAGATAACGAAGACAACAAAATAAATTGTTTAACATAAAATTCTCAGAAATGCATGCTTAATCTCCCATCGTCTGCAAAAATTTGTTTCAAATCTTTTTTAATTCACAGCATGAAGCATACATTTTCGTTATGTGCACATCCAGCCCAAATATATCATTCTTATTCATTAAAAGTCTCGCATTTCATTTTCGATTATTATTTTCAAAGATTTTTGTATTCTTCATTTCCATACAAGCATGTCTCAATATGGGTCAATGAGCCGAAAAATGTGTGAATTTGCTTTTGTCTACGGTTGCCTACAATCACCGCTTAACCACAATGATAACTTAAATCACAGTTGAATGGATAGAAATTGACTTTTTTTGGACAAATAATTGCAATGAATAAATTGAATTAAAAAACAGAGTTCTTGACAACAAAAGGCAAGCTTAAAGTGTCAAGATAATGCTGGTTCTCACGTTAACAATGAACACATTATTTGTGCGTGCAGTCAATTGTCGTGTACGACTTTGAGTATGCAGTTACTGGTATTATTAATTGATATTATTACAATCACTGCTTACAATGTAAAACGGTCTGGTTGAGGTGCAAAGGTTGTTTTTTAATATTTTAAAATTTAACGGGTTTTTTAAATTTGAAATTTTTTGATTCATAATCTTTTGTTTGAAAAAGCCAATAATTTTTTGAATTTTTACCGATTTTTTAAAATTTGAAATTTTATTCTTTAAGTTTTAAGATTTTTCTGTTAAACTTTTAACTTATTGCAAAAAGGAAGCTACTAATTTTCAATAAGTTTCAACTTTTATCCAATCGCATAGGTTCACTTATGACGTCCGAATTTAACGGTCATTTTTCATAAAAGAACAATGGATTTCCAGAAATTTCTATTGTTCTTTTCTTGCTGACCCCCCCCCCCCCCCTGGACGTCATAAGTGAACGGCCCCATATCTACATATTTGACTGATAAGACACAATCAACTCGAAAATCAAAGGTTACTGACACTATTTATCAAATATATCTATATACGACTTAAATTAATTTAATAACCAAACTATTCTTTCTCGAATGATAAGTAGGAAAATCATACTTGATGTCTAAAAAAAGACACGAAACGAGTAGGAAAACATTGTTGACATCTTTAAAGTCTGCTCATAATAACAATTTTTCTCCTACACTTCCACATTTCACACGATCATGTGCGCGATGATTGTATCAGTTCATATCATATGATGATCATCATGACTTGATAATGTAACTGCATTTATGTGAAATAAAAAAATAACACACGACAACACACTCATTGACATTTTGTGTAAATTGGCCATCACACATCTATTTCGTGGTGAAGGATATATTATAAATATTATTGCAGTTTTTTTTTTAATCGATTGCCAAACTTGTAAGGCGATTCACGGACAGTTTTATCGATTATGTCTATGAATATTTATGCGATATATATTGTTAATGAATCTTAAGGTGCATCATATGAGTGGTTTATGGGTTGTTTTATTGAACTTTTTGTATCCGCTGTGCGGCTTATTGCAATTATCTTTTCAGTAAATTTGGGATTAAATCAAGAGTGTGGAACTGAAGAATTACATTTTGATCAATTTTGATCATTCTTTTTAAAAAATTTAAACTTTTAAAATCCATTTTCATTACTATGCATGCTTTAAATGACAGTCAATAAAAAACTTTCGTATTCCTATTGATTTGACTAATTTATGCGTCCATGTCAATCACCTCAATCGACCCTTTTTATGCGTTTATCCGCTGGATCTTCAATATTTTTTCGTTAATGATCCCACATTAATTTATTTATTTTTGAGAACTTCCACTACTTTCCATTTTTATTATCACATTGTTTACTTCATTCGTATACTTTTTTTTCTTCAACTTTTATAAATCGTATATATTTCACTTTAAAAGCACATCTTAATGACGATGATGATAAAGCGTGCGTTATGCGTATGATAGAAATTGGAACAAAATGATAATGAATGGAATTTACTATGCTTTTACTTTCAATGTGCTGCATAGAACTCAATTCGTACACGACAATCAAACTTGTGTCCGATGTGCACAGTGTAACTTCAATTGTTAATTTATTGAATGCAATTTATTTTAAATCACTTTTTTTTTAAACAAATTTCCTTATCACAACGAATTTATTCAAGGGCTTTGCACCGAACATTTATGCACTTTTTCATTTATATTATTTTCTTTTTAAAAAAGCTTACGAGACTTCAATGCATGCTGTATGTTGATTTCAACGAGGAAATAACAAATTAGAATCAATTTTTTTTCGTTTTTCGTTTTTCATCAAAAAATAAATTTAATTTGACTAAAAGATAATCATTATCATTGCTAATTTACCTTGTTTCAACTCCTTTATTATTGTGAATTGTTTGACGTACTTTGATTTTGATCTTATCTCATGATAATTTGCTTAATCACTTCGTCAAAAATTTAATCACCGTCATAAATTTGTTAAATTAATAAATTAATTTAAAAAAATTATTGAAGAAGTGCGTACGACAAAAATTATGCGTCTATCCTCATTAAATACAACCTATAGACTGTTTTGTTTGAATAAAAATGTGAGAATCTCAACAAGAGAGATCGTGTGTCGTCTGGAAATTGAAGTAGGATTATTCTTATCAGTAAAATTGTTTATCTTGTATTGTCATGGCTTACTCAGATCATTATCGCATATTATTCATGTTAAGCTATCAATTATTCATGACAAGAAAGCATAATCAAGTTAAATAACCAAATTTATAAGTCGAATTCAACGTTAATGATAATTTCGTTTTTTCATGGACACTTTAAGCAAACCTTCCCCTGCTAGACATTCCCCTCGTAAACTTTTTTGTTGTTTTTCACAAAATAAATTTTTTTCGATCGAATTAAGTGAGTTTGAAGCTGCAGATGGCTTCTTTAGTGCTGTTAAATGGAGCCAGTAAGTGACTTAACTAGATATAGATCTAGTATTATTAAGGATTATCAACAATTAAAGACGTTAATTAAAAATATTTGTTATGCAATTTTTCATTTAAAAAATGATTTTTTGTCAATTTTCCATCATTAATTCATGCAGAAACTCATACCGGCTTTTTGGGAATCGTTTGTTTGAGTGCGAGTAAGGCAAGCTATTCAACTGATGTACCAGCATGGTATCGTCCATTGAAATCAACAAATCAAGCCACTTTTAAAAAAGGTCCAGGCGGTAGATCCAGTTTTAATGGAGTTGTTGCTACCGTTTTTGGATGTAGTGGGTTTTTGGGACGATATGTAGTCAACAAACTAGGAAAAGTAGGAAGTCAAGTGAGTATTGATTAAATTTGATATTGTCCAGATCTTTTAAGTTTACAATTATGGCTTATTGCAGGTAATTTGTCCATATCGTGCAGATTCATCGGATGTACAACACTTGAAAGTTATGGGTGATTTAGGACAGATTCTTTTCCATCCATACTACCTTCGCGATGAAGAATCAATCCGCAAAGCCATGAAATATTCAAATGTTGTAATTAATCTAGTTGGACGAGATTGGGAAACAAAGAATTTCTCATTTAAGGATGTTCATGTTGATGGTGCTCGTCGTCTTGCAAGAATTGCACGCGAATCGGGTGTCGAAAAATTCATTCATTTATCAGCATTGAATGCATCAGAACATCCAACGCCATGTTACTACAAAGATGGAAGTAAATTCTTACAAAGTAAATATCACGGCGAAAATGCAGTTCGTGAAGAATTCCCAAATGCAACAATCATCAGACCATCTGATATGTATGGACAAGAAGATCGTTTCCTCACATATTATGCACACTTTTGGCGTCGATTCATTCGTTTAGTTCCTTTATGGCAGAATGGTAACAAGACAATTAAGCAACCCGTTTTCGTTGGTGACGTTGCTCAGGGAATTTTAAATGCTATCAAGGATCCCGATGCAGTTGGACAAATTATTCAAGCTGTTGGACCACGAAGATATTTGCTTAGAGAACTTGTCGATTGGTTCTTCCGTGTTATGCGTAAGGACGAAAATTGGGGATATATCCGTTATGACGCTCGTTTCGACCCAACATTCAAACTTAAAGTTGCACTCACAGAAGCTATTCAATTGTCACATCCAATTGGAAATTTACATCATGAACGTGTTGAGCGTGAATATGTTACAGATGTTGTTGAGAAGAGTGTCCCAACATTAGAGGATTTAGGTGTTCAATTGACATTTATGGAAGATCAAGTTCCATGGGAACTTAGACCATTTAGAGCTGGACTTTATTATGACTCAGCTATTGGAGAGTTCCAAAAGCCAGCACCTCCACAAGTCCTTGCTTAAATAAATATATTCTGTAATATTCTTAATAGCAAAAAAAAAAAAAAATTATGGATATAAACTTTTTATTGTTGTCTCAGAAGTAATTGAAATATATGCCGAATGAAAATGTCAATAAAGAAACACGAGGAGAAAGTAAGTAATAATTTAATTTGATGCCAAGACTTTTTAGATTATTTTAAGCGGCGTTGTGAATGAGAACATTTATCGTCATATATTGGATGTTGTTTAAACGAAGTTGCAAGCACATCAAATGTTATCTGCTAAAGATGTAGTTCTGGAACGAAGTTTGAAATTTTAGAAAGGCAAGTCCAATTGATTTACGAATTTTCGATGTTCTATTCTGAATTCATAGGATGGTGGTCTGAAAATCCCATTTTTTGTGTACGCCATAAGTTAATGACCCCTTAATCTACACTAGCGAAATTGCAAAACTTGAAAAAATCCTTGATTACAATGAAATGACTTAATTTTCTTCTCACTAAGCGTGATTAAATAATAGCAACGCCAAACTTTCTAGTTCTACGATTAGTAATGCCGATCAGTCAAGAAAATAAATAACTAGGAAGAGATTAGTCACTGCATTTAATAGGATAGTACCTAGTTCAATTTACTCAACTATTAGGGGAATCTTCACAATTCAAACTATTCTAAAAGATTTGTGGATTATCTAGTAGTAAACATTTCATAATGAATCTTTGTTGATAACCGGCTTTTACTTAAAAATATCACAATCATTGAAATAAGCATTCGAATAGTTTATGAATATTGGATACAAAATGTTCAGGATCAAAGAATATCCTAGCGACAATAGATATATGTATTATCAAAAATAAACAAGTAACCCCGAGTAACCAGTGAAAGGTGAAGGTTGAATGTTCTTGCCAGTTCTTGACATGCGCTCTTCATGCACGCATGTAATTGAAACGAGTAGATGTTCTGCACGTGTAATCTAAAGATTATTTATATTTTGATGCTTATGAAATAATTTTGTAGTTCGATCCTGAAGTTTCATTGATTAATTTACATGAATGAAAGTGTAGCGATGACAGAAATGTGAATAAACTGCTCTGACAGAACAGTAAGAAAAATCAAGTCTTTAAGAAATTGAAGAAGACAAAAACAAAAAAAAAATATCGTTTGAGTGCCAAAATTAAGTCAGATGTGACTAGTTGATTGTAATATAAACAAAAATAAATACTGTTATTGATTTTTTAGGTGATTTCGTGACGTTTCAAGCGTATATATGCAACTTGCTGAAATAGATAGAAAACAAATTGTTTTAGTTTAATCGTTGATGTTGAATCGATAGGATTGAAGTGAAAAAAAAAAATAAAATTAGTTGCAAAGAATTATTCAAAGTTAATCAAAATGCTGAGTAAGTGCAAATAGCTCCGCAAATAATGACAATAATTCCAATTATCAACTCGTTTTTCATTTGTCTTACCTACAGCTGATGAAGAGACAGTTTCAAGGTCATTGCCTATTTCGTACATTGAAAATCTCCCGGACGAATGTTTAATCGAAATTTTTACTTATTTGACAAGTAACGAGCTTAAAAATGTGACTGTAACTTGCCGTACCTTAGCAAATGTTGTCAATTCATCATCGAGATTGATGAAAAGCTTTTTTATGGTTGTGACAAGAAAGAGAAAGTGGGATTTTGGAACAATGTCGGTGCTGCAAAGAAAGCATCAAGCTTTGGTTTTCTTTGACTACTCAACTTTAGAGGAATCCTTGGATGATGCGCTTATTAATGGACTTGAAAATATTGGTGCCAATATTAAGACATTGGAGTTTAATGATTGTAGCTTGAATGCAAGTGACTTTGTCCATATCCTTGAAATGACAAATAATTTGAAAAACTTAAAAGTTTTCAATTCTAAAATTCTAGGAAGTGTCTATAAATTTCTAGATCTTAAACATTTAAATAGTTTAAAAATTATAAAATCGGAAGTATCTTACGAAATATTCAGTAACGTGCGAAGTTTACAAAACATCGAAATTGAAACTCACGAAACAAATAACGTTGATCTGACTCATTTTCAGAAAATTTTGTTTTGTCAATTGAAATTAAAAAACTTGACTCTAGTCAATTTAAGACTCTCAAATTTATTTGATACTAAAATGTACAGTTCATTTCAATTAGAATCTTTAAAACTCATTCAGTGCCATTTTCGTCATAAAGAAAATTTTGAGATATTTTTAGAAAATCAGATGTCGTTGACAGATATAGAATTATCACTAAGTAATATGAAATTATCTCTTGATAGAATGCGATACTATGACAGCATTATCGCATGTCTGATGAGGAAATACACGCTTACATCATTGACTTTAAATATAGAAGAATATAAATTCGCAAGTTTTAGTTTTATGGAAGGATGTCAAGCTAGAGAATTAAGTTTAAGATCTAAAGATACAAATTTCTCATCTTCACCATTTTTAAAATATTTTCCATTATTGGAATCATTAGAAGTAGACATTAAGGAGCTTAATGATGAGAATCTCGAAATCATAAATACATCGACTAGATTATTTACTTTAAAAATAATAAATATTTCAAGCGATTGCTTTGGAAATGTCAAAAATAAAAATATTGAATCACTTTACATTCACGAGACATTGATCGATCAATGTGACTGGAAAAAATTCATTGAGAATAACCCCCAAATAATAAAACTTGTGATACGATTTTCATTTCTGATGGATTTTGATGTAAAATTTCTCGAATACATAACACAAAAGTTGAATCTTGTGCATATAGAATTAATTGATAGATATGTAGGTTTTGATAATGAAATTTATAAAATGATTTGTGAGAATTGTAAAGGATTAAAATATATAAAATTATGGAATATTAATATTGAAAAGAATTTCGATGAGCTTGATAAGGATTTTTTGAGGAGGAAAAATATTAAATTTCATTTGTACAATGATGAATCTCTGAATAAACCAATGATTCCATTCTAATTCAATTGATTTGTAGTTTGATTTTCTGTAACTTTAAGATTTATGAATTTCAGTACACAACCAAGGATGTTGAACTTATAAATCGGATTTGGATATTTTTTCACACTCTTGATTCTATCAAAATAAAGGAATCCAATCAGTTGCCAAGACTTGTTTGCAAAATCGATAACAAAACTATTCAGATCAATGTCATCTTCCAGATAAATTCAATATTGCCCTTAAGTGGCAGAGTTTTCAAGTCAAGGAACAGTTAGGGATGAATCAAGGAATTCGACATCCAAGCCAATGGGAATGCTAATCTACTTAATCGATAAGAATATGAACTTTGATGCATGCATGATCAAATAATGCAATGGAAGTTGTTCAGAAGACAATTGCAGTTATTAAACAATCCAACAATGGTCACGTTATTCAAATCGAACCCTTTAAATCACATAATACTGAACAAACTCATCAAACAACAGAGTATTAAGGAGGATTTTCAGTGATTTTGAGGTAAGTCACTACATTTTCTGATAAAAACTTACAGAGTATTACAAACTAATAATTCATAATCTCTACTAGTTGGTAATTATTATCTTTTTCTGTTTTACACATTATATGCTGTCCTGGAAGATCATTCATTCCAACGAATGATAACGCTTAATAATAAATGTCACCAAAAAACATCGATTACGTTGTCAAAAAAAATTGAACAGCCAATTAATTATGATCCCAATCGGCAGTATTTCAACAAGCAATAAAACATCAAGTACTTGCTTTTGTCAGATAACAACAATATGTATTAATATTATTGTTATTAGTTTAAGCTACCACGATGTGTGTTCGAGGTGAGTGCATAAACTTGTTTGGAATTTTTTTTTTTTTATTATTTTACTCTTTCTTTCCCTTTTTGAATGAGCCCAATACAAATCAAAAATCAATTTGTCTCTATTGAAATTGAAGTGCTATGGCAATTGTTCCAAAAGTACCTCTTAAGCATGGCTCTTACTACTTAAGCGGTCACTTGAGGTAGGATTGACAGTTGATAGGTAATTGAAAGCTATCATTTTCTTTTTTTCGTGGGTTGTTGAAAATATTTCTGTGAATTGGTTTTTCAAGTTGAGACTCAATCTCGCTAGTATCTCACATTTTAGTGTTGAGTCATTGAACTAATCTGCTTGTGACTAGGTTGAATAATTGCTGTAATTCTTGACTTATCTGTCGATTGACTGTCTTAGATAATTGTTTTATTGCTTTTTATCACGTTTTATGTACTTTTCGTGGAATCAAGTTAAAAAATCACTAGTAACGGCTAGACTGATTTTGAAATTTCATTCGGCTGAATTCTTGACGAATAGAGAATGAAGTTAGATTTAAGTTAACTTCAAGTTATTCACTTAAGCAATTTTAAGTAAACGATGATATTGACTTTAAAATTTTTAAGGAAAATAATGACGACATCAATAGCACTCAAAAGTTAGTCTTCCACTGTAGATGCAAGATGTAAGGCGCTTGGTTCAAATTTGGGATGGTAACTCGAAGGTCGTCGGTTCGAATCCAGTAATTTCCAAATTTGTTCTTTTTCGGAAGTTTAGATACTTCGACTGCTTAATGTAGGAGATCAAGCCATAATTGGGCATTTGGGCAACGTTGGATTAAGGAACGGGTCAGGAACTTGAAGTGTAGCGGGAGAAATAGGAACGAGAGCTACAAGATTACCCACAAATGGAATATTGTTAGAACGGACCTAAAAAGTATCAAGTCACGCCCACAGAAGATCGAAACGAGAGCCTTAGTTTATTTGAAACCTAGATATGAAGATTAGAAGTTTGATCCTGCATAAAAAATTAATTCATATGTATACAAATACAAAAGTGTAAAATGTCAATTATTACCGGACAGTATATCGTCAATAAATGCAATAAAGTGCAATTAAAAATGAAAAAGATAAATTCTTAGTATCTGATGGACTGAAGAATTGTCTATTGAATTATAAGTTTCTACAAAAAGCATGTAAACAAAGAGATAAAGGCTGGATTGGTCATACACTTTGCAAGAATAATGCTAGAGAGAATGTCACTGCTAAAATAGATAAACAAGTTTCTAATAACTGCATTTTTCAGAATCTGCATGAAAATAGACTTCTAGGAATTTTTAATGCTACTTGGCGTATAGGAGTGATGAAAGAATGTCAGTTTAATGTGCGGATCTACCAAAAGAGTAAGATTAAGGATGCGGAACTGATCAATCACCTTTGAGTCAAATGAAAACTATTTTTTTTGCAGCCTAAACTCCACATAGAGACATGTTTACAGTAAGTAAACAAGTAAGTACGTCGTCCCAAAGAAAAAACAGTTAAGAACGATTCGATTATTGCCCCTAGCGATTCCACATAAAATTATATTACCTTCAACGCCCATAATAAAAGAGACAACTGATTAGCTATCATTGCAACTCTATAAATTCCTTCAGAAATCTATTTGATTAAGCTCAATTTTCCTTGCAATAAAAAAACACTATTTTCCATTTACAATTTATTTATTGTTGGATTTATGTCGATTATTGTATATATTATTTATTTCTTTAGTGCGCTATCAATTGGGTATTATACATGTTTTATGAGGTAGTCAGTCGCTGATAACATAGCAATTGATAATACGTGAAAAGATATCAGTCAGGTTGCTTTTTATAATTGCCTATCATTATCAAAATATATACAAATACAATAATATACACCTTCGAGTGGTTTAAAAAAAATGCTAGATAAGAAGTTAGATGCTTGTGACTTCAATTCGCAGTTCCTTTCAATACGATTTATTTTATTCGCTAAGAGTATTTTGAAGTGGATAGGCTGTTAATTGAGGACTTCTCTCGCCTCTTCTGTAAAATTATTATTTTTAAAAAATCATTCAAAACTCTTCGGAAGCTTAAATTGCTAAGTGCATCTATAAAAAAAATACAAAAATAATTGAAAAGTATTTTTTTGATGAGTGGATCAATATCATGTGCAGTCAACAAGTGGATAATTTAAGTACTCAAGTAGATTTTGTGAATGTTGACGCTGAATATGAGCCATCATTTCAACTCATTCCGCCGTTTGGTGAATACGACTACAAAGAGTAATTTTTTTTCTTTTTTTTTTAAAAAAAATATAAATGCAAAAGGGAGCATACAATTTTTTGTGCAAATCATGATAACGAAAGACTGCATATTGCATGCATTTGCAAAGAAAAAGACATGACTTTCCTATTAGCATTGTTTACAGTTTGATAAGATCAGAGGAAAATAACTGCACAATTTATTGTGCAAGTTGTGCAAATAGCTAATTTCCAATAAATATTTAAAAGTTGATAAGAAAAAAATTGGAATTCTTTATATCACAACTTGTTGAAAGACGAAAATTAATGTCAAATTCAATATAAAAAAATTTATTGAAGCCTCTCGACATGCAAAGGAAGTAAAATAAAATTGGAATCATAAAAAGACCATCAACAACTCACCGCAAAAATACATAAATATACTTATAATATATTTTTAAGAAGTAGCAATATAAAGAATTAAAAAAAATTGAGTTAAAAAGCAAAATGATTGTTTAACATGAACATAAATCAGATGTGAAAATTCCCAACAGTGAAAAAGGCATTCAGGCAATAAAAACAGTAAGATACTTTAAGTAATTATTAATTGGCTAAATGAGTGGTTTCAATACACAAATATCAAATTAGGAAAAAATGTGCGTTCATTGGTACCAGCTTGCACCAATATCAAAAAATAAATATACACTTCATTGTAAAAGCAGAAATGTGACTAAAATATTGCTTGATGGATCACCTTTTGACGAATCAAACTGTGTGACAAAGTGGCGTGCTATGAAATATCTTTTAACTTTGATTGAAACGTAAAGAATTTCTTTTAAATTGGATTTACTTACTGTCATAATTTGACGATTTGTGAAGATTTAAAGGGGTTGGAATTGTGTGGAATAGAATTATTGACAATCACTAGACCAAGATACGGTTAATTTTTGGTAGCACTGACAGTTTCATAGCTGTTATGTTGATGGATAAATCTACAGACAGTTACTTTGCATCACTAAAGCACCACGTCAGCTTCTTGTATCTTGAATCAGGTGCATGGTAGAGGATCGGACTTTAAGTAATACCAATCTTAAAATTGACTCTACACAAATCAAACTGTATCAGCTCAGTGCTCACTTAAAGTTAATAATCATAAACATTTGCCTTTTTGATTCCATGCCTCCTTTTTATTACATTTTCATGTGCTTTCACAATAAATTGGAAGATAATTGAGTTGTTCCTCTCCATACAGCACTTGAAGAGTTTCCCACGAATAGTTTTTCATACACAACACAAATTACTCTACATTGCATTCATGCCTTAAAGTACCTTAACAAATAAACGGCTTTTAAAAAAATACTCAAACTAATTTATGATTTTTTGGCATGCAAATTTTTTGTTCTGCTTGTTATTTGTTAATCTTTATGCAATTTATGTATGCATTGTGGATTTGAAGACGTTATGCAATTGAACTAGACCACGCCTACAAGTTACGATGATAATTCTTTTCAATGTTTTGATCAAATGTTTTATTAATTGTTGTAGGAAATTGAATGTTGGGAGTTGTTGACAAGTTGAACGACTTTAATTGAAATTTTTGGAATAAGATTTTTGTGAAAATTTCAAATTTTTAAAACAAAAGTTCAACAATAAAAAATTAAATTTCAAACTTATACAAATTTTTAAAAAATTTTAAATTTTGTGTGAATATGAAAAATTGAAAAAAAAATCAAAATTTAAACTTTGAAGTTTTCTCCTTTAAAATAATTTTAAAAATTCAAATATTTTCAAAATCATAAAAAAAGCTTCAAAACTCTATGAAACATTTAAACATCGTCAAAATATTCAACAACGCACTTTACATCGAAATGAGTTCTGATTGGTCGATGAAATTTCCTTTGCAAGCTTCAAAAAAAACAAACAAAAAAGTTCTTTTTTGAGCATTTATAATTTAGTTCTTATTGAGTGTTTAAGGAAATCGGAAATAAATTTTTAAATGGATTCAAAAAAGATTTCAAAAGGAATTGATGAAAATTTATTATTGAATTTTCCATTTTTTCCGATTCCATGGAATTCCAGTTTTCTTTTATCGCAGTTAATTTACAAACACTTGAGACGTCCAAAGTAATAAAAAAATTAAAATACATTCATAATTTTCAATATTTCCTCCAATTCCAACAGAATAATCGATAAAAATCCACAACGCTCTTCCGGATTTCACATTAGTGACATTCTACAACTAAACAGTCAAGAAGCAAATCCGGAAATTCCAAAACCACGATCATCTTTAGATTATTCAATCTATAACTATAATGACTATCCGTCAAGACAGCATTATTATTCATCATATCCACATCACCACCTTCCGTCAGCAATTTCGTCATTTGAAAGTGATCTTCCATTTTATAACACAACTTTTAATTCAGCACCCTCAACATTTAATGGAAATATTTATTTCACGTCTGACACTACAAACAGTCCTTATCCTGCGAATCAAATGCAAATGATATCACCAAACTTACCTAATCGATTTATTGTGAATGATTCAAATAACAATAATTACGGTAAGTTTTAATCAATGCTTAATTCAAAGGAATTAGTAAAAGATTCCTAAAATTTTAGGTCCATACTACGATCAGCCATACCATCCTCATCATCACCACCATTTAAGCTCTCATCATCACCAAAATTCGATGCCACAAACGAGTCCAGACTCGACAAGTCCACTTATGAATTCAGATTCTAATTACCTTTCACTTCCAATCACAAAAGGCCACACATTTAGTTCAAATAGTTCACCAGAAGTAGGTCCAAAAGAGACAAAATACACGACATTAAGTTCAGTGTCGCCAATTACACCAACCACAATTCAATCTGCTAAAAGCGAGAGTTTTACAAATCAATCAGATGTTGATGTTGCTGAAAAGGAAAATAATGATCATTTAAGTATGGATGAAAGTGTCGGAAGCATGGATGAGCTTCATGATGATACAAATCATTCAAATAGTCAAAATGAGATACAAAATCAGAATGAAAAGAAGCGAAAACGCCGAGTTTTGTTCACAAAGTCACAAACTTTCGAGCTTGAAAGACGTTTTAGACAACAAAGATATTTATCAGCAGCAGAGCGTGAGCATCTTGCACAACTCATAGGACTATCACCAACTCAGGTGAAGATTTGGTTCCAAAATCATCGTTATAAGACAAAACGTGCAACTCATGATAAGTCCCCAACTGCAAACTGCTTTCAGCCACAAAGACTTCCATCACCAAGTTCCTTAAAAAGAATTCATGTGCCTGTATTAATTGCTGATGGAAAGCCAGTAACTGGTGCACAGTTAATGAGTGAAAATCCAAGTTTTAATGGCCAAACGAATCCTAATAATGTAAATTCACAAAAATGGTGGCAGGTATAGGCCTAGATTATTTATTATTACTATTTTTACACCAAAGACAATTTATTCGAGTTGAATTATAAAAAAAAAAAAACCTTTTTATTTTGATAATTTATTGAAAAATGATGCAAATGATTAAAAAAATAAAACTTAATAAACCAAATAAAATCAAAAAATCTAAAATTGAAGATAATGCAATTTAGTAAAGTTTAATGTTAAAACGTTTGGTTAGGTATCAAAAGAAAGATTTAATAGATTGAACCTTGTCCTCCATTTGACATTATTTTTGTATGCTGAGGATTCATATTATTATAAGTTTGCGAATTCATTTCAGGTTGAGGATTCATATTGTTATAATTCATGGAGTCCATACCATTTGTTAACTGATGATTCATATTGTTATAACTCATGGAGCCCATACCATTTGTTATTTGAGAATTCATGTCATTAAAGCCTAAGGAACCCATTCCACTATTAATGTGTTGATTTTGGTATGATGAGTGCATTAGTGGATTAGAATAACCATATTGATTTTGCAACATTCCAGGATTATTATTTGATCTTCCTAAAATAAACTTAATTGTGACTTTAACTGATTTTCTTTAAACTCATGAGTAATTAACCTGCAGAAGCGATAAGAGGAGCGAATTGCACTACTGATTGAAGAAGATGTTGGAAATTTTGTTGAGATTGTGCATTACTTGCTAATTTACTTTGTTGCTCAATTCTATACATCTCCATCTGTAGCATTTGTTGTTGCTTTGCATTCTCTGCTGCTATGGCTTTTGTTTGCATTGATGATTGTTGTCTGATTGTTTCAGCTCTTAGCTCATATTCTTTTAGTTTTTCTTCACTATTCATCTTCAATACCATCATTTCTTTTTCAAACATTTGTGCTGCTTGATCTGCTTCCATCTCTTTTGCATGTCTAATATTTTCTTGCGCAAATCGTCGTTCCTCCATCATGCTCTCAAACTTTATTTGTTCCATCTTCATTGCTTGTTCTTTTTCCCAATTTCTGTTGTTCATTTCTTCTTGCTTTTGAAGACTTTCCTCAACTTTTTTTCCTTGTTCAATTAAAGCTTGCTCTCTAAAGTACATCTCATTCTGTTTTTCTATCAAATTTCTCTCAAAGAGCTCAGCACGTTTTCGTTCTTCCAGCTCGAATTCTCGAACTTTTAATTGATAAGCTTCCTCGACTGTACGTTTTGACTGCTCAATTTGTTCAAGGGACAGCGAATGATCATTGATGACATTTTGCAATAATTCATTCCTTGATGCTTCTAAGTTATCTTTTAATGTAGCAAACTGTGCCTCTATATTCTTATAATCTTCTTGGAGCTCTTGAATTTCTTTTGCTAGTTGGGTTCGATTGGAATGTAAAACCTTGTCTAGTTCTTGCTCGAATAATGCTTTTTCCTGTTCGGCACGAGCAACTGTTTCAACATATGCTTTGTGATTGTTAACTGCATGTTTCTTGAAATCTTTATAAAATTCATCAATTTTGGAACTTAAAATTTTGAAAAACTTTTCTTCTTGCTGCTCATTTCCCATCTTTTTTGCTTCTTTGAATTTCCCAAGAATAGTTTCTTTGATTGTTGTGTAAGCACTATCAAGATTAGCTATTGAATCAGAAGAGTTTAGAGCAACTTGATGAGAAATTTCATTTTGAAATTCCGTTAAATATGAATCGACCAGTCCTTTTAAGTGTGAACTTACTGTTGCAATATAAATTGACTCAACTTCTGGTGCGTCCATTTGAAATACTTCAAAGTAAGATTGCATGTATTGAAATAGTTTCTTTGATGTCAGTTCCTCATTAAAAACTTTTTTGGCTTTTAAATTTGTTGGACCAAAAAGCCATTTAACTAAATTACTCAATTCATTTCTAAAATCAACACTCATCTCCGAGAATCGACCATCGTACTTTTTATTGTTAATGACTTTCAATCCAGGATGAGGCATCAAAAAGCAATAAACCTTTTCAAATGATGACTGAATATACATCCGAACTTCTTGTAGAGCTTGTGGTTGATCATCTTCAATCTGTAAAACGTCCATTAAGTAACGATGACCATCTTCAAGACCATAATTGAATTCTTCAACATTCTTCCAATCTCTCATAAGGAACAAAAGGTTTTGGAATGCTTTAATTCCTTTGATACCCTTTGCTTTATTTTCAGTAACAGCGAATCTTGCATAATCCGTTGCCATTTGAAGATATTGAAGCTGATCCTCTTGAATTACATCATTTAAGTTGAAAATCTGTAAAGACGAGATCAAAGTTCCAAGTCCAAAAATTTTGATGTTTTCTTGAAGTGGTGTTCTGGTGTCGAAAAGTCCCTGCGTGTCAATCAAATAAATTGCATACTTTTCACCATTCAAAGCATCATACAGGAACACATCAGACCAGAAAACAATACCTGACGTGTGTCTTTCTGATCCTGATTTCCATGAAAATCCTGTGAGTGGATCCGATGGTTTTCCCATCCAATTAGCATTTCTGTTCTTCTCATTCATATTGTTTATAGATTTGTACTGTTGGTGATTATTTTTCTAATTACACATATGATTTATTGAAAATATATTACAATTACCTTAGCATACAAAAAACGGAGAAAATAATCCATAATGAAACTTTTGCCTGCAAAAATAATAAAATTAAATAAAATTAAATAGAATTTAGAAGAAGCAGACCTTTTCGAAAAGCTCCAATTATTGAGACTGTCACAGCCTTTCGATTTTGAACTTCTGGATGCAAAAGTAATTTCCTCAAATTGTCATAGTCAACAGTTATATTGAAATCATCTGTAAAGCCTAGGACAGTGATTGGTTTACCAAATGTATGTTGACTTTTTGGAACATTTATAGTTTCTAAAACATTTGTACGCTCTGTTGGGATTTCTTCGGTATTTGCTTCTTCTTCGTCAGATGCATCATATGATTGAGCTGAATAAAAATTGAAAAATTAATAAACTTTAGCTTCATAGACAGAATTTATAGGATTAGTGATAGTTAAACGAATAAAGGCTAAGGAGATTTCCCGCTCAAAGTTCGATCCACAGTATTAACAAGGATCCGAACCATTCCTTTCTCAAAATAATCAGTTGAGTCTTGATCCTTACCGTCTATCAAAACAACATAAATCACAATTAATATCAAATAATTTAAACATTTCATAATTTTTACAACTTAAGGAATTGAAAATGTAATTTAAATTGAAGCTTAATCTTTCCTTCAATTCTTTTTATAGTAAGAAAAATGAGAGTAATTTAATCAAAGCTGAAAGAATTGAGTGATCTCTTATCTTTTCCAGGAATGAATAAATTTAAACGAATCTTTAAATGAATTATTGAGAGTTTTAAGACTTTGTTGCTTTATCAAATCATTTTCATAACATCATTATGAATCTCTTTACTGATTTCACCATATACTTTGTAAGGTCGCTAGGAATTCTCTTCTTTTTTGCAGTGTATATTAATGAATATATTTTTTTATAATAACTTTTTTCGTTTAAATTCCAACAGTTTCAGTTCAGCATTTCAATAATGAAGTTCAATATGTTTTCGTTTCTACTGCCAACTTTAATATTTCAGTTGGTTTCGGGTAAGAATTCATTATTTAAAGATTTATTAAATTTATTAAAATAAAAAAATTTCATAAACAGGTTCAGAAGATTCCAATGAAAGTGATGAAAAGTCATCAGAAATTTTTGACAGTAGCTCAAATCATGTTCATCCATTTGGAAAACCATTAAATATTCTTCGTTTTGGAGAAAATGGGCAATTTATAGTCGATAATGAAACATTGAATGATATGTTTAATCATCCGGATGTAAAAGATTGCAAAATTGTTGCTGTTAGCATCATTGGAGCATTTCGAAAAGGAAAATCTTTTCTTATGGACTATGCGCTACGGTTTATGTACGGAAATGTAAGTATCTTTATTTATAAAAATTTAAATTCTCAAACCTAATCACTTAACTTACATTAAAACAGTACAAGTCAGTCGCGTATCCTGACAATCCACTTAATAACACTGCTAATTGGATGGGTGAGCCTGAAGAGAAACTAAGAGGATTCTCGTGGAGAGGTGGTGTTCAAAGAGATACGTCCGGTGTTATTTTATGGTCTGATATATTTCTACATGAAGCAGTAGATAAAAAGAATAAAAAGAATAAAAAACTTGCTATAGTATTGATGGACACTCAAGGACTTTTTGACACAAAAACATCGCCGACAGATAATTCGAGAATTTTTGCACTTGGAACTTTGGCATCGTCTATTCAAATATTCAATTTAAATGATGTCATTCAAGAGAATCAGTTGGAGTATCTCCATGTAATTTATTTTACAATATAATGGAAAAGCATGTTAATAAATTTTTATCCACAGCTTGCAACAGAATTTTCACAATTTGCCATGAAGGAGAACAAAAATAATAGAAAGCGCTCGAAAAACTACAAACCATTTCAAAAGCTTGTCTTCTTAATGCGAGACTGGCAAAATAAGCAAGATTATGTCTACGGCGAAGTTGGTGGCATGGGCTATTTATCAAATGTCCTTCAAACACGTCCTGATCAGCCAGTATCACTGGCTAATGTTAGAAACTTCATTAAAAGTTCATTTGAAAGTCTCGATTGCTTTTTAATGCCACATCCAGGCGCAACTGTAACAACAGATGAAAATTATGAAGGACAAAGAATTGGCTTATCTGAAGATTTTGAAGAATATCTTGGAATATTCTTGGAATTCATCTTAGCTCCACGAAAGCTAATAGCAAAGAGAATTTTAAACAATGAAGTAAGTGGAAGTGAATATGTAGAATATATTAAAGCATACTTTAGAGCATTTGAGTCTGATGAAATTCCAAAAGTTGAAACACTAGTTGAAATCACTAAAAGAAAACAATATGAAATCTTAATAGCTGAAGCTTTTGAGAAATATAAATCAGAACTTGTTGTGCCAAACCTAAACTCTTTAAGTTTAATTGAAGACATTGAACTTAGTGGTAACAAATCAATCACTGTTGCACTTGCTTCATTCAAAAAGAAAAAGAAGCTTGGCAATCAAAATGACGAAATTAGGTTCGAAAACGAATTAAAAGAAAGAATGCAGGCTCACTTTACTGAATGGAAGACAAAGCATATTAAAGCTTTTGAGAACTTGAAGAGAATTGAAGAAGAAAATGCTAGAAGACAAAAAGAAGCTCAAGAGGAAGCAGAAGCTAAATTTGAACTTCAAAGACAAGAAAATCAAGAAGCAATGATTAGACTTATTCAAGAACAAGAGCAAAGAGAACGTTTAATGAATCAAACCTTAGCTGATCTTAAAGCTGATTCGACAAGGGAAATTGAGCAGCTACGCAAGGAATATGAAGAACAAAGAGTAAAGTCACAAAAGGAAACTGAGACAATTTTGAATGAAATGAAAAAACAAAATGCAGAAATGAGTCGAAGAGTTTCAGAAGCTCAACTTAAACTTCAGCAAGAAATGATTAAAATGGAAATGGATGCAAAAGTGAAACAAAAAGAAATGGAAACGATGATTGCTGAAAGGAGGGACTCAAAATTAGAAGAATTAAAATTACTGGCTGACCAAAAAAGTTTAGAGCTTGAGCATCAGATGAAAATTGAACAAAATCGACAAAGAACGGAAGCAGAGCAAAGAATCCACGAGAAACAAATTGAACAAAAACGACAAATAATAAGAGATGAAGCAGAAGCAGAACGGAAAAGAGAATTTGAATTGATGCTTGTTAATATGCAGCAGCATCAAAAAGAAATGCAGCAATTGATGTTATCTTCCCTTCGATCGGGATAGAATTTAATTTGAAGTTCTTAATATATTTTGTAGATTATTTAAGTTTATTTTGTAAGGTTGTAAAATCGAGAAATAAAATGCTTACATACAAAAAACTATTTTAATATTTGATTAAATTTAATAATTGAGTCTATTATAAGTCTCGCTTTATCCATAGAGCTGAAGTGGCTCGCTGGCGGAATGATTTAGTACTTTAGTACGTAATTATTGCAATAGCGATCATGGGTTCGAAACTGGGTATGGGAAATTTTTCACTTGTCTTTTTTCGAATCATATGTACTGGAAATAAAACTCACAGCCTTCCCTTGTAGGCTACAGACAGAATGTCATCAAAAGAGTGGTACGGATCCCTTTATAGATTAGGTCTAGGTTTGAGTGCTGTGGTTAGGCGCAACCTCACTCGTTAAACTCTCATGAGCTGAGAAACGCTGAATTGGGGAAGGGTTTAATTATACCCAAAAAGGCTCGTCGATCATTCAAATCAAAACAACAATTTGTTTTTCCCATAAACAACAGGTATTATATGACTAAAAATACAATAATTACGCCATTAATTTCACCAGAATAAAACATTAAAATATATATTGACAGTTAAAATGCTGATTTCTGAACTTGTTTTCATTTGCAACAATTTTTTAAGAAAAATAAAATACTAAAATAAGACTTTGTGATTAAATTAACGTACTGCTTAAGATTAAAAGTAAATAATCTTTTTCTGAAAATTCACTCAATTATTTGTTTCAAAGAACAGAGATAATTTTTTTTATTTAATCAATTCAGAGAAAGAACATCATTTGTCAAATATTGGGATCACCATCTGCACCAGAATCTTCTTGGGATACGCTGTAAAAAATAATGTCATCATTGAATGTATAAGTTGAAGCTAACCTCCTAAGATTTACTCTCCTTAACATACGTAGGTCAAGATAAGTCTGGTAATTTTCAAAGACAATAAGCTACCATCTCAACCAATCCGGTTCTTGTACTTTTTACAAACTTTTTGACTGTTCAAATCAAATTTTCAAACAATTTTTCAACACGTTTATAAAAGCTATAAAGCACTAAGAGGCAGTATAGAATTTTTGAGACAACAAAAAAATAGAACTCTCAGAATTTTCTCATCTTTTTCTTCTCTCATTCTATTTCGTATAAAAAGAAATACTCCCCGGCAAAAAAATCAGTTCATAAAGCTAATGAGATGAAGATCTTGGTAGTATTTATAATTTTTTCAATTTCCCAAGTTCTTAGTAAGTTTAAGAAATATTTTTTTTAATTATTTATTTGAAATTTTATTAAAATATTATAAAATTATAAATTTACAATTCAAAATAATTTCAATTTTTTTTTTTAAAAAAAAAAGCAAATCCTGTTGGTGGTAACGAAGATGAACCAGAAGTACAGCAAACAAGTGAACATAGTCATCCATATGGAGGACCAATTAATCTCATGAAATTTGATGAACATGAAAATGTGATAATTGATGAAGATTCATTAGAAAGAACATTCAATCATCCTTTAGTTAAAGATCGTAAAATTGTGGCTGTCTCAATCATCGGAGCGTTTAGGAAAGGAAAATCATTTTTGATGGATTATGCATTGAGATATATGTATGCGAATGTAAGTATCACAAAAATTCAGCCTTTTTGAATTATTTTATAGATTTAAAAACCCTAAATTTACAGTACAAATCAGTAGCATTTCCCGATAATCCTCTAACAAGTAAAACTAATTGGGTTGGAAATCTAGAAGAGCCTTTAACTGGATTTACATGGCGTGGTGGTGCTTCAAGAGACACAACTGGAGTTGTATTATGGTCGGATGTGTTTTTAGATGAACAAAAAGATCCAAAGACCAAGAAAATTGAGAAACTTGCTATAATTTTGATGGATACTCAGGGACTTTTTGACACAAAAACCTCAGCGACCGATAATTCAAGAATTTTTGCACTTGGAACACTAATTTCATCTGTACAAATTTTCAATCTGAATGATGTTATTCAAGAGAATCAGTTAGAGTATCTTCATGTAAGTTTGTAGTGTAAAATATTTAAACTTATGCCATAATAGCTTGATCAAGCTACACTGTGTTTGTAGTAAACACACGCACAGGTGGTAGATAGGAGGTCTGTTTTTAAGGCTTCCAGAGCATCCGCTAAGCCCATTCCGAGATCTTTTAGGAACATTTAAAAGTATATCTATCGAAAAGTCTTTAAGAATCCATTTAAATTCCTTTCAAACTCTATTAATAATTTTCTATCAACAGATGGCCACAGACTTCGCCAAATTCGCGATGAAACAACATAAAAAGTATAGCAAAGGATCTAAAAACTACAAACCATTCCAGACTTTAATATTTCTAATGAGAGACTGGCAAAATGTTGTTGACTTTGAGTACGGAAATCAAGGAGGAGCAGAATATCTAGCACAAGTTTTAAATATTGATCCTAAGCAGCCAAAAACACTCCAAGATGTCCGAAAATATATTAAAGAATCATTCGATCAAAGATTGTGTTTCTTAATGCCTCATCCAGGCTTTGAAGTTGTCAATAACAACAACTATGATGGACGATTTAGTGCTTTAAGTGAGGACTTTCAAACTCAACTTAAAGACTTTCTCTATTCACTTTTACAGCCAAAGAATCTTAAGAAAAAGAAAATTTTAAACAATGAAGTTGTCGGTACTGAATATCTTGAATATTTAAAGGTGTATTTTGAAGCTTTCCAATCAAATGAAATTCCAAAAATTGATACTTTACATGGAATTACTGTTCGCAAGCAATACGATATAGTTATGACGGAAGCTTTTATAGAATATCAAAATATACTTGGTGGAATTACAATTGACATTCAGATTGGTGATCAATGGAAGGAAAAGAATGTTCTTGAACAGGAAATGAATCAAATACACCAAAATGCGAAGCAAAATGCTATCAAAATATTTAAGGATAAGAAAAAGCTTGGAAGTGAAGCAGATGAAAAGAAATATGAAGATGAATTGAGAGCTAAACTTGAGACAAAATTCAATGAATGGAAAGCCTTCAATTTCAATAAATATCAAGAATTAAAAACTGTTGACGAAGCTAACAAGATTAAACTTAGTGAAATGAAAAACGAGACTGATATAAAAATCCAGCAAGAGCAAGAATTGGCAAGAATAGAACGTGAAAAATTGGAAAGAGAGCATCAAGAAAAAACTAATATACTTGAAGGAACTATCCAAGAGGTAAGAAATAAAACGACTGAAGAAATCAAAATATTGCAGGCAGAATTCAATAAAACACAAATTGAAGCTGAAAGACAAAGGCAATTGCTTTTGGATCAGCTAGAAAATGAAAAATTACAAATTAAGAAAAAGGCAAAGGATGCTGAGATACAATTAAAAAATCAGCTAGACAGCATGCAACAAGAAATGAGGAAAAAGGAAGAATTAATAAAAAAAGAAATAGAAGATAAAAAAGAAGAGAAAATTGAAATGCTTAGAATTAAGGCGGAAGAAAGGAAAATGGAACTTGAACGTCAGACGATAATTGAAGCAAACCGAGCACAAATTATGGCAGCACAAAGGGAGGCTGAAAAAGAACGAATACAAGAAGAAAGAAGTATTAGGAAACAAGCCGAAATACAAAAAAGAGAAGAACGTAAAAGGGCTGACCGTGAGCAAAGGGAAGCTTTTCAGTTATTCCAACAACAAATCGCAGAATCAAGAATTCAAGCTCAAAGAGAAGAGAGAGAAGCTCGCGAACGAAGTGACAGGCAGATGCAAATGATAATGGCGAATGCAAATGCAAAACCTAAAGAAGATTCAGGCACTGGAACTATTTGGGCTGTTGTTGGTGGAATTGCGGCTGCATCACTTTTTCTTGGATGAATTTCAAAAAAAAAAAAAAATTAAAAGACTCTAAAGATTCAATAAATTTCAGAAATCAAAATTATTGTCACAACTTTATCTTCTTAAAAGTCTGTTAAATGATCGTTAAGAAAGCTTATCAGGATAATTTAATATCTAAACTGTAACTTCGCTTATCCAAAGGAAATATTTGTTTTGGTTAATAAAGAAAACTTTTTATAACGGAGATTCTTTTTGATCTTAATATTTTTGATTTTGTTTACTGTTTTTTAATATATAGAATTGTTTTTACTTCATGACTAGAAAATAGGTTTCTTTATTATTTTATTCACACCATATGCACGTGTGAATGTATTATTAGATAGTAAACCACTTTGGTAGCTTAAATCTTCTATTCAGTAAACAATCTTATTCATGCCTTTTTCCTAATTATACAAGCGTATTTTTGATTCAACAAGCGTCTCATCTTCCGTTTCATTACTAAATTACGAAGCTGGGGACTTGTGTCTTGGGTCAACATCTAATTTTTATGAAAATACAGGACACAAAGGAAAATTTGAAAATTAACGGAAATTTTCGTGAAAAAAATACAGGACCTGGAACAAAATTTTCAAATTTATACAGGACAGGGTTATGAAATACAGGACTGTCCGTTGTAAAACTACGCAGATGGTCATCCTACTTGTGTCGCATTTGCTAAGTAAACTAGCACTTATCTTTAAAACATTAGGGCATTACCCTGGTTTAGATTTGTACATTTCGTTGCAATATGCAGAGCTTGCAAATGGTTTGGATTAATTCACTATAAACTAGAGGTATCAGTCAGGTATGCTCTTTTTTAAATTGAAGTTGTTTCAATAAAATTCTAGATTTCATATTAAAATCATAAGCTATAACAAATTTGATACTTATTCTGTCAAATAATCAAAGATTTTAATTAAATATAATAAAATTAAGGTTTATTCATAAAACTGAGCATCCATTTCATGATTTTTAAGACTTAATTTTTCTTATTTAATTGAACGTACTTAATTTATCAATTTCAAGTAATCCACATTTGACCTTAATATTGATGAAATTATTCAGGAGATTAAGTTCTTAGAAATAAAATCAAACATAAAACTTTTATTTACACTGTAAATAATTTTTTGATCAACTGAAAATCATCTCAGAGAGACTTTATCAAATCTCGTGAGCATCAAGTTATAAAAGAAGTTGTGATTCGATGCCGAGATTCAATCACAATTTGTCATGCAAACCATACTGTTTGTTTTATTAATATTAAGTTCCTGCTTATCAGGTATTGAAAATTATAAAATTATTTAAAAAATTAAATTCGAACCAAATTTTTTGTATCTAAAGGCTATCTTTGCAATGAAAGCGATTCAACTGAATCTGATTCAATGGAAGATGTTAAGGAGTTCAAACTTTACGGAAATCCGGTGAATATATTGAATGTTACTGATAGAAATGAATTCATTGTCGATATTGAAGGAATCAATAAAATATTGCTAAGACCTGATCTAATTGAAAGAAAAATCGTAGCTGTGTCTATAGTTGGGATCTTTCGAAAAGGGAAATCCTTTCTTTTAAATTACTTTCTCAGATATCTTTACGGAAATGTAAGTTTTAAGTACTCATTAAAAAGCTTATTAATAAAAACAATTTTTCTCACAGTTTAAATCAGTCAATCACCCTGACAATCCACTAAACAACACTGAAGACTGGATGGGAAACAAAAATGAGCCACTTCTAGGATTTCAATGGAAAGCGAGCATTGAAAAAGTAACAAACGGTATCATTATGTGGTCAGATGTCTTCATTTATGATACGAAAGAAGGAGAGAAATTTGCAATTGTGCTTATTGATACTCAAGGACTTTTTGATCAAAAAACATCGCCGAGCGTCAACTCAAAAATGTTTGCAATCTCGACCTTAATTTCATCAGTTCAGATTTATAATCTTCATAATGTCGTGCAAGAAGATCAATTGCAGTATTTGCAGGTAATTTGATTATTATTATGACAAATTTTTGGGGTTATGGTTGGTACTATTGCAAGATGACCTAACCGAAAAAATCACAAACATTATTATCACTTCCACAGTTCACAAGTGACTTTGCAAAACTCATTAACAACATAGACAACGAAGAAGATCAAGACGATTTATCTGTCGAGAAGCCATTCCAAAAGATCATCCTTCTAATGCGTGATTGGGTAAATAAAGCTAAATATCCATATGGATCAACAGGAGGTGAAAAATATTTGAATGAGGTGTTGAAAATTCAAGATGATCATGAAGCTGATGCTAGAAATGTCAGAAAATTTATTCGGTCTTCATATGAAGAGATCAAATGCTTCTTAATGCCACATCCGGGGAATAAGATATTTGAAACTAATAATTTTAATGGAGAATGGTCAAAATTAGATGAAGACTTTGTAAAGCAAATGAAGGATTTATCATCATGGATCTTCAATCCATTAAATTTGAGAAAAAAGAAAACTTATGCTGAATATGTAACAGCTGAAGATTATGCAGAACATTTGAAATATTATATTGAAGCTGTGTCATCTAATGAGTTAATGAATGTATCATCAATATTTGAATCTGTGATGGAAAGTGAAGTGAATATACTCTTACAGAAAAGTATTAAAATTTCAAGAAATGTCTTACGTAGCAATGAGAATTTCGAGAATGAATCACTTCTTACACAACTTGATAAAATTGGAGAGCAGAGTCAAAAATCTGCAATCAATAACTTTTTAAATGCAATTCAAGATTTTTCTACAAACGAGAATTTTATAACGAAATGGTCTGGAAGATTGAAAAATCAGTTATCAAAAGAACTGAATGACTGGAAGGTTGAAGTAACTCTTAACTACAAAAAGTTCTACAACGCTAAGAAGCTATCTCAGGAAAAAGCTGGAATACAGCTTGAATCGTTAAAGAAAGATTTTGATTCTAAACTGATGATATTAATTCAGAAGAACACAATGGAAAGAACAAGAATGGAAGAACAAATGAAATCAACAATGAAACAAGCAGACCTTGAGAAAATTAAAATTCAGCAAGAACGTGAAGCCGAGCGTGGAAAACTCATCAGAGAAAAGCTTAAAGATTTAGAAAATGCAAAAAAAGAATGTGAAAAAATTGTAAAAAGTGCTAAAAACAGTTACCAAAGTGAAATAGATGAGATTAAGGAACGAGAAGAAAAATTGCAAGCCCAAAAAAATAAATTAGAGAAAGAAAGAAAAGATCAAGAAAAAATACTTAAAGATAAACTGGAAAGAGAAAATAGAGAACATCAACTGGAGGTTAGCAGACTAAAAGTCGTCACTTCATTAACCGAGAAAAGATTGAGAGAAGAAATGGAAAAAGCTCAAGCGATGCTGGAAGCTGAAATAAAGAGAATGATACTTATGTCTAAACTTGAATTAGAAGAATTTAAGCTTAAACAAAAATTAAAAGATCTGCAACATAAATCTGAACTTGACAGAATTCGAAATGGAAGGAGAAGATAAAATTAGGTCGTTTCTTAAATTTTGTCATAATTTTTAATGATTCAATAAATAAAAGCATTCATATAAATTTGAAAGAAAACGAAAATATATGGAAGAATAGCACCAAAACAAAACTGTTCAAATTATATAAGAAAATACAAATACTTAACTATCCACTTGTATAGTTATAATTCCCCTTTATTAAAATAATAATTCTATAAATGTTTAAAGAATAAACATATTATTTGTTAAGACAACTCATTTATTCCTTATAAACTCTCAAAATGCGCTTTAGATTTTTGTTTATTTTATTTTGCAACCTTGCCAAAATTTATCCCTTCCAATCAGAAATTCTCTCAATTTTTAAATTTTCTTAAAACTTTCTCTCGATTTTTCAGTATAAATTTTTCAAACTTTTCATAATGTCATTTAAATTATTATTAAAACTCGTAACATGAAGATTATTTGGGCATTTCCGCATTTTATTCAACTTCTTCTGATCATAAGTAAGTTTTGTAATTTATTATTGTACTTGTTTTAACATTATTTTTATTAAATAAATCCTTTAATCCAAAGCGGCTGAAAAGTCTCATGAGTCGTCAGAAGAAATATTTAAATCAGAAATGAATCATCCATTTGGAAATCCCGAAAATATTTTAAAATTTGGTTCCGAAGGAAGATTTATTGTTGATGATAATGCACTCGAAAAAATATTTTTGAACGAGGATGTAAAAGATCGAAAAGTTGTTGTTGTCTCTATAATTGGAGCTTATCGAAAGGGAAAGTCCTTCCTCTTGGACTATGCACTTCGATACATGTATGGAAACGTAAGTTAAACTAAGTTTTTTGTGCAATTTGGAATGAACTGTTATAGCACTTGGGATAGAAGTGGGATATATGATAAGCTGATTTTTAGTAAAACATGGATTCTTATTTAAGATAAGAATTAAGGATTGATTCATCTTAGACATTGAACGCTGAATACTTCATTAAGATTTTAACATGCATAACAAATGTATTAAAGTTATTGAAAAAATATTGTAATACCTCAGCACCAGATGCGTAGTCTGAATAATTTCATAAACTGGGAATTCCCCAAAAATTTTAAGAAATTTTCCAAAAAGGAGGCATATTTTAATCTCCCTATCGTTTTCATGATACCGTGTCAATTAAAATTCTTATGAGCTTATTCAGTTCTTTATAAGGATGTTAAAAAAAGGATATCATAATTATTAAATATCTACATGATTTTATTTTATTTATTATTAAATCCAGTACAAATCAATTGCATATCCAAACAATCCACTCAACAATACACAAAACTGGATGGGAGAACCTGACGAGCCACTCAAAGGATTCTCATGGAAAGGAGGTGTGAAAAGAGATACAACTGGCATTATTATGTGGTCGGATATATTTCTTTATGAAAAAGATGGGAAAAAATTAGCAATAGTCTTGATGGACACTCAAGGATTATTTGACACAACAACATCACCGACTGACAATTCTAGAATCTTTGCACTCGGCACTTTGGCATCATCCGTTCAAATTTTTAACCTTAATGATGTCATTCAAGAGGATCAATTAGAATATTTGCAGGTAAGGAGTAATATGTGATTTAAAAATGAATGGCAGCGACTTGGAATTATTAAGAATCTACATAAATAATAACTATTTCATTCTTATGTAGCTTGCAACTGAATTCTCACAATTTGCCCTTAAGAAAAATAATAATCGAAAAAATAGACGTAAAACTTTGAACATAAAGCCCTTCCAAAATTTAATTTTTCTCATGCGCGACTGGCAAAATAAACAAGATTATGAATATGGAGAAGTTGGTGGTGCTTTATATCTTGCAAAAGTTCTTACTGATCGAATTAATCAGCCAGAAGCATTAAGAGAAGTAAGAACTTATATAACAAGCTCTTTTGAAAAACTTAAATGCTTCCTGATGCCTCATCCAGGTTTAACTGTTACGTCTGATTCTACTTATAAAGGTCAAAGAAGTGGTTTAAGTAAAATTTTCGAGGAATATCTTGAAATATTCTTAGAATTTATCCTTAAATCAAAAAACCTAGTAACTAAGAAGGTTTTAGGGATTGAAGTCTCTGGATCTGATTTTATGAAATACCTCAAAGCTTATATCGAAGCTTTTGAGTCTGACGACATCCCAAAAGTTGAGACATTGCATGGAATTACAGTAAGAAAACTGTACGAAATATTAATTTCGGAATCATTTGAGGAATATAAATCTCATCTTAAAAATCCAAATTATTCTTCATCAACATTCATCAATGACATCAACTTTAATGGGAATGAATCAATAAAAACTGCAATGGAATCATTCAAGAAGAAAAGGAAGCTCGGTGTTTCATCAGATGAGCAGAAATTCAAAAATCAACTAAGCACTTTATTAGAAATGCACTTTACTGAATGGAAATTACATCACATTAAAATATTTAAAGAATTAGAAGCAATTGAAGAAAATCACCGAAAAGAAATCGCTGAAAAAAAGAAATTAAGTCAACAAAGAATACGAGAAATTGAAGAACAGCACGAAAATCAAACAAAGGAGCTCAAAGCTACAATGCAACAAGAAGAACTAAATCTAATCGAAAAATTAAAAACATACGAATTAGAATCTAAAAGAAATATAAACAAACTTAAGCAAGAGTATGAAGCACAAAAATTAGAATTCCAGCGAAGTAATGCAATGTTTCTCAATCATCTATCGAAGCAAAATTCTGAATTGAAAAATAAATCAATGGAAATTCAGAAACAAATTGAACAGCAAATGTTAGAACTGGAAACTGCAATGTCTACACGACAGAAACAATTAGAGAAATCAATTGCTGAGAGAAGAGACAGAGAGTTGGAAGTGTTAAGAAATGTCGCTAAACAAGAGCGATATGAATTAAAACAAATTTATGAGCAACAAGAAAATAGCAAAAAGGCAGAATTGGAAGTTGCATTGTTCGAGAAAAGATTGCAATTGGAGGAAAAACGAATTCGAGATGAAGCTGAAGCTGAGAAAAAAAGAGGATATGAAGTGCTGATAGCTGGTTTGGAGAAAGATAAACGAAACCTACAAAAAATAATTTTAGACTTGTACAAAAATCCTAGATAATATTTAAAAAAAATAAACGTGAATTTTTTGTAATTGTGCTTGAAAAACTTTAAAAATCACAAATAAAATTTTTTAAAACAAAATTAATAATTTGTTTTAATTATTCATACTGAATTTTTTCTACAGTATCCTTTCCTTTATGTTAGACGTTATTTGTGGTTTCTTAGACTCCTTGGAACTTCCAACTTCAGTTTCATATTCCATTATTTCCATTCTTAACCTAGGGGAGCTAGGTCTTGCATAACTGTAAGCAGAGAATCTAATGGGTACCAGAAGCCGATTTCTTAGGCAGTTTGAAGCCGCTGGTTGATTTTTCAAAGTCTAGACTCTAGAATATTCGAACATACACGAATGGACAAAGCAAGGAAGCTAAAAATTTTCATCTATAAAAACAAGTTTAAGATTACCTCTGAATTCTCAAAAAAATTGAGAGAGAATTTCTTTATAAAGCAAAAGTATATCACTTAAAAATTCAGTCATCAAGTACAATGGAAAAAGGAATAATTCTGTTCTTGATTATTGGTCTTACATTTTTTGGTATTATTAATTAATTTTTAATTTAAATTGAATAATTGTGGAAAACATATTTAATTTTACTTTAAGTGTGTCACGGAGACAGTTCATTTGAATCATCAGATGAGGACGAACTTAAAGATGTTGAGCCTGGAAAACCTTTAAACATATTGGATGTAACTGATGACAATCAATTTATTGTTGAAACTGAAGCGATTACGAAAATATTTGAAAATTCAGACTTGAAAAGGAGGAAAGTTGTTGCTGTCTCGATTGTTGGAATTTTCAGGAAGGGAAAGTCATTTTTATTGAACTACTTCCTTAGATATCTTTATGCAAATGTGAGTCATCATTTTGGGAGGTTGCAATCAATTAAAAAATTAGGGGCATAAGGCTAGTGTGATACTTTCGTCGATTCATACCCGGGTGGACACAGCCAGTTAAAGTCCATTATTGGACAATCATTTAACTTGTCTTTTAACTTGCCGAAATTTATACGACATAGAGAACTAGACGTTAACTAGACTTTAACTTGAGATTCATGCTAATCAATCAAGTGCTCGAAACTCAAAAATAATTTCTCTTACTTTTTTGACCATATACTTCACAAGCGCTTACAGAAATCACTTATATAAGGTCTCACTCCCGAGCGGCACAAAGGTGTCATATAACTGTCATATGACTGCCATATGACAGCTGCCACGTGTCAATTGCCATCGTTTGATGGCAATAAAAACTGCTTTATGGCAGTCATATGACAGATAATTGCTATCGATGTTGACGATATGTCAACCAAATAGTATGATAAAGTAATCCATATGACTGCCATATGACTGCCATCAATAAAAATTGACACAAAACGGAAACTGTTATATGACAGTTTCTAGGCAGTTTTATGACAGGCACAGATGGCAGTACTTTTATCAAATTTCAGTTAAATGGCAATTATATGGCAATGAGATGACAATTTTGTGGCAATTTCATATCAATTATATGGCAATTTTAAAGGCTGTTAAGGCTGAAATATAAATTAAATGGATTTAAAAAATTACAAAATATTAAAGGGTTAAAATTTTCTGTTTATTTATGAAAATGTATAATAGAAAAAAAAATGGAAAAAAAAATTCAATAAGCTTTACGGCTTTTTCTGCCTTCTTTTTGACCCATCATGCTCTGGGGATTCCTGTATGTGAAGAATTTGATCCTGCTCTTAAATCATCAAAAGTTCCTGGAGCACTTCGATTGATTATGTATTGAAAAAGATGCATGTGTCCTGAAATTTCTTTTATGCCAATTTTCGTTCCTATATAATAATTATGAATGAAAAAATAATATATAAATAAAAGTTTTTAAATGTTTTGCTCACCCTTTACTAAGTCCATCCTATTTTGCTTATTAATTCCTCACCGATATAAATTTTAAGAGTAACAAAAAAATGAACTTTACACTTCAAAATCTAGATTTCAACTGAATGGTTTTCATAATTTTCCAAAAAACAATGGTAACTGTGATCAATTTTTTTCTCATGGCAGTCACATGGCAGTCATATAACAGTTTTATAAAATTGTCATATAATTGCTACCAAATAACCGTCATATAACTGTTATTTGCCTTTTCAAAACGATCATATAACAGTCATATGACTGACACCTGCCACCTTGTGCCGCTCGGGACTTAATTTGTATGAAACTTTTAAGTGAATATAAATGTTTCACGCGCAAGTGTTCGAGACTCAATTTTTACTAGAGATTTTCGATAAGTGTTAGTGTACTTTAATTAGTTTATTACACTAATACAATAATAATATTTTACAAAAGAAAAAAAGGGAGAAAAAGACACGTGTTATTTATTTTATTTCGATTTTTTTGTAACTGGACAATAACTAGACATATGTGCAATTCCTACGTCCAGTTAAATGGAAAGCGCAAAATATGTCATTAGTCGTCCCTAAGTCTAGTTGCAAAGGCACGTCAATGGATACTTACTCGCCATGAACAGGCAAGTTAATGGCAAGCTTTTAACTAGTACTTTGTCCACTCGGGATATTCTTTACATTGTTCGTCGCCAAAAACAATTTTTTCTAAAACAAGTTTAAACATTCTTCAACAGTTCAAGTCAGTTAACTATCCCGACAATCCATTAAATAACACATCTAATTGGATAGGAAAAAATAATGAGAAACTTTCTGGATTTCAATGGAAAGCCAGTACAGATGGTGTAACCAATGGAATCATCATGTGGTTTGATGTCTTTCTTTGCGATAAATCAACAGGAGATAAGCTTGCAATTGTGCTAATCGATACTCAAGGACTATTTGATAAAAAAGCATCAACAAGTGTAAACTCTAAAATTTTTGCACTTACAACTTTGATTTCATCAGTTCAAATTTATAACTTGCACAATGTCATTCAAGAGGATCAGCTACAGTATTTACAGGTAATGATTGTGAGTCTAGAAATATCCACTAATTCGTGTTTTTAATTTTTATTTACAGTTCACAAGTGACTTTGCTAAGCTGATTAATAATATGGACACAAACAATGGAGATCAAAGCAGTATAAAGCCTTTTCAAAAGATGATCCTGCTCATGCGTGATTGGGTAAATTTCGCAGAATATCCTTTCGGACTAAGAGGTGGGAAAAAATATTTAAATGAGGTCCTTGAAATCACAAATGAACACCAAAATGATGCAAAGGAAGTGAGAAAATTCATTCGATCTTCATTTGATGACATAAACTGCTTCCTAATGCCACATCCTGGCGATCAAATTTTCAATACTGATGACTTCAATGGCGAATGGTCTAAACTTGATGGAAAATTTGTAGATCAACTTAAGAGTCTAATTTCATGGCTTTTTAATCCATCAAATTTAAGTCCGAAGAAAATATTCAATAAATACGTGACAGTTGAAGAATATACCGAGCATTTAAAGTTTTATTTTGATGCTGCCTCTTCAAATGAGCTCATGAATGTCTCGACGATATTTGAAGCAACAATGGAAAGTGAGGGAAACCTGATTCTTCAAAAGAGTTTGAAAGTTTTGAAGAAAAATTTGCGCCAAAATGAAAACATTGAAAATCCATTATTTTTAAAACAAATAGATGAAATTGGTAGGAACAGTACAGAAGCAGCAAATATCAATTTTAAGAAGCTGATAGAAAGTTTTACGGAAAGAGATAATTTTATAAAAAGATGGACAGAAAAGCTAAAAGATCAAATGACAAAGGAGCTAAATAATTGGAAAGAAACATCTATGCTTAATTATGAGAGATTCCAGAAGATTAAACAGTTATCTCAACAAGAAACTGCTATTAAATTAGAAGTCGAAAGAAAGAAATTCGAAATAGAAATTAGTAAATTAACGCAAAAGAATTCCAATGAAAAATTAAAATTGCAAGCTAAATTCGATGCGGCTGTAAAACAGTTTGAATTCAATAGTGTCCAAATAAAGCAAGAAAATGAAGCTGAACGTCAGAATATAATTCAACAAAAACTTCAAGATCTAGAGGAATCGCGACTTAATTGTGAGCGAATGGTAAAAAATGCAAAAACTAGCTACAATAATGAAATGAATCAAATTAAGGAACGAGAAGAGATGTTAAGAGCGCAAAAATTAAGATTAGAAAAAGAAAAAAAGGCACAAGAAGCAAAGCTAAAGCAACAACTGGAGGAAGATAACAAAAATCATGAATTAGAAGTTCAAAAACTAAGGAAAAAGACTTTGCAAATAGAAAATGAATTGAAACGAAAAGCAGAAGAAAACGAAAGGGAGCTTTTAAAACAGCAACAAAGAAAGATAAGAGTAATGGAACTTGAATTTGAAGAATACAAATCGAAGGAGAAATTAAAAAATATTGAACATAAAATTGAACTTGAGAGAGCTAAAAATGGATTGCATAATGCTGGTTTGGTCGCTTCCTCAAACAAAGTAAGTAATAGTAAGAATATTTTCTTTTGAATAGCTCTTTATCTTCTACTTTTCTTAAAGTTCACACCGATTAGATATACAAGATATAGAAGACCATCATATGAGGATTAAACAAATTTTCGAACTTGGGGTGGTAAAATGTTTTTTAAAATATTTGATTAATAAAATGCATAACATGGTGCCTGATATCATCTTAATCAACTTAATCTAATTTTTTGTTATTTTTTTCATTTATTTTTTTTAAGAATGTAAATCATTTTAGTGAAAATAGTTCAAATTTTTCCTTACAGTATAGTGCCGCAGATTAGAAATGAAAGATATAAAAATACCAACAGATTAGTTAATCACCTCCAAATATATTTAAAGTTGGTGAAATTTAAAACAACAATTTAATTGATTGAATTTGAATTTTGAAATTTGTACTTTAGATAATAAAACAATTTTGTGTCACTTAATAAATCACATATTATTATAATATAACTAAATTTTTGATATTTTCTTGATTATTATTAGTGTTTTACAGATTTCGTCGAGAATTATTATTTATATGGTTGAATTATTACTTCTTCAATTATCATTCATTACCGAAATCCAGTAAATCCAGTAAAAAAAAACAATGAAACTTTTTTTTTTTTAATTTTAAACCTTTTTTTGAGTTGTTAAAGTTATTTTTTTTTAAATTTGTAATCTTACCGTGCATTGATATGTTATTAACCAGTGTTGCAAATGTAGATGTCTACACTAGATGAAGAATGTAGATTCTTCAATAGTTTTCGTCTAGCTAAGAAACTTTCTTCATAAAGATCGATTCTACATGAATATAGAAAATCTAATCTACACAAAGATTATTTCTACATAAAGATTCTGTCTACATAAAGATTCGATGTAGATGTCTACAATTCTACATTTTTTCTAGATCTACATCAGAGAAGAATGTAGAATTGTAGACATCTTCATCGAATCTTTATGTAGACGGAATCTTTATGTAGAAATAATCTTTGTGTAGATTAGATTTTCTATCTTCACATAGAATCGATCTTTATGAAGAAATTTCTGTCTCAGAATTTATCTGATCCAGACAAATCGCCAGAATGCAACACTGTTATTAACATCATTGAGTCATGAAATTGAAATAATTATGGAATTTCCAAAATTATTGATAATACCGGGAATTTTTAGTAATGATTAAATTATATTGAATAAAGCATGTTGAAATCAGGCAACTGAAATGCTCTGTAAATCCACCAAATGTATTAAAATTTGAAAAGTTCATCGAATGATCTTCTTTATGAATTTTATTCATTTAAAATGGTATCAGACTAATGCACAAATTTGTCAGTTCTAAATAAGCTTTATTTTTACAAAATTAATCGATAACTTGACAATTTAAAAATTGTACTATTAATTTTGCGGGATTTCCCATAAAAAAAATCAAAAATCAATATAAAATGTATTACTTATCTACTATGGGAAAAAAAACATGAATTATTTCAAACGGAAATGTCGATATAGAATCTGGAAGGCAAATATTTAATATAAAAGATGTTAGTAAGGATGAATTAAAATCAGTTTAAAACTTCTCTATCAATATGAAACATTTAATAATAGGAATCCTGTTTATATTGGGACAATTTGGACTGAGTAAGTAATGTCGGTGCATTTTGAGAAATCAAGATTAGATCATCATCCTAGATGTGCAAACTATTTTAAAAAAAACATTCTTGATCTGCTAGTCAGAGTCAATCGGGACCTTGTTCTTAGGTAGTGTTTCTGTGTAGAAGTTCAAATAGTTTCAAAAGACGAAGATGACAGAAGGTGATAGAGTCTGACCAGATTCACATTGTTAAATTTTCTTTTGTGTTGCTTGGGGATTAAATGAATCTATTCTATTCTCCTTTTTTTCTAATCATTGAGAATCATCACAACTCTTAATTACAAACTAATAACAAAAAAACATTTTGATTATAGATGAAGCTACCATAAGTGAAGAAGAGGATAATGAATCTACCGAACCAACAAATGATGATGATATCAAAAGGAAGCAATCTGGAGCTATTAAAGAACATCCATATGGACACGCAATTGAATTGATGAAATTCAATCAAGAAGAGCAAATTTTTATTGATTTAGCATCGTTGGATGCAATATTCTTAAATCCAGAAGTAAGTACTCGCAAGATTGTTGCTGTTTCAATTATTGGTGCATTTAGGAAAGGAAAATCATTTTTCATGGATTATGCTCTACGGTTTATGTATGCAAATGTAAGTTAAATACAATATCATTCCATTTTCTGATAAATCATTTATAAGATCATGAATTTTCAGTATAAATCAGTATCCTTTATGAATAATACACTCTCAAATAAGCAAAATTGGATGGGAAAACCTGATGAACCTCTTACGGGTTTTACTTGGCGAGGTGGCTCATCAAGAGATACAACTGGTGTAGTTTTATGGTCTGATGTCTTTCTCCATGATTATCAAGATCCAAAAACAAGGAAAATCGAAAAAATTGCAATTATTTTATTAGATACTCAAGGACTTTTTGATTCAAGTGCAACACCAACTGAAAATTCGAGGATTTTCGCTCTCGGAACTTTAATTTCATCTGTTCAAATTTTTAACTTAAACGATGTCATTCAAGAAAATCAGCTGGAATATCTTCAAGTAAGTTCTTATTAGCATTACAAGAATAATTTTTTTTAATTTACAATAATTTCTAATAGATGGCAACTGATTTTGCAAAATATGCCATAAAAAAGAACAAAAACGATTTGACATTCAAGCCATTTCAAAGTTTGATTTTTTTGATGAGAGATTGGCAAAATAAAGATGAATTTGAATTTGGCCACGTAGGTGGAGCAAATTATTTAGCAAGTGTATTAAACATAAGACCTGACCAGCATGAAGTATTGAAAGACGTTCGAAGATTTATTGAAGATTCCTTTGAACAAAGATACTGCTTTCTTCTACCTCATCCAGGACCTAATGTTGTTAATAATAAAAATTACGATGGAAGATTAAGTGAGATAGATGAGGACTTTAAGGAACACTTAAAATCATTTATTGAGTGGCTTCTAAAATCAACTAATTTAAAGAAGAAGAAGGTCTTAAACAACGAAGTTATTGGATCTGATTACAATGAGTATATTAAAGCATATTTCAAAGCTTTTGAGGCAGGTGAAATTCCAAATGCTCGTTCACTTCATAGCATGACGGTTGATAAACATTACGACATCATTATACTGGAATTAATGGTTGAATTTAAAGAACTTATAAAAAAGCCTGTAGATTTTAAGGTTGGTGATGATTTTAAGGAGACAATCGATATTGAACAGGAAATGAGCGATAATTACAACATTGCTTCCAAAGAGATAATTCAATTATTTGATGATAAGAAAAAGCTGGGAACTAAAAAACAAGAATCAATATTTAGAACTGAATTAGAGAAACAAATGAAAACATATTTTGAGGAATCGAAAATCAAACAGCTTGACTCGTATTTTAAATTAAAAAACCAATATGTAGACCACAAAAAGAAGATGGCCGAAGTAATTGAACTACACCAAAATGAAACAAAAGAAATAGAAATTAAGAATGAACAGGAAATACAGAATGTGCAACAAGAAAATCAAAAGAAAACGCAAGTTCTAGAAATGATGATTGAAGAAATGAAAAACAAAACAAAAATCGAAATACAAGAAATGAATATAGCTAATAATAGAAGTAGATCAAAGGCAGAAAAACTTAATGAAGATTTAAGAATTCAGTTTGATAATGAAAGGAAAAACATCCAACAACTTGCAGATAATGCCACAAGAGAATTAAAACAACTACTCGAAGCAAACAATGAACGCATTAGCCAAAATCATACAGCAGCACAGCACGTAATAGAGTCTCAACAGTCTGAAAGACTTGCAATTTTGCAACTAGAAGCTGATATAAGGCGGGAAGATATTGCTGCTCGATTGAAAATAGCAGAAAAACGAGAACAAGCTTTAGCTGATGAAAGAAAATTAGAAATGGAGCAAAGAGTAAAAGAAAATTTGATTCGAGAAGAAGCACTCAAGTTAGAAAAAGAAGATCGCATTCGAGCCGAGGAGGAAAGAAGAAAAGCTAATCAGGAATTCAAAGAACAAATGATGATTTTAACAAAAAAAACTCTTGACGAACAGAAACTTGTTAAAAATGAAAAGGACGCACAATTTACGTTGTTATTAGAACAAATCAAGTCCATTGAAAGTAGAATTCACAATGCAGATAAAAATCGAAATGATAATAGAGAATTTCAGAAAAGTTTGATTGAATACACAAAACAGGCACAGGAGAGTCAACGAATTGCATCTGAAAGACAATACGCGCTATATTCTCAACAAATGGGTAGATTACATCATAACTCATCCTCTCGCATTTATGTCAAACCTTTATATATTTGCATTTTGACTTTATCGATGGCATTTTTACATAGATATTCAAAAAAGATTTTCATGTAAATATTGTAATCTCGCATAATTTTAATTGCTCAAAAGAATTTTTAAAATTTATAGATAAAATTTTTTATTCAATTAAAAATGTAAGTTTAAAAAGTTAAAATTTATTCGAATGGCTACAATTGTGACGGTTTATTATTTAAAAATATACAATTAAATTGTTTTCTGTAGATCCATTCAAGTCCAATGAGCCACTAACATCATTTTTCTAAAAATAAAAGAAATTATTCAATAAAAAAAAAACAATTAATTATTGAAGCCTACCTGAAAGTCATCATGCTGCCAACTTAGTTTCTTATTTCTCTGATTATCAATTCGATTTAAAATATTCAAATCTTTTGTTGTGTCTGTTGAATTTGTTATTGAATCTTTCTCAATATCATCGTTATTAGTCTGTTGAGTATTATACAATCGCCCTCTATAATTTGCACGTGAAAGTGCTCCTAAAGTGCTCTTATTGTCTGCATGATGATGAATATGATGATTTTGTGTATCATATGTTGACGCCATTATGCTTGAAGCACCTGGCGAAAGATTTCCACCCGAATTGATATAGTTGTGTTGCTCTTGATTTGGATCGCGCATGTGACTGTTCATTAAACGCTTTTCTTGACTAACGAGACCGGCTGATGATTGCATTGATGGTAAATTGCTGTGAATTTGATTCGATTTTCTAATTTAAATTGAAATGAATGAAAGTTTTAATTTTAATTTTTCGGCATTTAAATTAATAAATTTTCTTATTAATATCGCTTAATTCAGGGTCAATTGCTGTGATATCGAAGCAAATTAGAATCTACTTGTGCAAGAGGAAAGCTAATATCTTCACAATAAATGGCAACCTACTCGGATAGCTAGCTTCTACTCACCTCTTATATACATAGAATGATATGAGCATAACAATAATGATGAATGCTATGAATAATACACCAAATATACTTAAAAATGAAGGAAGTTTTGCTTGTGACGATGCCTCAGGATCCATAACAAAAGTTATAGGTACGGAAGTTGATCTTTGTCCTGAATCTGTGGCAGTTGCGATGAGACTTATTTCTGATTTCTTTAAATTATGCAATGGCTCTTTCAAGTATATCTTTCCATTTGAATCAATCTTAAAGTATGATGAATGTTGTCCACGTAAAAAGAAACTGATTTTATCGCCAACGTCACCGTCCGCTGCTTCTACTCGTCCAACCTCCATAGGAATACTATATGTGTCATTTAATGGTAATCGGAACCGATAATATGGTTGGCGGAATCTTGGATCCCAATCATTTACATTGATAACATCAATAGTAATTTCACATGTTGCATTATTCAGCTGATCGTCAATAACCATAACATGAAAGATATGCTTGACGATTTTCTCAAAATCGAGTTGTTTTCGTAAAATCACATCACCGTACTGTCCAATTTCAAAATAATCCGTTTGATCTCTCTCAAGTATTGAGTATCTTAACTGACTTCGATCACCAGGACGATTTGTTGGAAGTGAGAGAATACGAGAACCAATAGGCGAATTCTCACGAACAGAAATCTGATGTTTTGGTTGAATGAATTGCAATTTCGCAGTATATTGCCGATTGTCATTTGTATTGCTTGTTTCAGGTATTAAGTCGTGTCTGAATTTATCAGAACGCATTATATTCACAGTCGCTAGCGTGTAGCGATCTTTATTATCAATTTGTGTTGCTCGAACAACTAACGTAGACTTTTGACTTTCATAGACTGTGATTAGCTCGATTTCACCAGATTTTGGATTAATTGAAAAATATTTGGCATCGGGTGATGATGAAGATGAAATCGAGTAAATAATGTCAGCTTGAATGCCATCATCTTGATCCCATGCTCTAATAGCTTTCGGAAAGATTTTTAATTTTCCCGTTTTGCCATCTTCTGGAAACTCAGCTGTGTATGATTCATACTCAAAACGTGGATTTTGATCATCAGCATCGATGATAAAAACACGAAGGAATGTGTCTGAGAATTTTGGTGGACTTCCTTGATCTTGTGCGCGAAGTTTGACAGTGAAATTTTTCAATAGTTCAAAATCTAATGCTTTTTTAAGTTGTAAAGTTCCTTCAAGTGGATTTACAAAATCTACAAAATCAGAGTATTGACCAGGTAATACACTATATTCAACAGTACTGTAAGGACCAGGCTGATCAGCATCAACAGCTCTTGCACCTTGTAAAATTCTTGTTCCAACTACAGTCGTTTCTGATAAACTTATAGAATATGGTGCTCCCTTCCATTGTGGTGCATTATCATTAACATCAGTTATTCTTATATTTACAGGAATCACAAAACTTGGAATTGCTTCCGAATGAAGACGATCACAAACAACATTAACATAAACTGAAGCTGGACCACGTTCACCTTCCTTATCGAGTGCTGCAGTCAAAATTAAATCTTTTGTACCAGCCTCAATCTGTACCGGTGCATCGCGGTCACGTTCATGAAGCTTTAACCTTATATTGCCATTGACTCCAGTATTTCCTATTATTTTGAGTTTCCCAATAATAGCACCGACCGCAATATCTTCACTAACAATAAAATTTTCAGTTGAGCCACCGCTCTCGAGATAACATCTAGAATCTGAATGTCCTTGACCAGATGCTAATACTGCATTTATTATGACAAATACAATTGTTCGCATTCCATACATTTTCACATTAAAATTCATGATTTATTTTAAAGCTCGTATATTTTTTACGTTTCACTTTGCACCATAACATCATTAATATGAAATTTGTAGTTTTTTATTTTCGAGAAGCACTAAAATTTTTGACGGTGTTGAAAGTTTTTTTTTTTATTTTATTTGTATTTTCACAATTTTCCATCAATTTGTTTTCAAAACACCACAGTTGTGTCTGTCTAAAGCAATTTTCGCGCTCATTTCACTCTGAAGTATTTTTTTAAGCACTTGCTGGTGGATTTAACTGTTTTGAGGTTTGATCTTCCTTGATGTTTTTTATTTATTGTTCACTTGTTTTGCACTTTTCTGGATATTTGACATCCAAAGTCTTACAATGTTAGGTTTTCTATGTTTCAAGTCATTGATTTTTATCACTTCCAGCATTATAAATTAATTTTTCTTCGAATTATGTAATTATTATCGCAATCTTTTTAATTTTGGACTTCATGGCTTTTAAACTTCAATCAAATCACAAGCTCAAGTTTAATCCACAATACTAAATATCACACTTAAATCAATTATGATCAGACAACTTGCAAAAGGTTCAATGCTGACCGGTGTTGTGTAAAAGAAAGTTTTTTTTTTTTGCAATGATTTTCTTTTTCATCAGATAGATCTTCACTATTAGAAGTAACAGCAGCAGTACATCATGTGGAATGTTTTAATAATACTTCACTTTTTACATATGATCACCGTTGAACTCAACAAATAAAATAACTCCGTGCAGTATGCGTAGAAGAAAGAGAAAAACTGAGTCAATTGGAGCTCCATTCATTTCATGCCTATAAAGCGAGACCAAGTGACTTCTTTATTGTTTCTTCGTAAGGCTTTTTTTTTCTCTCTCTTTTAATTGTTTTCTATTCGACTTTGGAAGTAAAAAGTACTTTTGATTTCTAAAAAGAAATGAAATCGCAAAATGTGAATTATTGTTCTTCTTCAGTCATTTTAAACGAATATGTGCACACCCTTGGATTGAGCTTTGTCAGATTTTTATCGTTTTTAGTTTCTATTTCTTTTGGTAAGGTTTGTTGAACTGTGTGACAATCGGTGGCAATATTGCTAGTAGTAGCTTATATCAGTTTATATTTTTGATCAGGGGTTTGATTTTTTTTTTTTTGAGAACATTCAAGGGGGTTGGAAAATTTTTCATACAAACCTAAGAACTCTTAGTTCTTGGTAATCAAAAATGATTTTTTTTTTTCGTTCGTTTTTAGTCCTCATAGGCGTTTTAAATGATCGATTCATAACTAAAGTCAAAAATGTAACATTATTAAGGTAGGTTGAACCTAGCCACTGCAACTAAGTAGCTATTTGTTTACTGACTTTTGACGTATTCAGTTACAGACGTAAACTACTATACTAGAGTATGGCTAAGGGAAATAAAGTTCAAATCACATAGCTTCTGTTTGGAAATAAATAGAGTTGTCTTGATATTGAAAATGTGAATTATGATAAAGTTCCAGAATCTTATATTCCACTCAAGACTAAGCAATTGTCATCCAAATTCAACAATAAACTTGTTCCTCTAACTTCTCTTAACTATTGAAGAGTTATGTTTAGATTTGAGCTTTATAACCAAATCAACAATGACAATAATGTTCAGAAAACCTTAAACTGCATTATAAGAACTGCCTATTCATCACTCTTACCAACCTTTCTCTGACCAAACTCGAAAAAATCTGACGAAACCAATTCAAGGCAATAGGAAAACATTTTTATGCACTCCACAAATAATCTAATTTTTTAATCATAATCGACAATCATTTATGATAGTTTATTGCACACTTAATTTAATAATAAGTTAATTATCGCAATATTTGTCACTACACGATCATCATTGCATGCACTAAAATTTATGAAATAGATTTTTTTTATGCAATTTTTATAATTTTTACATAATTGAGCCAATTTTCCTTCCTTCAAATGACAAACATTAAATGACGATAGGTATGGTAAATGCATAATAGACACACGAAACGTACTTGTTGGACTATATATTTCGTTCTGGTTCCATGCCAATGCGTGTCATAGACAACGACAATAAAATAAAACTGCAGCATAGAGCATCGATGGAATAATGCCTGCTTTATATTTACTACTAAGTACAAAAGAAGATGTGATATTTACGGAACTAAAAAAATGAGATTAAACTGGAACAATTTCATAACTGAAATAAAACTAACATTCTTGTTAAGCAGTTTCTGTAACGCTTCTCGATGATGAATGAACTGTTATGTGCTGTATGGAAATTGCACGAGTTTTGATTACTATTCTTACGAATTTTTTTTTTGAGGAAACAGCGAGAAATTTGAAATAATTTGTAGGTATTGTGGAACTTTTCTGTGGATCGTGAATGTGTTTCGAATCACTTTTGGTCAATTAAATAGAAAATTTACTAGCTTCCTTATTAGATTGCTTTAATTTGGTTGAGAAGAAGTTTGGATGAAACTGTGGAATAATTTTCTAATTTGCAGCACGAATGTGGTTCTTATTCTTTAGTATTTTCTTTGTGGTATATCAGAATGGACTTAGAGATATTAATGCATTAAGATTTATGGGAGATTTGAACTTTCTAGCATTAATTGGTGTGTTATACTCAGGCTGTTAGATGTGTGAGACAGTGTGAGATATTAAAATGCACGATTGATCCAAGCCTTGTTTACAATCAAAGAAGGATTTCAATTTTTTTATATCTGAAGTATTTTTTGAAGAATACTGAATAGGGCTTATTGTTTTCATTTACTTTACTTAAAAAAGCAGTATCATTAATGCTGCTGAGTGTTCTAGAAGTCTCGGAGATTCTAGTCACAGTCAAATTTTATAATAATCAAAAATTAAAGACAATTTTCAGGACCATCGGTGAACAAGTGGTCGAAGGAATAAAGCTTGTTCTTAAATCAAGTGGATGCTTAACAGAAACTTTCATGATTTTGTTCTTGCAATCGTTACTGAATTTCAAGGGTCCTCAATTTTAATAACTGCTTGTGACTAGAGAAAATTTGAACTTTTCAAGGATTCTTTGTAATTTAAAGCTTCGGGATGCTTAAGGATTAAAATACTTTAATTAAAACTGCTTTTAATTACTGAGATTCAAAAAAGATTTCTGTGTGCTCTTCTATAGTATTTTTCCAGTTATGCATTTGAATTTTGATTATGATCTGGCTTTACCTTTTTACTTGTAGCATTAGTTGCATTAGTTTTCATTAAAGAAATTTTGCTTAATTTTTTTTTCTACTTATGCACGCCAATGGCGAAATATTAGTTCAAAAATACTAAGGTCTATTGGATATCGGTTCCACAGTACACAATTCACAGATCAATCGATCATATCTAAAGACGCTTCAAAATCTTCCAACTGATTTTTTCAAACATCATTTCACTAACCAACAATAGTCACCGTCTGCTCAACACAATTTCCATCTAAATGCCAAAAATTTCCATTATAAGTCCTCAACATGATCGCACCTCAAGCACACATTTTTTTTTGATTAATTCATCATCGCACAAAAAAAAAATATTTTCTCACAATCTTCAATATTATGAAAAAGAACATCTTTTTTGAACCATAACAGAACGAACAGCGGTGAATTTTTAATGAGATTTACCACATTGCTATCATTATTACAAGAATTGGAAAGAATAATTTTCAATATTGATCGCTAAACCATTAATTTAACAGCAGCTATATCGAAAGAAATTGGCTCTTCTTTTACGTAAATCTTCTTCACTTGTTGTTACTTGCTATTGAATCACCAAAAATAACATGAAGAGCATGGAATAAAAAAAAATCACCATGTGTATCCAACGATTCGTTACGCTTTAGTAATTATTTAAAAACAAGATATGTACACAAAACTCATGTGTCCATTTCATTAAAATTCAAATGATTCAACAGCCGAAACTCAGACAGAAACTTACAACCGATATTGACGAGCGTAATTTAGAGACTGAAAAAGAAGTTTTTTTATTTCCAACTCGAAAAAAAACGCCGGGCTGGGAGGGAAAAACATTAAATTCGCTCAGATTGAAAAACTCTTCGTTTTTTGTGTATAGTCGAGACTTCTTTTTATTTGTGGTTGATTTTCGCTTTGCTATAACAACCATTTTGACAGTGGCGCTTTTATTTCATATAATATTTTTTTTTGGTTTATTAACATGCTATTATTTATTTATTTTATATTAGGTACTAATTCTAGGATTTAAAAATGTGCTTGTACTTTTTACAAGGTGTAATTATTGAATTGTTGGGTTGTTATCTTGTTTATTTGGGTCACTCGGTTGAATTCGGGACATTTGAATGTTGAATTGTTGAGAATTTAAGATTTTCTCGCAATTTTTTTGACTCAAAAATATAATTTTGATATTTTAGTGCTTTTAATGTTTATTTTGCGTGGAATTAATGGTAAATTCTCTTTGCTCACACTTTTTAAGTCACTTGAAACTGCTCAAATGATTGTCCAAGAGATATTTCAGCTTAATTAAGCATTGAAAAATTCCAGGTGAAAATGTAAACAAAGACACGTGTTTTTCTCGAGAAATTTTAATTTTTAAACTTTTTGAAACTTTCAATCGTAAGATATAAAATTCCAAAAAACAAAATTACAACAAGAAAAAGTATCAAAACACATTTCTAGGATACAACATTCAATAGAATAATTATAAGGATGGACAATGATATTGATATGATCAAATTATTATTTTTACCTATTCCCCGCCACTGACATTAGCTTGTTACCAATTTATAACTCGTCTTTTCATAAAAACAAAATAAAAAGCACACACTCGAAGCATTTTTTTACGGAAATGCACTGAAGCGGAAACAACAAAGAAAGAAAAAATAAAAACCAGAGAGAAGAAGCAAAAGTGAATCAAGCCAAAACATTCAAAGCATACACTGAAGTAAGTAAGGCATAAGACATTTTGGCGGTTAAAAAGGAAGTTGATTCATTGAATAATGCGGGAGAACAAAATAGCAAGACATAAAGAACAAAACTACAAGCATAAATGTGCTCTAGAAAGGGTGATTCACCTCTCGCGGTATAAACTTTATGCAAAACGTGTCCATCGATCGTCCAGAGTGTCCTGATTTCTTTCTCCCCTACTGCTTTTATTTCGTTTATTGCTTCGTTGCATGATTTTTGGATATAAATGTTGTTTTTGTTTACGATATGTCTAGTCTTGTTTAGATTTTTAGCGACATTATGTCTTTGATTACATTTCAGGATTTATGTTTATTTTTAGAACATGCTTGATTATGTCAGATACGCAATATTTACTATGATTGCATGACTATTTTGTTTACAGGTCACGTTGTTTGATTGCTTATGCAGTTTTAAAGAGTTTATATTGCTCAATTGGATTCGGATCAAGATATTCTTTACGCTAAACATTCAAAATTCAATAATTTGTGCCTTAAAATGCGTCTCTTAATATTAATTCCATTAATTCTATTCAACTCTCAACATTTGTCCCACTCACCCTTATTTTTATGCTCAATCGTTATTATGGCAAGTGTTTTTTTTTGGTCAGGAACCACGCAATGATCTAATTAACATACTAGTCGGTCAATAGTTAAGAATTCAAGCCTTTTGTGGCGTTGAAAATTTACATAAAATTTTTTTTCATCCGTCCGAAGCTATTTTAAAAGGTAACAAAAAAAAATTCCTACGTCGCAAGAAGTGAATCATGAGCGTGAAAAAGGAAGTTGTGGTTACTCACCTAAAAAGAAACTCATAAAAATCGCACACACACATAACGTCACAGAAACACACAATATAGAATTTATCTCATTAATTTTACCGAGACAGATTCCTGCATTTTAATTAATTATTTAAATTTGCTCTATATTTTATGAAAAAATAGATTGTAAAAAAATAAGTTTTAAATTAAAATTTGGTTTACAATACGCGTGTTGCTAATATTGATCAGTAAATTTGGTATAAATTTTAACGGACTTATTAAATTTGAATATTAACGAATTATTAACATTCAAATTTTTGAACTCAACAAAAATGAACTCAAACTTTCTGAACGATTTTCAAAATAAATCCGTTAAAGATGTTTGATAATCCATAAAAACTCAATTTCGCAATACGGAAGCCTCAGAAGTTCTTGAAAGATACTAATCCATCAATTACCACTTTAACATCCATATCCATTCAAAGTGAATATAAAAGACAATTTGTTTAGCAAATAAAATGCATCAAATTAAAACAAAGAACCACGAATAAAAAATAAATTTGTTTAATTAACCGATTTAACTACAGCCTCAGTTGTAGACGTTATTTTCTGCAGTAGATTGAAACTTCCAAATTTCGTATGCTTATATGACTTAAAAGGTATATAAAAAGCACGATAAATTGGATGTGATGCTTGTGGATTTAAAAATGGCACTTCCCGAATCTTTTTCCATTCGTCCGTTCTCAACGAATAATTTGGTTCCAGCGGTGAATTTGCCTTCTTTGTTTTGAGATCAAAATCGATTAAAAAGTCACAATACTCGTATTTAAAGTACATCAGTGGATTCTCCTGATTTAAATCATTGAAATAATCGTGTGTAATTTGTGTAGCATTCTCTTCATGACTATAATATGCTGGCAATATTCCACGAAAGTCAGATTTTAAGAATCTAATTGAATACTTTGTTGATGGGAAGAAAAAGCTGCTCGGATATCGATACCAATCCTTTCCAATACAAACATCAATCTTCTTATCATTTGGATCCTCCAAAATATCTCGACTTGTACTAAATTCCATGAATATGTCCATTGGTGCATGATAATTACGATAAAGTGCTAAGATTCTTGATAAATTCAGTACAACGGATAGTATGACCACGATGACAGTTATAAATGTGGTGTGATTTAAGTAGTGTGTTGGTGTGGTGAATTTGACAAGAGCACTTTTAATACGAAAGAATATCCGTTGACATACATCAATTGTTATTGCACCACATAAACTAACGAGAGGATATACAGGATATAGGAAACGTTCCTCTTTATGAGGTTGGATCATCATGACAGCAAGCCACAAATAAAATGGTGATAAACTCACATAATAAGGAAGTGTTAGTGTCGGTTGTTTGGTCTTTGCTGGAACAATTAGATAGCCAGTAAGGAGTGCGACGGGTGTTAGAAGTGACAAGATCCATATTATATTGTAATTAAGGAAACCATTAAATATGTAATAGGAAAATGGTTCGGTTCCATAAAGTTCAGGTCCTTTGGATGAGAAAACGTTATATAGGACAATATTAATCGGTGCCATAACTCTACTTCCATAATATGAGGAATCTAAGAGGATCATTGGCATTAAGACTGTTACACCTGATATTATAGACCAAAAAACAAATGTCCTTATCTTTCTACGTCTTATAACGATGTCATAAACTATTGGCAGTGAGATTAGTCCAACGAATGGCCATCCAAGAAGCACAGAAATGGCTGTAAAGAAGATTGCAAGCTTGTATTTCTGGTGCCACCAAGCAGACAATGCTGACATTGTAAGATACATCGAAAATGAGCTCGGAAGTAATGCTGCTGATGATATAAACATTCCGGCACTAAACAGTTGAAAGACTAGCCATGCTCGACCGATATGCACCCCGAATTCTCGACAAACTCCCCTGAAAAGGCATTAGAGCTTATTAGATTCCAATAAGAATTTTGAAATCCAGTGAACAGTTCTGGATCTCAACAAGTAACAGACTACATACTTATAGAAATAGACTTCAGCAACAGCACATCCGAGACCCAAAAGCAGCCTCACAAAGTAGAATATCAGCATTGGATTGGGCTCAAAAATCTGCTTATAAAGATAAGCTGGAACGCCATGAATTAATAAATAAGTATACGATCTGAGTGCGAATTCTGGACTGTATTCCCATGTTTGAAGTCCTACAATATACAGATTATTGATAGAGATTCAAAATGTCAACTAGATATGCCAATTATCACCTTTATTGTATAACAAATAATGCAGAGGTTCCCAATAATTATAAGTCTCATCGCAATCCGATATTTGTGACCAGATCGCTGCACATATTCTCGCTGATAGTAGTGCTTTAAAAGCCACGTCTGTGGATGGAAAAATTGGAGGTCGAACGACATTCGTGGATGCAGTGCTTCTGTAATTTATTTTTAGCCGGAATGGAAAATTTTCAATGAAATTTATCACATTTTACTTCCAGATTTACTTACTGTCGTCGAAAGCTTGAAGATCCACTGAGTTTGCCTCCTCTAACACTATCTTTTCGCTTAGTCATCACAGTACTTCTAGATTTTTAAAATTTAATAATTCCATAAAATATATTAGTACATACTTGAGGATCAAATTTTTTTCTGAAAGGTTCTATTGCTTTTATTATGTCTTGCTGCCTGTCGTTGATTTTTTTGTGCTGTTTTGTTTTTGTTTCTGGATGTTACTGGATCTTGAAAACTGTTCAAATGTTTTGAAATGTTTGAAAACCCTACAAATTAAAAACCATACAACATCCAGTTTTTGACGTAAAACAATACAACAGCAAATCATTCAATCTTATTTTCACAGTTGAAATTTAAAAAATGATAGGAAACATACATTTTCAAGAAATTGAAAAATTAATTAAAACACAGTGAATAAGCGCTATAAAATGACAAATTTACATTATACTTGGTGTATCTGGAGCTATACGTTTACGTAACCTACGTAAGAAGAAAATCGTACGTAATAATAGTAGAAAAATACGTGAAAAAGAAAAATAATTTTATTTCTCACAAATAATTGAGTGGATAAACATGTAAAAATAAGCTCCAGCGTAGAAAAACGAAGCTTCATTACTAATAAATGTCAAGAGCATTAAAACATCAATCGATTTTCGGAGAATTAAATTATAATTAAAAATCAGATAATTGCAAAAAATATATATCATCATGTTATTAACTGTTTTCTATCTGACATCGACTAGCTTTCAATCCTGGAGACTTCGTGCGATACATCAGAAGATATCCAGAGCAATTGACACAAAAAACTCTGTTGTCTTCTTAAAGAAATCTGATGGAAATAGTCATGGTAAGTGTTATTGAAAAAGATCAATTAATTTATTTAACATTTTTCAGGATATTAATCCACAATCAATATTGATTGCATAAAATTTTCATTCGTAGGCATGGTAACGGCATTAGCATCTTCAGATATTTGCGTGAATTCGTCCGAAGCATCTGTTCACGATTGTTTTTGGTCGAATGACATTTCTCAAGGAATCTCCATATCACCAAAGCAGATCCTGTACATTAATCCATTCATCACGTTTCCAACACCACCGAGTCTCGTTCCGTTCAGTTATAGTGCCAAGAATCTGCCAGATATTGGTAAAAACGACGTCATACATGCATTAATTGAGGCTGAACTTGTTCCAGAAACTAATCTGTCATTACCCGTACTTGAGGTATGTGACTAAGATTATGGGTGTGCTTACAATGTAGATTAGACAATTTTCGCACGTTCACAAATCAATTTATGCCATCATAATTTATAAATACCTCACAAAAACATCTTTATTTACCTTGTTTGATAATCTCATTAACACAAAAACTCTATTTTACTTTCAGATTGAGGCATTCACTCACATGCTGGCATGGAAAATTGATACAAAATTGTCTGTTCTAGTCAAGACGAGTTCAAAGCATTTGTCGCAGCTAATATTTGCCTCATTCGTTCAGAATAATTATGTTATTAATGATCATTTACAATTGTCACGCATTGAGACAGTTGATATTGAAGGAAATCCTCAAGATTATGAGCAAATTATGACTCATTCAAAACATCATGGAGTCAGAAGATTCAGTGAATTAATGTCGCCACTCGATTGGAACAAGCATTTGGAAGAGATTAGAAATTTGGGGGTTTTGGCAAGTCAGGCAAGCGAATTTGAGTACAAGAAGAATTTAACGGAAGGTAAGACTGGAATTGTTCAGCCTGATTTAATTTCATCGAAGAATATTGAGGATAGTCTAAATCGTAAGCCAACAATATCACCTAAAAACAGTATAGTTTCTATGGAGAAAATGGACGAGAAATTAAAGGAACTAAAGCAGGAATTAAGGAAACAAAATGATACCTCAAATCTACCGAATACATCTTATGATTCTAAAAAATTAGAGGAAGTAATCACACCTGGTTCACCTAGATTCCCCGTCTCCCCTGCTAAAACAGCTAATAAAAGTAAAGTCATTAATGACTATGCCTCATCTAAATTCCCAGTACTCAGTTCTCCTGCAAAAAAATCATTCTTTGGTGAAAAGGCTGATTTAACATCCACAACTACTAATATTAATCTTCCAGATGCTAATAACGTCCTTAAAAATCATAAAGAAAATATCGCAGGTACCACAAAAGCTGTCATTGAAGCCCATAAATCAATTGTAGACATGAAAATCGACTTAAATGCTAAAATTAAGGAAGATCCAGCGAAGTTAAATAGTGATAAAGTTGCTACTGACTTGACAAACAAAAGTGAAGGTTTAAAATCAGAAAGTGCTAAAATTATTGAATCTGAAAAGTCAAATAGTTTGTTAAAGGAATCAAGTGTCAGTGCTGGAAGTGAGAAATCGGGTGTAAGTGGTGCTGTAAGTGAGAAATCAAGTGCTGATAGTGACACATTCGTTTATGAAAGTGATCAAACAAGCAAAGCAAGTGATAAATCAAAGGAAATCTTAACTGGAACTGAAATTGACAAGAAAGAAGACGAAATAATTAATAAAACTGCAAATGGAACTGACGAAAAGGCTAAAACAAAAGAATTTACTGTCACAGCAGTTAAAGAAACCGAAAAAGCTATTGAAAACAATGGATCAATTTTAAAAGAGACTGAAAAGTCAAAGGAAACAGCTAAGGAGGCAAAAGTGACTGAAATTCCTAGCGATACTGCCAAAAAATCGGAAGTTAAGCAACCTAATTTAAAGGAGATTGGCAAAATATCAAGTGTGAAGGATACTGATGTTGTTGATGGAACTAAGGAAGCAGTTTTGAAGGAAATAGGCAATGATGCCAAATCAAAGGAACTAAACCTAAAAGATTCAACAAAGTCCTTCATTGCTAATGAACAGAAAGCTACAGAAGTTTCGAAAAAAGTTGAGGAACCAGCCAAAATCTCAAAGTCAGTCGTGGAAACCGTAAAGCCAGTTGAAATAATTAAGCCTGTCGTGGAGCCACCAAAACCAGTTGATATCCCTAAGCCTGTCGAGGTCACAAAGCCAATTGAAGTCACAAAGCCAGAAGAAGTCAACAAAATTCCAGATATTAAAATCGATCAAGCAAGTTCCATAAAACCAGCACCAGAAGCGCCATCATCATCAACCGAAACAAAGCCGACCTTACAACGAAGCCGTAAGAAGTTAATGGAAGCAAAACCTCCGAATGTTCTAGTCTATTCCGATAGTACAACAACAAGAAGTAATGTAATTAAGACACTTGGAAGTATTTTAAAGGAAAGCATGTATACAATTTATCCATTGACCGTTCAACAAGTGCGCGAACGAATATGGCTAGATAACACGACATTGCTTGTTGTTTGTGGAGGAATCAATGGTTCCGATATCAGCCATATCTTTTTAGAATATTTCTTTAAAGGCGGTAAAGTTTTGTGCTTATGTTCAGACTTGCTACGACAAGTCTTGCCAACTTATCATACTGCTGAGGTAAAATTAGATTAAATTTTTCATGCATAAATCGATATTGTGACATGCAAATTGAGACAGTTTTGATAATTTTTCAATATGTTGTATGTCTATGTCTATAAAAATAGGTACGTGAGCATGAACTCGTTCAGTTTTCTTATGGACAATGGAAGAATATAAAAATGATGCATCACATTTTCTGCTATCAACCATCACCAATTCGTAAACACTTTTCTCAGGACAGCGACGACCCACCGAAAGAGAAAACGAATGGAAATCCGTAAGTATTAATCATGTTCGTTCTTTCCAGTTTAATAACTTTTATATATTGCTAATAATATTGGTGCATGTTTTTTAATCAAAAATATTTTTTGTGAAAACTTTTTTCATATTTTATGTCAATTTTGTTTTTCAATATATATATATATATATATATATTTATGCTGTATGGCACTTATCAAGCAATCAATGAAGCTTTTTTGTTATTGCATAAATCAACGCGGACAAAATTGGCTACATCCACACATAATGCACTTGCACCAATTTACTCCTCCTGAATAATGTGGATTAATTCTGTTTCAAGAATAGTTCAGAAAGGAATGAAACTGTTTCGGGACCTTATTGCACTGGTTTTGAGTTCATGATTGACGAGCACGGTCTGTATCTGTTAAAATTTGCTAAGCTTTGTTTTAGGAGTTCAGGGAATGATGCTTGGATTTTCATAAATGCTTGGTTTCAGATTATACGGCTCAATATTGAACATTTCAAGTAATCAGATGTTTTAATTGGTCAATATGATTAGCAGACAAAGGAAATCAGATGTTGTAATTGATCAATATGATTAGCAGACAAAGGAAAATTTTCAAAATTATTATTATTATTATTTATAATAATATTCAAATGAATGAACTTTAATTTAATTATTAGACAAAATATTGAAATATCGATATAGGAAGATCTTTGGAAGATCAATTATCAAGGATACAGTGGACAAGAGAATTAAAAAAAATGCATTGAGAGCATAGAAAGAAATGCTATTTATTCAAATGAATGAACTTTAATTTAATTATTAGACAAAATATCGAAATATCGATATACCATCATTACATATTATAAGGACATTGAGAGTATAGAAAGAAATACTATTTATTCAGATGAATGAACTTTAATTTAATTATTAGACAAAATATCGAAATATCGATATAGGAAGATCTTTGGAAGATCAATTATCAAGGATACAGTGGACAAGAGAATTAAAAAAAATGCATCGAGAGTATAAAAAGAAATACTATTTATTCAGATGAATGAACTTTAATTTAATTATTAGACAAAATATCGAAATATCGATATAGGAAGATCTTTGGAAGATCAATTATCAAGGATACAGTGGACAACAGAATTAAAAAAAATGCATTGAGAGTATAGAAAGAAATGCTATTTATTCAAATGAATGAACTTTAATTTAATTATTAGACAAAATATCGAAATATCGATATACCATCATTACATATTATAAGGACATTAAGAGTATAGAAAGAAATGCTTTTTATTCAAATGAATGAACTTTAATTTAATTATTAGACAAAATATCGAAATATCGATATACCATCATTACATATTATAAGGACTCAATGATGTGAAAATATTCTATTCTCAAAATAGAATAGTTGACAGTTCTCACTTTTGTAACCAACAAATTAAAATTAAAACACACCGTTAAAATACACTTAACTACAAAATAAGAACGAAATCGTGTCACTTTTTGCTGAACTATTCTTAAATCACGCTATCGTGCAACAGATACTTTTACTTTCTACAAATTCTATGATGAAGAACATCCACATATGACACCCAATGCAAACTCTTTCCTTACCTTTCATTAGACGAAATCGAATTTCATGGCCGTTTTTGATTGTGTGTTTCTTTCCTTTTTTCTTTGTTTCTTACTTTGTTCTTTTTTTAAAAATAAAATTTTTTTTCCAAAAAAAAAACATTCAAAAATTTTGTGGCGAAAACTTTTTTTTGTCTAAAAACAAATTTTCATATTTAAAATTATGAAAATAAAATAAACTTTTGTAAAATATAACAAATGAGCTCAGACTAATAGTATTACCAAGGTCCATCGAGCTGAAAGATCATCTGGGAATGAATCACAATGTACATGTGCAAATCTTGGGTACCGAAGACACGTGGAAGACGCCAAGTTTGTTGATGGTCTACACAGACAACGGTGGAAAGATTATTTTCTCACAAGTATGTATTGTGCTTCTAGCTTATCACTCATACAATGAGGAAAGCTTTTTATTTGTTTTTAATTGTATTTCTATTCTTGAGAAGATTCACTTGGAAATCGATCCATCATTTTATGAGAATGACGAACAGAAATATCAGATTTTAATGAAGAATGATAATCTGAGACACGAAATATTTGGTGATGTCTTAAGTACTCATCTTGGTTTAGCTACTGCTGATATGAAAGTCAGGAAGAAGGAGGGAGATGCTCTGTTTACAAAGGGATACTTCTTGGGACGTCATGAGGTTAGTATGAGTTTTTAAAAGGATGAATTGTTTAACAGATTTGCTAGGATGGTGTTTCCTATTTAAATATGTGGTTTAATAGTTTTGTAAACACATCCCAACCCCCAAACTATAACAGGTTTTTAAAAACCATCAAAATTCACATTTATATATCCAAAATACCCTTTACGTACACGCATGCGAAAGCTTATGATGTTATGAAAATGTTTCGAAAACATCTGTACGTATATTTACAAAAAAGGTCAAATCATGCGACCTTCAACACGTGGAAATATAAATGATGAGAAAATGTCCTTGAGTATATCCTTGATGATGATGATTATGACGCTCGTAAATGTGTAAAATTTTTTTGATCTCTCTTTCTTTTTTCGAAAATGTTTTAAGGATTATTTTATGCGCTATGAATAATTTTCTATCCTAAATGCATCCTTAAATTTTTGTTTCTTTTCCATTCACAGCTAAAATTCGAAATCCTTGAAAAACTAAAGCCTGTTATGGACGATAATACATTGAAGATTGATGGACTTTCAATCAAATTCTGTGGTAAGAACGTTGATCCACCAACACCTGAATCTTTCTGCTTGCCTGTTATGATCCATTCCTGCCCGGATGACTTCTCAACATTGGACTACTTTGATGTAATATTTGCGAAGTTCATTAGGCTTGCATCTGACTTTAATTTAATATTTTATAGACTCTCAAAACATCAGAAATCGGACGAGCTTTAATATATTCACATATCCTTACAAGCTCTATGAGTATGATCAATAAAATGAACTATTGTCATGGATTGGCAATTGTCTCGAGAGTTTTGACTCAAGCAACAGGCAGATCAAAGAATACGGTAAGTTTTGAAGTGTTTGCTTCAATGTTCTTGAAGATATGATTTAAAAACTTGGTTTGGTTCGACTGACACCCAACCGCAACACCCTTGACCATACCTTAAGTATCGTGTTGTGTCTTAATCCTCTAATGTTTCAAAATCCTAGTTATTAAGTCGCAGTCTTAAATAAGATTGTTCAGAAAAGGCATTAAAATATTCCTATGTCTTAACAGTGGCTGAGCCCTGAAGGATGCTTGATGTTCACCATCCAACTCCACATTCCACTAAAATCTCCACTAGGACAACGAATCCCACTAGTTCAACATTTGATTGCTACAGCTGTAGTAATGGGAATTAAGAACATTCCTGGATATGAGGTAAGTCAGAAGCAAAAAAATGCAATTTTGTTTTATTTTAACTAACATTTTATTTCTTGATCATCATTTGATTCATCATATAATATTTTTAAATTGTGTTTTATTTTTATTTCTTCTGTTTCTTTATATCAACATTCCATAAATTTTTTTTAAATTCAGTTTATTTAATCCTTTTCATAATAATTATTTATTTTATTTTGTTATAAGGGAGGAATTTGATTTGATTCTAATTACAGAGTCAAATGAATATTCTCATTTTATTGGCATGCTCACTTAAACATGACTGGATTTTTCATGGAAATTTACTTTTTATTTAGTTTCTCTCTTTTAACTTATAAACTTTAAAATGAATGGAATGGGTAAATTTGGAGATCTTTTAGTTTATTTTTTATTCATCAAAACCTCATTTATTCTTCCTGAATTTCTCTTCATCTATGAATTATATCACTCACAGTATTTAACGTTTCTCTTACTCATTCTATTGAATTTGTTTTTCACTTTTTTTTTAAAAAATATTTAAGATAGTTTATCATACATTGTCACTTTTTTGTGTGAAAAATCGTCTTTAAATCTTTATTTTCTGTTTTGATTGAAAAATCACTGTGCAAGTATGATAGATTTATGTATTTTTAAAAATGACATTTGACTTCTTATTTGGGTGGTATTAATTGGTGGTCTGGTTCTTCATTAAGACACCGGATATTCAAGTTGAAATTTTTGTCTTAGTCTCGCAACTTTTACTAAACCGGGAAATTTAGAAAGCCTAATATTAAGGTTCTATAACTTAATTAAAACGTTTTTAATTTATTTTAAAAAAAATCTTGGAAAATTGAATCAAGAAGAAATCTTAATTCTTGACTTGAAATTTATTTGATTTTAAATTTTAGATACTGATTTAATTAAATTTAAATTGTAATTCCGACTTTGAGAATCTTATCTGTGAATTCTATGTCTGAACCTGGTTACCAGACCACTTCAGCATACCAACAATAATTCCTTTTCTTGAAATTTCTACACTATTTTGTAATTTTTCACCTTAATTGAAACTTAAATATCTGAAATGACTAGAAAAAGGTTTCATTTTTTTTACATAGTGCTTAATTATTTTTCCTCGATACGTTGACTGTTCTTTCCGAAAAAATAAACTAAGTTCTTCTTGTATTTGATTTGAAATTTAGATTATTATGATAATTTTCAACATATTTTTGTTATAAAATATTTTTTTTTCTATTCTATTATGTTCATTTCTTCAAAGTTTCAAACTGAATTAACATTTTTTTTTGACAAATTTAATTCTATTTTTGCAATTAGTGCGCCAAAAAATTAATTTTTATATTTTTCTTCTAATTTTTTAAATTTTTAATTTTTCTTTATTTTTTTGATGAGGAAAATCACATTTAATAAATTTGAAATAAAATTTTAAGAACTTTTAATCATTTATAAAAATAACGGAAATTTTCAATTTAAAATTGTTTATGTTTTGACATATTTACATCCATTTTTACCACGTTTTTTAAGTATCCGTTAATTTATGAAAATGACCAAAAAAACTCTTAAAATTTTATTATTTTAGTTGATTTAGAAAATGGCGAGCAAATTTTTTAGCAGTGCAGCCTTTTTTAGAAGAAGTATGAAACTAGGCTTATAAGCTCTGATTGAATTTCAGAGATGGCAAATTTTGGATTGAGTTTATAAAAATGGATGATTTTATTTTCAAATTATAAGGAATTTTGACTTGATAAAGAGTTTTTGATGGGACAATTTGTTGTGTTTATAATTTTTTTGGTATTGGAGAATTAGTTTAATTAAGTGCTCATATCACTCAATTATCTTACATTAACAAAAAAGCTACTGATTTTGAAAACCCGTTCTAAAAACGATAGTCACAGAATTTAAAGATTCAATTAATACTCTGCCAATAATGTCAGTTAACAATCTTTAAGTAAACAAAAGAAAATTTTAAAATTACTGCTGCCCAACTTGTTGAAATCTCCATTTCATTCAAACACCCCAAATCATCGCAAGAAAAACAGAAAATTCAGATTCTATTCATAAAAGATCGTCTCATTTCTCAATTTTTTAATATGTCTTCACTTTTATTATTATTTTATTATATGAGTTTATTTTTATTTCTTTTTTGGCACATCAAAAAATCAAAAATTTTTTTACTTAATCTCCAAGAATGAATATGCGTGTGAATATGTGTCGCTATTATTAATTGTGATCATTCCTTTTTGCACTGCTCAATTTTGTTTTTAGTTTTCTTTTCCGCGTATAAGTAAAGGAATTTATTTATTTAATATTTTGAATTTCTCCCATAAGTTTTTCATCTATTTATAAATATTAATTTTCCAACGTCAATCGTCATTTCTTTTCTATTTTTTCATTCAATTGAATTTTTTTTTATATTTACATTAAAAATTATCTGACATCACATCACATCACGGTTTATGTGATGGAACCAAAAGCTAATAATTCTGTTTTTAAGTGAAATATTTTTTTTTTTGTTTTTTGACAATACATTATGTTCAATTCAATTACAATATATGCACTAATTTGTATGCATACTTTCCAAAAAAAAAATAATTAAGAAGCTTAATATTCTCTTCTCTTTGTTCATCTCCACTGATTTTTATTATTATTATCATTATTATGTTTTCATCAATAATTGGGTTTTTTCTTCACAAAAAATGTTTAATTTTTTTTTTCACAACTTACAAATGTTCTTATATGTCCCATACCAAGTTTGATGCTTCAGTGGCAGCTGATGCATTTTCCAGCACACTGCCACGATCCTTCTTCTAGAAAACAGATTCAGCTGAACGTGATAATTGAATTGGATGTGATGGTGATCGTGCCAGTCTCTTCTTTGGCAATCGTTCCAATGTTGTAAATAATTGATTAAAATCAGGCCTATCGTCTGCTTGAAATGACCAGCACATCATTAGAATGTCTTTAACGTCACGCGATGCTTGCAAATTTGCTAATGATTGTTTCATGCCACGTCCAACTTGCCATATTACTGACTCTGGTGGTTGGGATTTGAATGGAAACTCACCGCACAACAATTCATACCAAATTGTTCCGAATGCATAAGTATCTGATGATTTTGTGAATGGTAAATCCTCATTCGTTGGTCGACAAGGTTTAAGATTTCTTATTAATTCACATGCTAAATAGCAAAGCCATCCGTATGGAATTCCGAGTCCTAAGTTATTATCATACACTAATTTTGTTACACTAAACAATCCAAAATCCGTAATTATGACTTTCTCATTTTCGAGGAATATATTTTTTGATTTGAGATCCTTATGTACAATGCCACGTCGATGCAGATAACCCATGCCTTGTGCTATTTGCTGAGCAATTAATGTTGTCTTATTGAGATTGAATTTGTCACGTCTCAAGTGAATGTGTGTATAGAGTGTATTTCCTTTACACATTGATGTAACAATCGCAAGTCTTGGTGGCTTCATGCAAGCTCCCATAAACAGGACTAGATTTTCGTGTCTTGTATTCTTGAAAATTGCCACTTCCAATTTAAATGCCTCGATTGCATGTTCATCATCAAGGAAATCTTCTTTGAGAAGTTTAACAGCAACATCACCATGCCAATTGCCTCGATAAACTGTACCAAATCGTCCTTTACCAATCATTGCACCCAAATTTAAGTCATCATATGGAATGTCCCATTCTTTTAATGACAAGCTATTCTGTCTTGGCCAAATGTTGTCACGCTCCTCAACTGACTCGAGTCGCGGTGTCATACGATCTGATTCTGTACTCATTGTCTTATCACTCTCAATACTTTGTATTGTACCTGGAAATTTATGAAAGTCATAATTAATGATTTTTAATTCTATGAATATTCTTATAAGACTTACCATTACTGTCTATGATACTTCCATTAAGCCTAATTTGATTTTCAATATTATTCGGTGATGTTAAAGAATGTTGATAATTATTTCTTAAATACATTGCCGAGGATGAGGAATTGTCACTCATTTTGGAATGTCCTGAATGTTCAAGTTCTGCATCTTCAATTATTGTATTATGATAGGATGTAAAGTTATTAAGATGATGTGAATTTTGATGATTTTGATTTGGAGTTGATGATGAGACTTCGGGAAAATTGAATTGTGATTTGTTAGCAGGCGTTTGTGGCGGTATTGTTAGTAGTGCTGGACTTGATGGCGAAGAGCTATTGCAACTTGAACCGGCCGAGCTGCTATCAGCTCCATGATGAAATGGAATTGTATGCATATGCTGTGTACGATGTTGTCTATCGTTTCGCTTGCCAGGCATTAAACCAGCTCGTGGCAAGTTGGGAGAAGCATTTAAGCCATCCGAATACAATGTCTTTTTAAATTCATCAACAAATTCTTTCGGCAAGCCACACGATGGTGGCACATTTGATTTACAATCTTTATGGCATCGATATTTACATTCGGTACATTTAAAGCCAAAAAACATTTGCTTATTACACAGATCACAGGTACTGCTCGTAAATTTAAACTTCTTAGAGAAGCGATGCTGTATCATATGTCCCATGCCTCGAACAGGCGTACAAGGTGAACGTGGCGGTGCCGATGTATCACTAACAATAATTGGCGTCACAATGCTATGACTTCCAATACTATCGACTGTCGTATTAATACTACTACTCTCATTATAATCAAAATGATGATGATTATTAATTATTGATGATGTAATTGGATATTTTGTTCTTGGTGCTGGTATTGGAGGTGCCTCACTTGATATTTCTGAACTGCTCATCATTGCTGATCCATTTTGCCATTGCTTAGTGCTACCATTTATCGATAATTGTGACTCATTTGATTTTGATTTACTCATTCCATCCGATTCACAACTTGCCAAATCCGTTGATGTCGATGTCATCATTTCAAAATCATTATTATTGTTATAGTTATTTAAATTATTTGATGTTGTCGATGTACCAATACTGCTTACACTACCCAGCATGTCCCTGCTACCAGCACATCCATTATTATTGAAAGTCAATGTGTTATTGTTTATATTATTGTGATGAAGGTGCGGATTATGATGAAATTTCTGATGTGAATGAGTTGCCAGCCTCTTATTGCTTCCTAAACTTGACGATGACTGTGATGTTGTCGTATTATTGTGTACTGATGGACTTTGCGGTGGACTTGGTGATGGTGACAAATTACTAACTCCAGAACCTTCTTCTGGTGAGATCATGTTGAGAAGTTTGTCTGATGATGAAGTTAATGTTCCCGTTGTCATCAGACTCGATGTTGATATTTGGGTTTCGGGTGGTGATAATTCAATTGGCGATTGTATTAATTCATCCTGCTGATTGCCTTCATGATTTACGATCACAGTTTCTGAAAATTGTCGGCATGAACCTATAATTAGAAAATGTTTGGGATTTTCTCAGTGACATTAAGTTTTGTGAAAGACTTCTCGTCCAGATCAGACCAGGACTAGATAGTATAATTGTGCTAGTAGATACTTACGGTTATTAGTAATTTTTGGAGACGATCCCATACAACGAATGTTGTTCCGACGATCCCACGAATCCCAAAACATATCAGATGGCTCGGTTCCAGCTTTCAAGCATTGCTGATATCGCTTTAGATTATTTATGGCACACATTAAGCGACGAGCATCCTCACTTGTTTGATTGCTGTTTGTTAATATTGCACAAATATCCTCATCATTCATCTTCAGCAATGTTTCTAATGAATTAACATTTTCAATCACAGCATTGATTGTTTGTTGACTAAGTCCAACGACACGCAACCATTGACGCAAATCATCATTGCTAGTTGTTGAAATTTCAAGTCCACCCGACGACATATTTTGTCGATTTAAAAGAAGTTCGCAGAACATTCGAACAAGCTTTGACTCCAATGTCCGAGTCTCTTGTTGAGTCAATACACTTGTCGCGCATTGTGTCCTCAATCGATCCAGGTGATCAGCCGATATATCAATTACCTCTCGTATCGACTGAATCACCTCTAACCCTTCATCTGCCATCTTCGAAAAATTTTCTTTGCTTGCGTTTTCTTCTTCGCAAGTGTAGAAAAGGAGAGAGAGAAAAAAATCTCTTCCCTTTTTTATCTTTTCCGTTTTATGGCTGTTTGCACAAAACTGGCAAATTTAAAAGATTATTTAGTAGCTTTTACGCACTATTTTTAATTCATCTACGATAATATTTAAAGCATTATTTTAACTTTTTTAATGGTGACTTATTGAAACAAAATAAATTTCACTGATTTTTTTTCCTCATATAATATACTATGTACTATATGGAGAGTGAGTGAGAGAGGATGAAAAAAGGAGATAAGAACAGCAATAATAGAACAAAAATTTTTTTTCTTCAACTTTTTTTTTTCGATGCAAATTTTAACGCTTCATTTAATGAACAAATAAATAATTTTCTATTAATTATGTTGCGAATAACTTTATGAACAGTATTAGATTAATTTGAATTTAGTTTAATAACATAACAAACACATTTTTCATTAAATCTTCATTTTTTTCACTTCGTTCTAAATTTATTTTTCTCACTGTTCTAATTTTTTTTCATCTTCTTTACGTTCGTCGCAAATACTAAAAAAGTTTCTTCTGTGTGAGTGTCGAAAAAGCTATATTATGGTCGATAAATGGAGGTTTTGTATGAACTAAAAAGTTTTTATATTTTAAATGATTCTGACATTTTGTTTATAAATTTATTTTTTTATGTTTTTTAAGAATGTTTCTGATAGTTTATGTAATTTTTTATAAGTTCCTTAATGTTATGAAAAATTAGTTCATAAACTTTGAATTGTAATTCTTCTTCAACTTGAGCGTGTCGAAATGTCTGAGGTGAAAATGGGGAAATTAAATTCACCACTGTCTGCGTGACTGTTGTTCTGCAATCATAATTCATTTGAAATTCATTATTTTTAGTGATTTATGTGTTAGAAAATTGATGAATTATCAAATATGAATTTAAAAATCTCAATATTAAGTTTCGTTTTTGTTTTGATTTATGATCAATTTAATCGAAACTTTGTCATTATAAACTGAATTATAAAATTAAATAATTCAAAAATTTAATTTTTTTTCTATACATTTTTTTAAAAAAATAACAAAATCGAAACTTTATGATTTATTTTCGAAAAATAATTATCAAAACAATTGAGACTGAATTTCCCAGAAACATCAACTAAAATTGTATTGCTAATTTTATTCAACTTGAAAGAATTTATTGAAATATTCAATGTTGAATTTTCTACTTTTGTTTTTATTTATGCATAAACTCACGAGTTGTTTTGTTGATTATTTTCTTGGGAAGCTATTTTTAATACTGTAGAAATTGATTTTGAATAATTGATGAACTTTAATTTGAGTATTTAGCTGAAAAAAGTAAAATTTTCAGCAACACGTTCTGAAAATGAATAAAATTCGCATTCTTACAATTTCCAGTCATATGTTTTTACCACTAAGCTATCAATAAATTGTCCTGCCCACAACCTAGAATTCAAAAGTCATTAAAAACTTCTAAAAAAACATTCTCGAATTTTTCAAGCTTATAAATCTTTACTCCTGCCTTGGACATATGCAAAAAATTTCATCTTCTCACACGCCTCATTTTAATACTTGGCAACATGTTTCATTCAGCATAAAAGACTTCCAAATGAAAGCCTTATAAAAAATCTTTTTTATCACAAAATGTGATTCAAAACTTCTCAAAATGCTACAGAAAAAAAAACTTTTTAAAGCACTTAAATTATTTCGTTCCATTTCTATGCCATGCCATAATCTCTAAATGAAAAGGACATTATCATCATTAAACAATTTACATACAAACTACGCACACATGCCACAAAATGTCATCAGTTTTACTTTTCCTTTTAATTGAATTTTTTTTTTCTTACTATGGATGTGTGAACTTGCATGACAGGCTCTAAAATTGAGAATAAGAAGTAATTCTGCAGAATCATTATTGAACTTTATTCACACAAAATGAATGGTTTGAGTTTTGTTGAAATATCAAGGGCGAATTTCAGCCAAGCGTGCACTCTAACCCCAATTGTGAATAAAGTCTTGAAATGGACCCTTTTTAGGCATTGCTATGTTAAGACATTTAAAAGTAGCATGTAAATTTTATTTAATTAATGGATGGATGTGATGACATTGACCGAGCTACAAGACTAATATTTCATATGAGAATACTCACCACTAGACTACCGAGGAAGTAAAACTAAAACATGAAAATGTGGTTTATAATATCCGTAAGAACTGATAATCACCAGTATCTAGTATTTCAGTTTAACCACATTTTTTAATATATTCTTGTTTTATGTCATCGATTTTTGCATTTATTCTTCTTGATTTTCATCCTAAAAAGTCACAAATTCTATTTTTTTATATTTACTGTTATTGTTCTCTGGTTTATTTACAGGGTTTGGACATAAATGTAAAGTGGCCTAACGACATATACGCAAATGGAGAGAGAAAAATTGGTGGTTTAATTGTCAACTCAACCATCGAAGCTGACCAAGCTATTTGCAATATTGGTAATGATGGAAAGCTTTTATGTCATTTGATTTATGGTTGAAGCATTTTTATATGAGACATTTTATCTGAAATGGGTTGAAAAATAGACAATGGTATGCTGTGGTGATTTGTTTTTCGTCCTTTGATGGAATTTAAATGGGAAATGCTTCGATGTTTTGTTGAAATTTATTCTAAGAAAAAAATTTCAGATTTGTTTTTTGTTTTTTGGGTCAAATTGAGAAATTCTTTGTGTCTTTAAAGCTGATAAAATATCAACTTATTTGGAATTTGCGTGCTGAAATGTCAAATCTGAAAACATTTAAAGATCATTTCAGAAAGTTGCTAGGTTCCTCCCTAACAACAGACTTGAATAGCACTAGTTTCTCTTTTAAATAGCCATTTAAAGACTTCACGTTTTTTCTCCAAAAAACAAACATTTCTCTTAAATCTTTAAATGTCTAAATGAATTTTCAAATCAAAAAAGGATTTAATTTAGATATTCTTTCAGCTTCACAATTTGTAATATTCAATATTTCCAAATAAAACTTTTAAATATACTTGAATTTGAATACCAGAAATTGAATAATTTTTAATCCCAATGTTCTTCGATTTTCTAAATTTCTCTTTATTTCATCTTTTAGGTCTGGGACTCAATCTATCAAACTCAATTCCAACTACATGCATCAATGATATGATATTGGAATACAATAAGAAACATTCGAAGAACCTTAAGCCATTGACATTAGAGAAGACATTGGCTATCATATTCAATGAAATTGAAAATATTTTAAATCGCATTCAAGCTGATGATATCGATTATCTATACAATCTGTATTATTCATGCTGGCTGCACACGTAAGTATTTCAATCAATTTTCAATTTACATTGGAAATTGTAATAAAATTCATTATATTTTTCTATTTTATTGATAGTGATACTTCTGTGAAAGTTTTATCGTCAAGTGGACAGGAAAAGAATGGAAAAATTTTAGGTCTTGACGAGTACGGATTTCTGAAGATTCGTCTTGACAACAATCAAATTGAATCCGTTCAACCAGATGGCAACTCATTCGATATGTTGCGCGGATTGATTGTTCCAAAAGCTCATTGAATAACTTATAGGATCGAGGCTTAGTAATGAAATTGTTTTTTTTTTTTAGACAAAGAGTACTTAAATTAAAATGCCATGATATTTAAATGTCAAGAAGATTTATTGCTGATATCATGTGATGGTGTAAAATTAAAAAATCAAGCTGCCAAAAGAATCATCTGATTTCAGGCTAAAACAATTGTATTTTTAAATTTGAGGCAAAAAAGTCATTTTACTGAATTCAAAACTTCTTCACAATACTTTAATAATTTGAGATTCGAACTCTTAACAATTTTGATTTGCAATTAAATTTCAATTCAACAAGTTGTATTCAACTCAGCATATGCCATCATTTAAACACCATCGAATTAAAGCTTGCCATTTTTAAATCACTGACAATTTTGTTAGAGAAAAGAGATTTTTGGAATTAATTGATAATTGTGTTTAAAAATTATAGAAAATTTTTCAACATATTGGCTTTAAAAATTCAATTGTTATATTAAAAACCTTAGCGCACAATAAGCGTATGCATTGGTTATTTAAATTCCACAAATAGAAACAAAATTTTAAAAAAATTCCAAAACTATTTATTAGGCATGATTTAACAAATTATTAAGAAAAGGAAGAATGACATAGAAATATTTATTAAATGTTAACATATAAAAATACAAAAAAGCGAGTAAAAAAATTAACCATAAAATGAGAAAACAAGAAGGAATGAGTGAATAGAACTGAAATGAATGAACTTTATGAATATGAGATTAGAAAGGGAGCAACAATTTCAAATGAAAAGCAAGAAAGAGAGAAAATATTCTAAAAATTCAGCGTATCAGAGTGAGAAAGATGGGAATGAATGAAGAGCTTGTTTATGTCTACAAGCCATTGTTCCTTGTTGCTTTTTCTCATAAGATTTTATGATTCATAAAATATTTAAAGAATTTTCATTCAATTTACATTCAGATTGAATGTTTTTTCGTCGAGTGTTCTGGATGTACCTATGAGCTAAGAAATATGAAAAATATACTTAAAGCGCTTTTAAACTCAATAATATTCATGTTATAAAGTTTGCAACAAAAAAATAGATAAAATATAAACAGAATTACAGAAATTGGATCAAATGTAGCGTGGCTACTTCTTCGATGTGGATGGAAATTAATTTTGAATTATGAGAATTTAGAATGGAATTTTGACGAAAAGGAAGTAAAATTAATATCAGTGTGGAATTTTCTGGATATAAGTTCAACTTTGATTTAAAGAAGCGAGATGCTTTTAACAAATATTAATTTTTCAAAAAGCAATATTGATGCTCATGCTATGAGGGATTATAAAGTTTCTAAATCTTTAATCCTAATGGACATCATACTGAGCAAATACTTACCTGAAAAAATGCTTATTAATGAAAAATTTTTCATAAAAGTTGCAAATTTTCTCTAGCTAGTTTATTGCATTCTCCAATCTGTGCAGAGAGATTTTGTCGAGATTTTCCTAAAATAATATTCCATTCTATATCCTCAAATCAAAAACTATAAAAGCGTGAATTCATCAGAGATTTGTTCACAAGTTTATGATCAATAAATTGAACAAAAAACAACTGATGAACAGCCTGCTACATTTCCGCCAATTTCAAGCTGACAAAATATTTATGGATATACCATTGTTGCTATAATTTTATCTACATCCCTTTAAAAAACATACAAATATTTATCTAACTCAGAAAATTTTGTGTCTGTTTTATTTACATCTATATTCAGTGCAATGTCGAGATGTTATTCATAAAAATTTTATTCATTCAATTGTGAATTATTTAAAAATCTGAAAATAAAGTAAAAGAGAAATCCGGAAATACAGAAGAAAAAATATTGCAGTTTAACTTTTTTGAAATCATTTTTTCATCCTTTTTATTTATTTGAGTTTTTTTTTATAAATTCATTTTTATATAATGGTTGTTTTTTTCTCCATATTTTTGATTTTTTTGCCTGTATTTCCTCATCCATTGATTTTTCAGTCAATTATTGTTATGTGCTCTGCAGTTAGAGCTACTCAACTATATTTATACCATCAGTGCATTCAAGCACTTGACATCATTGAAATGTTTATGGAGGTATAATAAGTCCCAGATCTGAAAAATCATCATTGCTATATGGATGGAGAAAAATGACAGACTGATAGAATTTTCATACATCCTTGTCCATTGCCAAAAATATTTCATTATATTAATATTTCTTTTGTTCTGTTATATTTTATCATACACATTAAAAACATCCTGAAAATTCATGTCAAACATGTAAATTGCATTTTGTTTTTCATTTATTTCCATGCAAATCAGCTCACTCGATTCATTAGTGAGTTTCCAACAATTTTTTTATATGTTTTTATGCAATTTTCTTTTTCTTTTGTGTTGGGTTTTATATTTCATATTTAAAATAGATAACAACATTTTTGTCCTTTTTTTCTTTTTTTCTCGTATGCTCAACATCATCCTTTTTCATTCTGTAGAGGTTCCAATGATGTTTGATGCTTCGATCGATGTTTAGAAATTAAAATTGATTTTTTTAAATCTTAAAACTAAATTATTTGTTTATTTTAGCAAATTCTACAAGTACAAAAATGGATACAGGATCATGAATATTCAATTTATGCAGACCACAGAATTCCAATTAATGATCAAACAATCTATTAGAACCTCTACATCGAAAACAGCTAAATAGCATGTACATGTGTCCTTGTGGTTTTTTTTATCATCTAATGCTTTGAATATTTGGAATATTTTAGGTGGATGTGTAGGGAGAATTTATGCGATAAGGATGGGGTTCGTTCATGCAATTTCGCTCATCTCGGCGTAATCATTAGGAGAAAAAGGACTGTGAGTGAATATTTATAACAATTTTATACAATCATAATTTCTTTTCCCTTTTCCTCAATTCATTCAATTAAACTAACCTTTTTTTTGGTTTATATTAAAAACTGTTTATTTTATCGATTTTTTTTATGTTAATATTCCGTCAAATTCTTTGATTCATTAACTTTTTATTTATAGTTTTGTTTTTGTTGATTATTTACATTTCATTTAATACACATGGCATCATTTTAGAGTTATAATTTTATTTTCTTTAGTTTTTTTATTTCAAATATATTTAAATATATTCATTTTTTAATTTAATTGAATCATAATTCATAATTTTATTTTATTCTTCACTTATTCACCAAAAATCGTATTTTTAACATTTTTATTTATTTTGTTCATTTTTGTTACCCATAATTTAATAATTTTTCTATTCATTTTTTTTTTGTTAACTTGCTGTTTTATCTCCTAGAAAATTAAAAAATGAAACATGAACCAAGATAAACACTTTTAAAATCATATCAAATATTGTTGAAGAACTCAATATAGCGATAACAATTAAATTATGAATTAAAGTATTTTTGAGAGTGCTGAATTCGGTGTTTTCTTCTCAATTCAGCAATGCTCAATTCAGCTTTTAAATTTAATTCAGCAATGCTGAATTCAGCGTTCGTCACTTAATTCAATAATGGTTAATTCAGCGTTTGTTCCTCATTAAAGCGTTTTCTCACTTAATTCAGCAGTGCTGAATTCATAATTATTTACTCAATTCAGCTAAGTTGAATTCAGCACCTCCACTAATGCGCGATCAACTCTACTCTACTTTAATTCTTTCCATGCAATATTTCTATCCATTTAAAATATAATTTTTCATTCTCTCGCAAAAATGGACGACACAAATTCATAATACCTATGTCATGCTTTGTCTATGCTTGACTGATTTTAGATTCCTGTTTTATTTTTCATCCAGTTCCATCAGCTAAATATACTTTATATTTGGCCAGATTTCAATAATTTCCATCTTTCTTTTTTTTTTGAGAAATTTTTCTATTTTTTATAGAGATAAATTTTTCATTTAATATCGTTCATCTGTGAAGTTTTTTTGGCACCATGTTTCATACTAGACATCATCATACATTAGTTTATATTTTTCTCTGCAAAAATTGTTTTTGTTTTGTCAATATTTTATTATTCAAATTGAATTTCAATAACTACGAAAATAAAAGATATAAATTGATAAATTTACATTAGGCATCTTTCAAAATATTTCAATCCTTTTCTCGTTCCTCTATACTTTTTTGTAAATCTGAATGAGGTATGCTTGTGGAAAATTTGAATGTTTTATGCTGAAATTGAGATTTTCATTCATAAAATCAACAAATTTATTGAAGAGCTTTTTGAGAATAAAATAAATTATATGCTGGGATTTGACTATGACAGTTGATTATCATACCAAATGTAAATCTGTAAGATATGCAACTATTTTTAGAGACTAGATAGCTTTTGGGGATTGTTTCAAGTTGATAGAAAAATTCTCCAATTTCATTCAATTTTTCGCACGTTTTTCACCTCAAATTTCAATCAGAAAATTGATTTTTTTTTCTCAATTCTTCTTCTAATTGCATCAATCAATGTTAATCAAAACTTTTTTTGATGGATGGCTCAATTCTAATAATTTCATTTCATAAAAAGTTAACTGTCACATAAACATCTCTTCATAACCATAATTACTCAACAATTTATTTATTTTAAAAATTTTTTTTCTCATTTTCATTTTTAATGCGCTTGCGATGAGTTTTTTTTGCTGTCAGATATTTTTTTAAGGGAGAGATTTTCAGGATATAATGGGAATTTATGGTAGATTTAGCAATTTAACTTAATTATATGGGAGATTATGGACGAATTTGATGTGGTTTTTAGATTATTTGTTGTATTTTTGGGGATTTTAATGGAAATTTAATTTAAACCTAGATTTTTATTGAACAATAAGTTTTAATTGCAATTTAAATAGAGGAAAAGGAGACATAATTGGTTAAAAATTACTTTAGAATTGGAGATATTTTACACAGATTATGGAGCTAGTTTGTCGCTAAAAGGGTTGCTTTCTTAAATGAACTGACTAAACTAACCCGTTAGCTTGCTTAGTAAGGACTTTTGATCCTTGATTAGCTTTTCGTTGCAAATCTCAACAATTGTAAACTCAAAAGTAAAACGTTTAAAAATCTCAACCAAAAACCCATCATAAATTGCCTCCAAAAATAAAAACTCTGACAACCTCATCACAAGCTCAGTTCATTCTATTCTATGATAAATGTCTTCTCACATCCGCTTCATTCCATTTTTATAAAGTTATGAACCAAGAAGAACAACACAGAATAAAAATATGTGTAATAAACTTCGAATGAACATACACGTTTGTGTTTATTAAAGATAATGCGCCTAATTTTTCATTAAATCCTGTTTCCAGCCTTTCCTTTTATAATTACACACTCATTAGCTTTCAGCAAAGAAAAATTTTTCTCAATTTTTCTTTTTCCTTTAATTATACTCATTAAATTTCACACATTGTGATTATGAAATTGTTTAGCATAATTCCTTGTTTTTTCACTTTTTCAAATAGCAAAACAACATAACAACAAATCAGATGAGCTTTCGTTAGCTTTGTTAATTTAATTCAAAAATTCTTTTTTTATTTTGTTTGTTTTTTTTTCCTTAAAGCAATTCATAAAAAATTCTTTTTAACTTGTAAAAATTAATAAATTAAATATTGTCATGTTTTTAATGTTTTTTTTGTTTTTTTTTTGATTTTAAATTATTTTCAATTTAATTATTTTTGTGGAGAAAATTAGAGTTTTTGAATGATTTATGTTTTTCTAAGATTTGTTGAAAATTTTAAAAATTGAAATTTTTATATATTTTTAAAATAATAAGTTCGTTGAATTTTGCAATTTTTCCTAACCTACAAATTTCTTGAGCAAAAATTATTGAAATTCGAGCATTTGTATCAAAAATTTTCCTAGCTTTTCCAGAATTTTAATAAGCATATTTGGATTTTCCCCAATTATTTTCAACATAATCTCAAACTTAAACTCACCAAAATCACCTCTAATTCCCTCCACAAGACATCCCTTTATTAACACCAAAAGTTTCAATTTTAAAACATTTTCTGTATTTTTCTTTTTCATTTCTCACGTTCAATTAATCAATTTCAAATTAATGAACATGCTTGCACATTACCATGGAAGTACTTTCATTTTATTTATTTATTTGACTCATATGAAAATTAATGAGTTCACGTATTAAAACCCTTTTGTAGATAAATTACCATTTGTGAAATTAATTACCCAACAATTTAACGGCAAAGGGTTTCATTCGCTTCCTTTTTTCCTACAATTTCTATTAATAAGAATGCACAGGTGTTGAAATAAGAAGTGTTGAGCGTCAATTTAAACTTCTCGAAATCATTAAGAGGACTTATCGAGATGCTCCACAAATCAAACAGCCACGACTTGAAATGTGGTTCTTCATCTCCTCCTCAAATGACATCGTTTTGAGAAGAAATTAATTGATTTTTATCGTAAAGTTATAAATATGATTTAAAGAATTAAAGATTAGTAGGTTTTTTTTGTTCTCGATGGACTTGAGACATGGAAAATAATTCTGGAATAATTGGGTCACGTATTGCTACTCGAGAGAATCGAAATAAAGAACTTTTCTTATCTTTTTCTTCTTTCATTAACTTCCCTTTTCGTATCCTTTGTGTTTCATTTTTAGCACATTTTCTAGAAAGTTTGGGGTTGGGTTTTGGCAATTTGTCAACATTTAGCTTTGATAGACATTATTCAACTAAAAATGATAAGTTTAAGCTCTGTCTAGTTTTGCTTTTGTGAAATTTGTGTATTTTTTTATTTTATTTAAGCTGAATTCAGCAATAATAATCTTAATTTAGCTGAATTCAGCAGTATTCAAGTAAATTTAGAAAGCATTCAGCAGAG